CACCCGGCGTTTGTTTTATCTTCATGTATACCACAGCCTTTTGTTTATTCCCACGCTGTGTTCGCCTGTTGCTTCTGATGCAGAAATGCAAATGCTACTTAGTCCTTCTGACAAAATATCAAAATGATACCAAAGTCAAGTCTTCATAGCTCAATCTTTCAATGACAACCTTAAAATCGACGATCCTTTCACGCTGTTTCATTTCACAGCAACAATGTATGGCCCTGACCACCATATGTTCACAAAAATGTGTTTGGGTAATTATCGAGTGATCTATCTACATACTTTGAAATTATATGACGAATGCTAGTACGGTATAGCAGAAAGTATATTTCAAGCTTTCAAGATCTCTCTGAATGTCTAGATTTCTGGGATTATGGAACATAGAGGTAATGATAATATACGACAGACTTACGACGAGACAGAGATATATTCAAGGGGAAACTGGATCATGGCGACCAACGGATATATGTTTCTGGTGTTCAACGGTCGCTTACATATCCAGGTTAGTTCAAGATATGCAGCCCTAATTGAACCAGGCTGTTTGTCCACGCATACTGTGCCACAAGACTTGGCTTCATCTCAACATTATTTATTATCTACGCAATCAAGAATGTTCCACAGTGTGATTTTTCCTTGGCAGTGAGGATTGGGAATTGATTCCAAAAACTAGGAGCTAGCTAATGATGATAGGACGAGGGATAACAAGGCAAACCCAGTTGAGGCAGAGAGCAGCACCTTGCTCACGGGGCACAAGAAACGGTTCTCTCACACTATTGAGTGATGTAGCCTAACCTCTATAACACTAGCATTTTGCGTAATAGCCTGGCAACCCACTTGCCGGCATAGGAGTGGGGGTTTGTCAGAGGAAGTCATGGTGTTCCGCAAGAGGTCAGTCACGCCCATGCCGTGCTTCCGACCAGTATTAGAGATTCGGAGACAGTCGAGGCAGTTGAAGAAAGATTTTCTTCAACATCCTCTTGAGTCTGAGACACAAAAGGGACGCTGACGACCGAATACGATGTCGTTGTTGAATGCCATCTGCAGCAAGTACAACATTGGCAAAGTTCATCGATGCCGAAGAAGAGCATCAAGCTCGGTTGACAGTGGGTAGATGTTGACTGGTAATTTCTTGTCAATTTGCTTGAACTCAATGATGAGAGGCAGAGTCCCGCATTGAAACGATACGGACCTTGCACGGCCGCCAGTCTTTCCAAACAGGTCTGAATATGCAGACAACCATTGAATCCCATAACTTCTGTTAACCGCCATGATCCAATTTCCCCCGGAATTCAGCCGTGTCTCATAGCTGTCATATATAATTCCCAGTGATTCCATAGTTCTAACAGATCAGAGATCTTGAACCATCTTTTCTGGTATACATTTGTTCCACACTGCGTCATTCAACATTATGGTCAATACAGCAATTTGATTTCCCCCACTGATAAGCAGAGGTACCTGGTGAACTATATGTGGGATCAAGCATAAAGGTGTCTCTGAGCGTCATTCCCTGCTATCAATTTGTTTGAACTCAACACTACGGCCGGCACAATTCCCAGAAACACCTTTGATGCTTGAGTCCCCGTATAGTCCGCTAGGCACATCACGCTGTTTATCAGTGGGGGAAATCAAATATTCCCCCGGCACCTGAAGCCTGAAGCTGGTGAAGAAAACCAAGTAGACCTCCGGACGAGATACCGAGCGGGTCCACACTCGGTAGCACAGCGCCACCTGACCTTATCATACACCCTCTTCACGTGCCTGTTTGCATTGTTGAGAATAATATCCCCGGATGAACAAGTGCTTCCAACTTCCTATGCCTGCGCGCAGAGCTTGACTTTGACAAGACGTTTTCCTCGAGAAGGGATGCAAACAGGCATGTTAAGGGAGAGTCTACCTGAACTTCTTCAAACAACCAAATGATCAGCAGCTTGAGATGCCCAAGGAACATTTAGTCTGACCATTTGACTTGATCGTGCACCCCGTTATCATGTCTTTTGGCACCCCTTCTCGAAATGGGTTGTCACAATCGAGCTTCTCTGCACGCGGGTATGGGAAACATATTTTTGCCATTGATGCGTTGATGAAAAAGATTGGGCCATGACATGATCGTACGTGGGTTTTGAGCATCTAAGAATTGCCCTTGTCGATGCAGGAATAACCTCTTCAAGGAATTCTGGAATCGCAGACCCACGATTCTTCTCAATTGAGCTCTTCTGATACGCTTTCCTTTCCATTCCCCTTCAATAAGATCAGAATCCTTTTCATTCTTTTGTTGCATCTGTTGACGGACAGCTTCGGGCTCGTCAGGATTGATGATGGGTATTTGCGGGAAAGGAATCGACGAGTATGAAAGCGAAAAAGGTTCCCACTATCATACACTTCTTTGTCGCAGATTCATGCTGGAGATGGTGCAGAGTACTGGGATGGCTTGCTCATCACTGAAGGATTGACATTTCAATGTCTAGCGGGTCCTTCGCGTCATCTATGAGTTGTCCGTGGTATCCATCCATGATGACATAGATATCTCCCGCTATAGTTATATATATATATAGGTATGGATATAGAGGCCTCACTCCAACACAGACATTATGGTAACCGCACACGCTCAAGGATCTTGAAGGATTTGCACGTCTCGCTCACTGGTGTCATCGTCCACCTGGCAACTCTACGCCACTACCACACCAGCATATCTGGGCAGTGAACGTGTAGAGTAAGAGCTGGGAAGGGCAAATAGATTGTGAAGTGCTAGAAATGATGCTCCATAACGATATTTTCAGAAAGAGGGGATGGAGGAGTGAAGGAAAGATAGTTGATAGGAGCTAGTAGAACGGGATTTATAGTTATGCGCCGGTTTGAAAGGAGGCCTGGCATGTAAGCTGACAATGAACGAAAAGCAAACACTGGGGTATTTTTGCCTGCGGGGGAAATGATTTATAGAATATACGCCGAAGGTGCAAATATCCACTATACATCATTCTTCTAATATTTTATATCACCATAAAGCGTTGTTTCAGAAAAGTGAGGCTCTATACGCCAATCCATTACTGATGCAAGCCGAACCTGGACATAATAAAAACTCGTAAACATACAGATCATGCTGGCCACCAGCCTGTGGATCAGCCTGCCAAAACTCCGGCCATGGGGATTCCGAATACAGGTTGAAATCAATAGTCCATAGAGTAACCTTCTCTTCCTGCACCTCCTCCACCATTGTATCCATTCTTGCCGTCATGTGCACCATCGTGTCCACTGCCATGGTCATCCAGCGACCTGTACTGGTAGTATTCACCTCGACCACGACCCCGGCCACGGCCTCGGGTATTGTTACCGCGCCCGCGCCCGACACCTCGGCCGCGACCACGATGAGCTCCTCTTCCTCGCGAACTATCATCATATTGGTGGCGTCCGTCACCTCCACCGCGCTGAGCGGAGTGGTAGTTGCCGCGGCCTTGGAATGAGCCTTCATAGGCGGTGTTTTGATTGGGCCAACTGACATCGTCATCATCCTGGAAGCGTCTCTTTTGACTTCTGTTCATAGGCTGCTCTCCTTGGCGATGTTCTCCGCTGTCTTCAACTCGTAGGACAACCTTCTCGCCGACCACAGTTTCAAAGGTCATGGCCTTGTCAGCCGGAATGGGATGCCAGTTTTGGATCTTCCCTGCATCGATGAGACGAGCACCTTTGCGAACAGCCAGTACTACAATTGGCAGTGGGTTCTCCGTGTGATATGGTTCCGTTGCTGGAATAGGCGCTACCCGGGCCGCCCAGATCTTGTTGTCCAGGTTTCCGGTTCCAGTAACCTGCCACTTTAGTTTCTTTCCCATGCCTCCAACTTTGTCCAGAATTGAACGGGGCGCTGGGCGTGGGGTGATTAAGATGCTGTTAGCCATGTACTTCAGATCATTTGATTCAGCAAGCCCTGGGGGGAGCAATGGAGCCAGCAAATTCTGTGTCATGCTGTTTGAAATCTCTGGAGTAACCAGATACCCCGTATAGAAGACGACCCGCTTGATATACATCCGCCCACAGCGGCTCTTGGTTACGTTCAAAGCAGGGTTGCGCAGGGTGAGGTTGTGGGCATTGACCATGCGCTGCACCTCAGCAGTCTCAGTTACGGGGTCGAGGTATGTGCAGCCCTCAGTTACCTGGATGACTTCAGCAAGGACGGGCATCCGTGCGGCAGCGGGTCCACTTTGAAGTTCTCTGTTCAGACCCTCAAAGAAGTCTCGGAACCCTTTCACACTAGTAAAAGGTTAACACCTTGATACGCTTGGATTATCCAACTCGGCTGCCAGAAGACTTACTGCTTGACACGGTCCTCGTAGACGCGGATTTCCGCAGCCTGCTCGTAAGTGAAAACAAGATCCTCAAGAAAGTTTTGTTTGAACTTCATTGTCGTCGCAAACCGTTGACCATTTGGACCAACGTCGGGCTTGAGACCAATGAGGTCGAACTCAAGGTTCTGACTAGCAACCATGCGTTTGATGATGTCTGAAAAGCCAGCCTCACTTCGACCGGTCAGCAACACCGTGAGCGCATCTTTCTGCTCCATGCTATTCCTGACCAAACTAAGCTTCAGAAAGTCAGTTGAAATGCCCTGAAGATGCAATATATGATAGAAGGCACACAATTTGCTCATTCCACCAGCCTTCCCATTTGCGAGGCTCTTCTGCCTCCATGCCTCTTCCTGTAGCGCCGAGAATATTGGGGTCGTGCCACCATCCTCCAGTTGCGAAACTATCATTGCTCTGAAGGAAGGCAATTGACGAGCCATGCCATAATTGTGGGTTCGGTAGGGGACTTAGAAATACTGGAAGTGTGGATGTTAGTGGTCGAGTGTCGGAGCATTCTAAGTTTGCATATGCTCACAGGTGTTGTCGAAATCGTAGACGTGGATTGCGCGAATTTGAGAAACAGCTGAGAGACAAAAAGGTTGTTAAAAACATGACAGGGTAATGGACCGTAATAATATCTAACCTGGGAGCTCTTTATTCACGATGGACCAGCGCCGTAGTGAGGTGATGGTATGCGGCGGCCGAATCCCGCTTCCTGTGCTGTACGACATATTGGTGGAACCAAAGCGGGCAAGTTTTTCTGAAACAACTGCTTTGGCAGACCTCATTCTGTCACGTAAAAAGGCCAAAGGTGTTAGCACATAGCGAGAGAAAGAAAGTTGAAGTCGCAAGACGAGCAAGCGCGGTGACGGAGCTCCCGAGAAAACAGTTTTGCCGCCCAGAACGTGATAAGCGTGACAACCGTATCTAGGAGCTAAACCTTGCAACCCACCCCTGGCATGTCGCCTGTATGGATGATGTCGATTTGCGACAGGAAATCCTCCAGCGGACACTTAAAGAGGTAGCTGATGAGGAGAAAGAGTCGGCAAATCCTTGTGTTATTTGCCTAGACACTATCACAGAGCCCTGTGTGGCACAGCCATGCCACCATGTCAACTTCGACTTCCTATGCCTTGTCAGTTGGATTGAGCAGCAGCCAAAATGCCCGCTATGTAAGAACACCCGGGAAATACATACCGCTGGATAGACCGGTCTGACAATATGACAGGTAAAGTCGAGTTGACAGCAGTGCAATACGAACTCAACGCTACACAAGGTCCGAAGCTATACAAGGTCCCGCCGCCGAGCACAACAATCCCGGCAGCTCCAGCCGTTGTTCACTCACGTCCTCGTAATCGCTATGGCCCACGAGGAGGGCGACGTCCTCCACCCCCACCACGACTATCGCCAGATGACCCGCTCGAGCGCCGGCGCAATGTCTATCGCAACCATACATACTCCATGCGGGTTGGGTCCAATCGGTTGTCCCAGTATCGAGAATTGACGCCTGACCTCTTCAGTCGTGACGAGGAGCTCGTCTCGCGCGCTCGGAAATGGATCCGCCGCGAACTACGAGTCTTTTCTTTCTTGAACCCGGAACCGGAGGAAGTAGAGCGGACAACCTACCAGGTCCCGCGCCCTGGACCCGAACGGCTGGAGAATCGCAGGGCGAACAATGCCGAGTTCTTGCTGGAATATGTCATCGCTATCTTGCGCACGGTCGATCTCAAGGGCAGTGCTGGACAGGCGGAGGAGCTGTTGCGTGATTTCATTGGCCGTGAGAATGCCTGTCTGTTCCTACATGAGCTACAGGCGTGGCTGAGGAGTCCGTATAATTCTTTAGAGGACTGGGACCGTCATGTTCAGTACTCGAATACTCCGCGGAGTACGTCTGACGGAGGGTATAGGGACTCTGATGACTCTGGTCGTAGACCGACTCCTGTGAACAATCAGAGTAGGCCACAGCGGTCTCGAAGACCATACAGGTCTAGGTCTCAAGAGGCGATTGATCGCTCTAGGAGGCTGCAGCAGGCTCAACAGCGATATAACCCATATTAAACATGCAGCTTGACATGAAGGTGTTACATCTCCAAAATTCATAATGTATAGGAAAATAAATCAATTTCTAGTTCACATGTTATCCCTAGAAGTTCCAGGACATCTGCTTCTCGGCTAGGGATAATTTCTTTCTTTATTGCTAACTCTCGCGCCCTGTCCTCGAGTTCGAGGCGGGGAGTAAGTATGTTCGTGGTGTTTCGACGTCGAGACGTTATAGAGATAGCCCGCATGGTGTTCGAAGTCATCAGATCGGCCCCGTAGACCTGTGACACGGATTTAACGGGGCCAGGGGGAGTCGACTTCGCGGTTGCTGTTGACTGCTTGGTGAAACGCTCCATCGCTTTCTGCACTGGTTGGAGCCAACTCAGCCAATTCATCGTCCTGGTCGAACTCCCAGACGTAGTAGTGCCAGTCAATGACGGACGCAAATAGGAACAGCATTAGAGTACAACTCCACGGGACTGACATAGGATCATCTTTCATGCACACGTCCTTCGAGGGCTCCTAAAGGCGAATAAGGGTACCATGTTCCTGTTACCCGGAGGGTCGGTCGTAAATTGCATCAAACGGTATAATCAGAGAGGCCCCGATAACCTCGCTCGACTGGAGGTAAACCTCCTACGCGGAGTACGGCTGCTAGGTCAATTCCCATTTTTCCAATGTGACCCCGAGGATTTGGCAGAACAATGTAAGGCGAAAACGACTAGGGAGTTGATGCAAAGAAGACGGCGCGCGAAGAAGGTCGAAGCTAATAATAAGCGGCTGGCCCTCGAGTTAGACATGGTTGTTCTCGTCTTTCCTGATCGTAACGACTTGCTGACGTTTGAGCCTATCGGCGATAAGTTCCGTGACTCCAGCGCTATCTTGGGCGAGGGTCGTTTGGTAACATTACCCACATGCCTACCGGATTGAAATCAATGTCAGCAGAGACCCAGTGTATAGCGCCTCAACCTTGATAGTACCCATATTCTGAGCAACATAAGAGTTGCATCCTGAACAAATATCGACCGTTTGGGCCGTGCTGGATGAACACAGGGCACGCAACTGAGTCAATTTAGTCAGCACCCACTTCATATAGTGAAGATCTCGCAGGATCTCGATGAGAGACATCTTACGGTGAATGATAACAGCGAGACTACGGGGATCTCGGGGTATCAAGCCAAGCCCGCCTTCATCCTCGACCGACTGCAGCACCGCCACTATTTGGGTACCTTGATGTTTACCGACAACAGCTACAAGCACAGTGTGACTCCTGCACATCAATTTCGCCAGGAAGAAGGTGCCGTCCACGATATGCTGATCCTCATCACTCGGAAGCCTGAGCTGCCAGGATATCCGTCCAAAATCATGGATTCGATGGAACCGAACCGGCGACTTCCACTGCAGTTTCCGCTATGGCTACCTTACGGATTCCAATAGCCTTCATGCATTTTGGAGACTGAGAGGACTGGTCTGCGTTAGGAAGCGAGGCCCATGAGGAAATCGGCGTGCAAGAACTGGCTCTAGGTTTTTTTGCGACACCAACAACAAATTTCGTTGTTGGATCTGATCGGTAATTGGACAGGTACTGTTCGGGATCGTTTCAGTGTTTAGTACATAATTCTCGGTCCTGGATGTTGATGCGCTATGGATTTCTTGAATGAAAATGCTGTTTATGCTAAATATGAATGTATGAATGTAGTCGTCATTTCATGAAACACAAGCAGACCTGCGCGGTGTTTACTTCCGGCGGAAACGCCCTCTACCCCGGGAGGAACCTCCTCTGTTCATGTTTATTGATCGATAGTTCGCGTGGGCTTCGGGGTTTATCTTCCGGGCACGAGGTTTCTTCGTTTCAATAGTCTCTGAGGGCTTCTTCGGGGGTTTGCCGAGGGGTTCTTGTTCCTGCGGCTTTGCGGCAGACGAAACAGCTTCCTTGATTCTCTCCGAGAATGTCTTCGGTCTAGCAACAGGCTTTGGCTGTTCTCCAAATTCGGGATCATCGTCCGAGTCCGGATCTAACTCGGCCTCGGTATCAAGCTCGGGCTCCGACATGGTATGAAGGGAAGCGGCCTCGTCCGCCCGCTCAATATCACTCGGGACATCGTCCCAGCCGTCATTGGCAGTATGTGGTTGTTGCGTCTCTGGAACTGCTACAACATCATCCTCGTGTTCCCAGTCCTCCATAGTAGGGGCTGGGATCGATTTGGGCTTCGGTTGATGGATAACCGGTCTCATAATCACTCTTCGTGTCGTCCGCTTCTGGCCCTTCTTCTTGTATTTTCGGTTCACGTCCGGTGCTTGACTATCCTCAACCTGGATCCTGGCAGCTTCTTCCGCCTCTGCCTCTTCTTCCATCTCGCGCATGACATCCCAGTCATCTTCCATACGATCCTCCTCCATGTCCCGCAGTCCTTGGACCAAATGCGTTAGCCCCTTGCTGGCAAATCTTTGCGGCTTGCGCGAAACAATAGGACTGAGTCCCGGACCATCATGCTTTGCGCTAGGTGGGGGATATCGACCGGAGTTAGAGCGACGGAGGAAAGATGGCGTCCCCGACTGCGCTTCTTGTGGTGATATTTCAGCCGCGGGGTTTAGCGAATTTGTCTTCTGCACATCTGCGTCATCCTCTGCTTCTACTATGGCGGCATAACGCATCGTCGTTGGTGTTGCGAATAAATTTGCAAGATAGAACTGCTTGGTTTCAGACGCAGGGGTTCGCGCAAGCCTGGGGGTCTCCTGCTGAGCTTCTTCTTCCGGGTCCTCAGGGATCGTGTTCACAGGCCTTCGTTTGGAGGGTGTTTGAAACGCGGCTGTTAGGTTATTTGATTGCCTTGTGGCCGAAGGGGTTCCACCACTTCCACCTGATTCGGATAGCATGTCGAACAGGCCCAACGTCCTTCCATCACGCTGAGGCGTAGGCCCAATTGCAACTTTGAATGGTGACGGGGCTGGTGGTCCTTGCCGATGTGTGCTAGGACTAAATAGTCTGCGAAGAGTCGACGGCGAGTCATACGGATCGAGTTGCGCGGGGTGTTGCTTGATGCGATTGTTGGATGGGGTCGCGAAGAGACCTCTAGACGATTTGCGGGGTGTGACTTGAAGGAATACACCATCCTGATCGGGGGGAGATGCATGTTTCCGCTTTTTTGAATTACTATCATATGGCTCTTGTCGACTGTTTTCGCGCCGACTTAGGGATGCCTCGAGGGCCTTGAGGCGACTATATTCCTTGTATTTAGCCGCTAATGCATTGAAGATTTGGAATTAGTGATTTATGCCATTTTAAATATTATGCGGCTCGAGAATTTCGACTTACCGATATCCGCGTTTTGTTTGATATCATCGCGTCCGGCTTTGCGGCCCCCATTGGTCGACGAGAAGGCTTTCTCCCACGTTTTCAATTCTGCGCGAACATTGATAGCTTGGGCGCCGACCTCAGCACTGGAAGTAAGAACGTTGTCGGTCATTGTTGCATTGTACGTGTTACGAGACAACCTGGGAGAAGAGCAGTCTGGCTGTAAATCGATCGATGCGCGTCACGCGACGCGACCTAATTAACAAAAATCCGACCAAACTAGGAGGCGGTCTGATCCTGTCAAAGTGATAACTATATTGCTTAAATAGGAAAGCGGTCAGGATCTACCGGAAGTGGGGTTATAATCAACTCGACGAATATGGATGTTTCGCCCTTCGGGGCATATGGTCAGTTTGAAAATATACAGAGAAGATTAGCATGGCCCCTGCACAAAGGATGACACGTTCAAGCAGAGAGAAGCTACCTATCTTTCCCCTTCGATCTTCCACATATACTGTAGAGGTCCTACGGTGTGGGGGCTTTTGTACTGTATACGCCTGATCTAATTGGTCCTACGGGATTGATAGAGTCATGGTATGATCTTTTGCTAGTTATGGGCTACTCCACAGATTCTTTGCCTCATATTGGACAAATTCCCGGGAAAAAGGGACAGTTTTATCATTGCTGGTTTCACTGGCTATGGAATGCCGCAGGCATGGCTTTCTGGTAAAGGTGTTGCAGCCATGGTTTCGAAGGGGATCCGAATCTGGGATTCCGAAGATCTTTGAGACTACTCAGGCTCACTTTGAGAAAAATAGGAATGACATACTCGAGGTGGCAGGATAAGTTGACAAGTCTAGTGCACGATCGCAATATCACACGATAAACTGCTAGCCCCCAATATGTGAATTAAAACGAATATACTTCGTATTCTCTGTGCTCAAAGGGAAAGAAAAGCAATTTGCATGTATCCCGAGATAATCAGCAAGTTCCCAGTGATAGGAAGTTTGAACAAGGGAATACCTTCGGTCGAAGATTTACACGAAACCCAAATATTGTTAATACAATGCTGGGATGGACCTCTTGCCAGGTGCCCAGGTGACTTCTCAAGGTTCAGGGATCCAGGGGAAGATAAGCTTATCGTACCACGAAGGTGTAGTCACATGATGTCATGTGATCTTCCCCACAGTCCTTATCAGTGCCCAGTTGTCTCCGCTTCGGCTATTCGAACCCGACACTTACTGACTCCCATTTTGTCTCTTCATATTGTACCGCAATGAGAGCTGTACAATTATGCCCCCAAAACGTGAGCGTACGGTTCAAGGCTCGTGCTGGCCCTGTAAACACCGCCGGGTGAAGTGCGATCTTGGGAAGCCCTTATGCCAAAGATGTATCTCGTCTGGGGCAAAGTGCTGTTACGACAAGCTTTTGATCAGATGGAAAAAGACTCCACCAACAACACAAAACCTGACTATATCCCAATCTCCATTTTTGAGTCTCAATATGAACCTGAAAGACAACAACTTGGCCATTGGGGATCTCAAGGCTCTTGAATACTTTCAATTTGCTGTATGGCCTCTTTTCACCACCGCGGCTCATCCTTGCCCACCACCCATACCTCTAGCCATGGAATGTCAACCGGTACTTCTGGCTGTGTGCGAACTGGCCGAGGCGCATCGAACAATACGGGACGAGGCTGGGAGTAGCACGGTGAGCGCACCGTTCGATAAAAGAATGAGCTGCCTGGCTTCAGTCAGGGAGCAGCTTCGAATCAATGATTCCAATCACGCATCACTTTCGCCCCTGCTGATCGCAGTTTTTCTACTCTACTTTTTGGACGGTTTTATTGAGTGTGGCCATCCATCTGCCTCAACGGCAAGCCACCACGTGGGGGTCCAAGCGATCGTTGATCACCTCGGAGGCTTCACAGCTCTTATAAAAATGGGCCAAAAGGATATCACGATGCTACTATCAGAATTTGCATCCACAGACCTGACAAAGGCTCTGCTGGACGACCGAGCTCCTTGCTTTCCGGCTGAAATCTGGACACAGATAGAGCACGGGACAGTGTGGTGGGACCAAGAAACATACAATGGCACGACACTGGCATCAGTATTTCGAATACTGGCAGAAATGTCATTATATCGCCAGCAAATCAAAGGAGATCCAGAGACGCTCTCAATGGAAGTGGTGCGCGATTTTGAGCGGTCTCTACAGCCGTCATTCCAGATTCTCAACTTTGACCATATTGAATACCCTAATACCTACACTGTACATGAAACTACGCTTGAATCAAGGATGCAGGCCGATTCCTTCACGCGTGCTTTTCAGCATAGTGCGCTCGTCTACCTATACCGAGCAATATGTGGCCTTCCACCAAGGCATTGTTTGGTACAACAGCATGTTCAGTCGTGTGCGGAGTGCATCAAAAGTATCTCACCTCTTTCCAAGGCCCATAACTGTATAATATTTCCATTATACATCGTGGGCGCACATACTTTCCTACAAGATCAACAGGCCTTCGTCTTGGAGAGACTTGATTTTATATACAAATATTTGCGCTTCAATGCCGTGCTGTTGGTTCGCGCATCGTTGGAGGATTTATGGAAGTCACCGCGGCATAATGGTGATTGGTGGGATATGTTTAGATCTCTAGGTGAACATGTGCTTGTGATCTAGCTAGAGCTGTAATTACTATGAGCGTTGAAGCGAATACCATGCATTAATGACATTCTGTCTGCCTGTTAGGCTGACGGCTTACTTGAAACCTGGCCTGTCAGAAATGCCAATAAAGTATTTCACTAGTGAGTCACCCACCCAGAACGCGTCCCTGAATTAGAACCTAGTAAATTCAACCACCATGCCACCAATCCGGTCTCAATCCTCTAAAATTTCAACAGAGCAGGAGGGTAGAATCTTGTCTAAAAACGGGAAGTTGGGTTGGGTGGCTCACTCGCTGGTGTGGCCCACTCACTAGTAAAGTACGTTATAGGCTTAGTTCAAGTAATCTCGGACTCCCCTAGCGTAGAGCCTTGGGCGTGCGGGGGTGAGATGATTCGGAATGACTCTATTTAGCTTTGATGCCACTGATAAAATGCGGCTCTAACGAACTGGTCCATCATCACATTGCTTCCTTGACAATGACCATGGCCCCCGAGCAGTCACCCTTCGATGCCGAGTTTGATGTTCTTGTAAAAGAGCAACTGGAAAAATGGAAAGTCCCCGGCTTGAGTATCGCAGTTATTCATGGACCTAATACATACACCAAGGTAATCCCGTCGATCCGTTTGATGTATTAAATAATCACAGAGTATAGGCATATGGAAAGGCGGAACTGCCAAATCCCACCACAGATCGACCACCCCGGGATATGACAACTGATACGTTGTTCGCAGCATGCAGCACCACCAAGGCCTTTACCAGTGCTGCAACCTCCATGGCAATCCAGGACAGCAAGGCCACCAAGTCCCCGATCGACTGGGACACATCTCTGGCTTCCCTAATCCCAGAAGACTTTATCCTGGAGAACGAGTACGCGACCAAGAACATTACACTTGAAGATGCGCTATCGCATCGGTCGGGCATGCCAGATCATAACTGGACCTTGGCTTTGTGCTCAAATGATGGCCAAACGCCGCGCTCCATAGTTCGTGCGATGCAATATATGCCCCTTGCGACACCGCCGCGCACCAAATACCACTATAGCAATCACATGTTTATTGCTGTGTCGCATGCGTTGGAGCAACACACCGGCGAAACCCTGGGAGCGTTCATGAAGAAACGCATCTGGGACCCGCTCGGTATGAGCGAAACGTTCTTCTCGCCAAGCGAAGCCCAGGCAAATCCATCAACTGCCGCAAAACTTGTGCAAGCATACGACTGGGCTCCTACGGAGGAAGGCGGAACGTTCATTCCAAAGCCACAGCTGGACTGGAAACCTAACAGTGGTGCTGGTGCTATTGTCAGCAGCGTTGTCGACTACGCCCGTTGGATACGGGAGTTGATTGAAAAAGCCGGGCCGTTGAAAGGACATGACAGCTTGACAGATCCGCGGACGATATATTTCCAGAATGATGATTTGAATTTGCCGGCTCCGTACCATGGGTATGCGCTCGGATGGGTCGTGGATAATTACCGCGGGCAGCATTTCTATAGCCATGCCGGTGGCTGGCCTGGTTACGGGAACTGGGTGGGATTCGTCCCTGAGAAGAAGTTTGGATTTGTGGTTATGGGCAATTCCTCTTCGGCTCGGTATGCTGCGTTTAGATTGGCCACTTATCTTTTGGACAGGCGGCTTGGTCTATCAGATGATCCAAAATACGAGCAGCAGATTGATGCTTGTATTGCGAGACAAACTCAGACATGGGAGTCGAGTCTTGAATATGAAGATGTGGAGGATTCGAAGAAACGGGTGTTTCCTTCTTTGCCTGCTCCTCCAATCCCATGTACCTTGCCTCTGTCTGGATATGCTGGAACATACAGACACCCCATGGGTGTGACTTTATTCATCCGAATAAGCATTGATGGACTCATTGTTGACCTGCGGGATCGAGTCATTCCGTGTGAACTTTCTCTTGCTCATGCAAGTGGGGAACATTTCGTGGGCAGCATCCATAATTCAGGATTAAATTTGTTGCCGCCCTTCCCTGTGGAATTTTATATTGATGCTACGGGGGTGGTGAAAAGAGTTGGACTTCTTTTGGAACCAGCTCTGAAGGATAAGAAGCTCTGGTTTGATCGTTGTGACTCCTAGGCCTTTATGATGCTATGCAAGGGATAGGAAAAGAAAAACGAGCAAGAGGGATCTAGTATATAGTACGGATCATCTAATTCTTGCCCAAAGTCCTTGGCGTTTCTCATTTCCCTCGCTATGAACGCATTGAAGGTCATCGATTAAAATACAGCTAGGTCTAGCACTATTATCTCGCAATTACCAGCTCGTCAACCCTTTCGCCCTATCAAACCCACCCCTCAACTGTGACTCAGGATGCACGACTTTCCCCTGTAGAATAGTGTACTTAACAATGCCCTCACAATGCTCAGGCCGTACACGCGCAAGCCAAATCATCTGCTGATCCTTCTTACGATAGATCAAAACATTCGCAGAGAACTTATGCCCGCCGACATGCGACACGAAGAAAATGCCCGCCCCACCAGCCCGGGAGTCATCCGCATCCCGATCCAGTCCAAGCGGACGGAGATGTCGCTCCAGCTCGCGCTTAATGAGTGGTGCTGTAATGCCGCAGCGCGCATCTCGGCGCCCGTGCGAGCAGAGTAAAATTACATAGTCGAGTTCACAGGGTCGAGCGCTCATCCCACTCGTGGGAGAGATAGTGCCGTTTCCATTTTTCTGGTCGATGGGGTGGTCGATGAATCTGGCGATCAGGCCCTGAACGTCTATCTGTGTGACAGAGTCGACGTATGTGAATGATGGTAGAATTAGTACTGTTGTACCTTGCTTAGAACTATCGTCTGTGGTTGGTTGTTCTGGAGGAGTGAGATTTGATGCTGAGACTTTGATGTGCTGGATCAGGTGTTAGTGGAGGTATGCTAGATGTGAATTTCGAAACTTACACCATGATCTGACCTCGCCCCATTGAAAGCTTCCATCAAACTTCCTGTCACATTTTCGACATCCTTTTCCTTCCAGTCGGATTGGCCCGTTGCTACGAGAACATGCGCGTGAAATTCTTTGATTTGGCCATAAAGAGGTCTTGAAGCCTCGACTTTGACTTTTGATGGAAACTGCACAGTGCAGTCGGTGCAGTCTTTTAAACATTCGGGGCCGTCCTCTTTGGGATCCACTTTAGGAAAGACGTAGTCGTTGGCGCTGGCGCCTGTGCGGCCCAAGGAAAGCAAGGAACGTAGCATGGTCGAAGGTGTAATTGAATTACGACGAGGTTGGAAGTTGAAAGTTTAGTGCAGATGTTAGGTGTTTTTGAAGTTAAAAATTGCCTGGCGAGATAGATGTAAACCTCAGTATCTCCGAGACGTGCGCCGAGTCCGGTCGAAAAGCCCGAACTCCGAGTTGACAGGGTTATCCCCAGACTCGGATCTCTCTAGGGCTGATGTTAAGTGGAGATAATTAATTTGGTGACCCCGTTTTATCCTATTTTGTAGGGCCTAGTGTTTTTAGTCCAACGCGGAGACTTACAGCCATTACATCCCTTTGATCTGCATCTACCACGTGGAATCAGCCCGAAATACACGTCACATTCTGCTAGCATGGCAATTGGCCGTTGACAGCGACACGTACAGCCTAATCTTATCAGATCCTCGTGCAGAGCACTCCCCATCAACCTCAGCGCCACGTCTTTGAAATACCGTCTGGTGTAACGGACTTTTGAAATCTGGTGTCAGTTTCCAAGGCTCATATAGTCCTATTTTGCGAGAAAGAACGAGATAAAACAAACATCTATGTAATAAGTGCTACGTGGTTATCCGCACCCGTATGGTGGGTAAACCAAGTGAATCAGGTCCCATAAATGCGTACAACTTCTTGTCGGTGATGACTATTCTCGTGATTTGGAATTAGACCAACATCGGGGATAATCTTGTGTCGTTGCCTAGAGGTTGCAAAGAGACGCAGTTGCCCATTGCCAATACTTGAATATTTCCCGGTAGGTCTTGGAGAATTTTCAATTTCGAAGTGTGAAGGATAATAAGCTATACTCCTTTTAATACACTAAAACCAAGCGTATAGCCCCCTTCGCGGAGTTTGTTAATATTCCGTGGGTCTTTCGGAAAATATATCCGAAAGCGAAGATGCAGGACAAAAAGAAGATAAATTCCAATGAAAAAAAAGAAAGAAATAAAAAAAACAAATAGGGAATTGAAAAAAACCAAAAAGAAAACACACGACGTCGGTCAGACTTTCCGCATTGGGTCGTCCCACGGGCGCAGAGCGGGACCACGTAAGCCGGAGCTGAGCCAATTCCCAGAACTTCCCACACATCTCGGACATAAGAACTCTCCTAAGTATAACCCGAGCTTGTTGCCAATAAGATGGATGTTCAAGGGAATGCCCAGCCCGATCGCGTGCGCAAGCGTCGCCGCCGCACAATGGCGTGCACGCAGTGTCGCACGCGCAAGTTGCGATGTGATCGCGAGTATCCCACTTGCAGTCGCTGTTTGAAGAGCAGAACACCGAGCAAATGCACATATGAGGATGGCTTCTTATGGCAGCAACCGACCACTGTCACGACTACTGCATTAGCTACCGACCAAAGGTCCACGCTATCTATGCCCAGAGATACCCCAATTGACACACCTCCGGATTCGGGAATACCGACAGTGGCAACTCGGACGGAGCCTTTCCCAGCTAGTGAACTTCCTCGTATGGCTATGGCCGGCAGTCCAATGCATCACGACTATCATGGTCTTACGGGGCATGCTCTTGCACCGCCCTACAGAGGTCGACCACACGACAGAGAGCGAAAGGACTGCTTTTTGGAAACTGTTCTCGGCGCTCCTAAGGCTGCTGTCAATCAGGAATCTTACGTGAACATGGGTTTACAGCGTCCGAAGCGCCCGGCGCCAGCATCAGAGCAAGATACGCAAGCACCGTCGCAGGTCGACTATGCGCACATTGACGAAGAAGAGGACCCGCTATCACCTACGGACCAGCTAGACCTCGCTCCTCGCATGATGATGAGAGGCCGTGAAACCAAAACCCGTTACAGCGGATCGGGCATCTTTGCCAGTCTAGTAGCACAGGTCAGCACCCCCTCCTCCCCCACCTGCTCTTTAGATTTCAATCACCAATGGCATCCAAAACACGGAGGCTGACATATTCGTAGTTTCCGGATATAAGATCATTTGCGGAAGAGATCAGGCTTTCTACTCCTATTTTCGCACAACTTCAGCCGGATCTGAGAAGGGTTAAGCGCGGGCTATTCAAACTTATGGTGCTCAATCGGCCCATCCCAGACCCTACAACGGCTTCGCTAATTAACATGCTGCCCTCGCGCGGCGTGGTCGATGAACTGATTGGGTTATATATCACTTATATTGAGTCCACTCACCGCATTCTTCATGTTCCATCGTTCTTACGAGAGCTCGACCAATTCTGGGCCATGCTAGACAGCCCGGCCTCAATATCTGCTGCCTTTACAGTTCAGGTACTGTTAGTCCTTGCCTGCGCATGGAACCTCGCGGATTTTGCTAGTCTGCAGTCAAAAAGCGTGGGCGAACTCAAATGCCAGTCTGCAATGGAGTGGACGCTGCACGCAGAAAAATGGATCGAGAATCTTCACACCAAGCGTCCGGAGATCACATCAATGCGGCTATCTATCTTATTGATTTTGGCGCGCAACGCCCACGGCATGAAACGCAGCCAGGCTTGGCTTACAACAAGTACATTGGTCAAACAAGCAATGATGGCAGGATACCATCGCGACCCAAGCCGGTATGCGCGGATCTCTGTATTCAATAAAGAGATGCGACGGCGAATATGGACAACCATTGTGGAACTGGACCTGCAGATTGCTCTTGACCGGGGAATGCCACCGTCAGTACAAAGCTTTGACTATGATGCGGCTCCGGGGCTGAACATTTTCGACGACGAAATCCACGAGAATAGCACCGAGGCTCCCCAAAGCCGCCCATCGTGGGAAGTAACCGACTCCTCCTTCCAATTTATCCTGAGTCGGTCGCTACCTCTCCGCCTTCAAGCATGTTCTCTCATGCACTCCCCACGGATCAGCTGTCGATATGAGGATATTCAGCGCCTGGACGGTGAGCTGAACCGCCATCTTTCTCGGATTCCTTCGTGGGTGACAGTAGACCCCAACGACATCGCAACCCAACACAAAGTCATACTGTGGAAAGGATTGATTGAGACCAAACTTTCCCAGACACTACTGTCTGTCCACACCCCTTTCGCAATTGAAGCACGACGAGAATCACTCTTTGCTCCCTCCGCGCGTACTCGCATGGATGCCGCGACTAGAATATTGACAACCCAGCGCCGGCTACACGAGATATCGCGAACGCTATCGCTATGTATGCTTGGTGAATGGACTATCCACGCCTACATATCTATTTGCCAATTGCTACACACAACCGAATTTGACGCCTGTAAGTCTTTCCTGTGGTTCAATACTTGACTATGAGAACCCAAACTCATATTTTGCAGCTACCCCCTCCCATCCTATCTCATCAACCTTCATTCTCCACAATATACCCGGAGTCCCCGAATCGCTCCTATCACTTGTAGAAACAGCCCTGATCGTCTTGGAAGAGCGCTGCCTTTTAATGACCAAGGGAGCAAAAGACTATTATTTCCTTTCGACGATCGTCGCACTAGTCAAATCCCGACTCTGGCCGGCACAAGCAACTATGTATAAGCAGCAGGTTGTTGAACGAGTGCTGTCATTTGCGCAGATTCTCTTCTCTCGGCACATGAATTGCGACCACCTCGGCGACAAGGGGGTGGGTAATTTCAAGAACAACCAGCTGGCTACATTTATGGCGGCTCCAACAATGGTACCTGTGATGCAGCCCGAATTTGATTCTAATGGGATGCTCCCGCCGCCGCAACCTGGCGTGTTAGTGAGTTGCATGCTTTTCTTAGTTCTCCTCTTTTTTTTTAACGCTAACTATGGGGTTCCCAGCCGCCGGATGAATTCGATCCTTTCTTGGAGATCTTCGATTGGGAGGATCTGACAAGCATGACGTTCCCCTGTTGAGCATACTTAGAGCAGGCTTTAGCTTTTTATACGGACACTGTACGATACCACGTCTTTTGCATTTACTGTGTCCCGACCATTGTATATAGTTGAGCTCAGGAAATACCCACAAATATCAAGAAATTAGTCGCACTGCGGTCATTCATATTTCGTTGCGTAATCATGATGTTGTCATTCAGTTGGGTCCACCATGAGATCATGATTGGAGAGATTAGCATTGACGGCATGCAAGGGAGTGCAGGGTCAAACAAAATAGAAAACAATGCCACACTCAGCATTAATTTGTATTATTGCCTAACGTTATATAAAACTATTTTTCTCTAGTTAGCCTCAACTAACAGTTGCGTTGCTGCCTTGCCTATAGCGCAAAGTCTTATTGGCTATTGATCGTCATAACGGGGATATTCATCAATTGACCTTTTGTGCAATCTTTGGACGCTGTATTTCATACTAATAAGGAACCGGAAATATAAGCCATCGATATGTAGACCCGGTTTAGTACTTGAAGGTACATCTGTACAAGGGAGATTCTGGCTGTGAGATTAGGTATCTTTATGTACCCGTCCAAATACAGAAGTGGATTTGATCTCGATCTGTCCATGACATGAAAAAGTAAAAATAAAAAAACTAAAATATTTGGCTTTGCAATTGACTTCGATAAGGGCTGTGCTTTGCTATGCTTTGCTATGCTTTGCTGTGCTTCTTTTTCTTTCCTTTGCACACTTGTACCATGTGTTTCTTTCTTTCTATATCTCCGTTTTTACTCCTATCCTCTACCCCTTTTCACTGCATCAAACATTAAAGACTAGAATGGAGGCATGTCTATCATTTGATAACTCCCAACCCGGTCAACCAGGCCAATCCCCCTCATATAATCCCTACATCCTCGGATATAACCCCATATACATACTCAACTCGACGATGCATCGCCTCCTACTCCTCTCAATAATCATCGCGATTGCAGCCCCACTGGCGGGATCCGTCCCAACCGAAGCCCGGGGTCACAACCCGAAGCAAGTATACAAAACAACGGACAAGTTCCCCCTCGCAAACCCAGGAAACATTCCAGCCCACGACCCAAACATCATCCTGCACAACGACAACTATTACCTGTTCAAGGGCGGAATCAACATCCCAATCTTCAAATCAGCCAATATATCCGGTCCATGGGAAAAGCTCGGCACAGTTCTAGCCGGCGACAGCATAATAAACAAAGGCAATCCCTCCCGACCATGGGCCCCAACAACAATTGAAAAAAACGGCACCTTCTACTGTTACTACACGCTGAGCGCAAAGGGGTCCCGCAATAGCGCAATCGGCATCGCGACGACAACAGCCCTTGACGGTAGTCCCTGGACCGACCACGGCGTTGTCATTAATACAAGCAAGGGTTTAGGGTCCGCGCTGTGGCCGTACACGATCACAAACGCCATCGATGCATCTGTGATCGTTGACCAGGATTCCGGACAGAGTTATCTCAATTACGGAAGCTTTTGGCATAATATATGGCAGGTGCCGTTGACGGATGATTTGCTTTCTGTTAAGGATGCGAGTGGGCCAGATGCGGTTCAATTGACGTTTATGCCGGGCGCAAAGACCAAGCCCGAGGAGGGTGTTTGGATGAGTTTCCGGAAGGGATATTATTATGTTTGGTTTAGTCATGGGAATTGTTGTAACTTCCGGAAGGGGTTCCCTAAGCGTGGGAAGGAGTATAGTATTCGTGTTGGGAGGTCGAAGAATGTGCGTGGGCCTTTTGAGGATAAAAAGGGGAAATCGTTGGTCGAGGGCGGTGGAACGGTGGTTTATGGTTCTAATAATGGCGTTGTGTACGCGCCTGGTGGCTTGGGTATTTTGGATGGGAAGAATGATTCCATGCCGGATATTCTTTACTATCATTATTTGAATACGTCCATTGGGTTTGAACACAAGGTGAGTTTTGGTTGTGTTCGTTTTCGCTTTTGGGTTTGAACTGACTGTTCTCGCAGCAAGCTCAGCTCGGCTGGAACTATCTCGACTATGAGGATGGGTGGCCGGTGCCTTTTGCAGGCCAAAATCCCACAGCCAATGTCGCCTTTGTCCATGGACCTCCTAGTTGGGGTTATATCACAATCATTTTCGGTATGAAAACATTCATGATCATGTGTGTTGATGCTGATACGTGTATAGGTTTATGGCTGTCCATATGCAGGTGATTATAACCGTGGCCCTACCCCGTTTCTCGCTCCCTCATGTTCCTTTCGTGTATTTCAGCGATTGCATTCATCTATCATGGCGGCGTTTGATTGAATTCCCGGCATTATGTCTATCATCTAGCAAGCGTTTCATTTTGTTCTCCATCAATGGATGTCATTGGCATATCAAGCCGTGGCGATAAACCCAATACATGCCCTTGAAACAACACAGTTATTCCCACCCACCATCAACACTGAGAATCTGTCCAGTCGTATACGAGGAAGCATCACTGAGCAAGAAAATAACCGTCTGAGCAACCTCGTCACTGGTCCCGACGCGTGGGATACTAACGGGCGGAATACTCATTCCGCCCTGGATTTCCTTCGCCATCTCCAGCAGAGGAGTCTGAATAGAACCACTAACACAAACGAATCAGTCAGATCCACCAAAAAAAAAAATAACCAAACACAGATACTCACGGCGCAACAGCGTTAACCCTAATCTCAGGCCCAACCTCCTTCGAAACCGACTTCGTCAACCCGGTAACAGCATGCTTCGTAGTCGAATACCCAGCATGCAACGGAAACCCCTTAATCCCCTGAATACTCGATGCATTAACAATGCTGCCCTTTCCACCAGGCGCAGTCGCGGTAATCGCCTTCAGCTGCGCCCGCAGACAGTACATTAATCCGGTGACATTGACACGCATCAACATATCCCACTCGGCATCATCCTGGTCAACGAACTTGCCAGTGCCATGGTTCTTGCCAATCGTGCCAGCCATATTTGCCGCGCCATCCAATCGTCCGAAGCGCGAGATAGTACTGTCGATCCAGTCTTTTACCGCGCTCGCATTGCTGATATCCAGTGCGGTTGTGGTGATTGTCTCGGCTGTTGAGGATCCGAACTCGGCTTCGATTGTCTCCCGTGCTGTGGCGAGGACTTTCTCGCTCAGATCTGCAAGAGAAAGGAGGGCTCCCTGCGAGTGTAATTGACGTGCCACGGCGAGTCCGATTCCGCCCAGACCGGTCACGGCGTATACCCTGCCTTTGACGGAGTCCATTGTTGATGTGTGTTGGTTGGGTATGGGGTTTTTTGAGTTTGGAATTTGTGGGGTAGGGATGTTATGAATTGAGAGAGTAGCTTTGATTATTTGTATATGTGGGATCCATGGATGTGACGGTTACTTTGGATAATGGCGGGGGATAACGTGGGATAACGTGGGATAACGTGGGGTCGGAGATACTCCGTGGCCAATCTAACATGGTCGGGTATATTCAAGTTGCATTCATCGGCTAAATGGTGTGGTTAGGGTCTCCTTGAACACCCGCATAGCCCCTAAGCCATATTGGATAATTGGAATTATATATTCCTCTACACTCTGGCCGCGAGTCATCTGGAATGCCTCCAGGTCTAGATATCGGAGTTGATGGCCCATCTCGTATGAGATTGGCTGGAGTTCCGGTAAAATCATGGTAGAAGTCCAAAGTACTTATCACGGATGAACTATCTGCGCTACTATATATATTGGTCCTGGGCATATCCATCAGAGCGAGAGCTCTGACATAGTGGTCCTTTTGGCCGGGTTAGAGAATGTGCACCCAGGCATATCCTTTACAGGAAGGATATACGGATTTACTGGAAGTAGTGTGCCACCTTTTAAATAAAGAATAAGTATTCGTGTTTACATCGATCTCTATTAGAATTACAATCGAATGCTTTATAGGGGAGCTTATTATACCACTGTGGCAAAGCGCCATCACAACTAGGTACTATCAAGGAAGGGGCAAGGTGGGGATGTGCCTACAGGTTTATTTGCCAAATAGCTGCTTGTAACAATAGAATGAGCACGTATAGACATAATGATATCTCTCTACTTTGACGGCGCCGCTATGTTTGTATTTGTGGGTATAACGGGATGAAGCGTGCAAATGCCATCCAAAGTTCTGTCGCTTAATGTAGTACTAGCTAGTAAAGATTATGAGAACGAAGCTGAAGACTATATTAGTCTACTATAGGGATAATCATGTACTGTGAGAGATTCAAATACGAAGGTACTAGAACCTGGTACAGCAAGGTACATAGATATGTAAAATCGTGGCTGGAAGCTAAGTAGTGACTCGAAGCCAATGGAAAAATACGCCTCGTATCAAATGCGGCTGGTGGTGGTGGTCAGCTAGCTTAGATCGACTAGGGTTCCTGATACCCTTAGGGGGAAACAGGAAGTGAGTAGCCTTAGAGATTACGAGGGCAAGGTGACACCAAGAATCCGAAACTTACGCATCACTGTAAGTGAAAGATTTCATATTCAGAGGTATGTCGGTATTTACGGAGCTTAAATTTCAACCAAGGTCTTCGCTATTTTGTGTTAGTTATAGATATCAGCAACTTAGCCTTTCAGACCTACGTATCCTGCATATTGATTTTCAGCACTGAGATGGTATCGCGGAATAAAGTGCATCGAGCTATTTGTAAATCTGTCTGTCGCATTCGTGCGGTATAGAAACGTGTACATCGACCTATAAATTGTATGAGCTCTAATAATGGCATGAATATGTGACCGGAGCGGTAAGGTACATCTATCAGTGAGTCAGATGGGAAGATCAACTACACGCATGGACCCCCGATTCTGTCGAATAACTGTCATATGGACTGCTAACAGGCCGAATTTCCGGGCGACAGGTGAGAATAGCTTCAGCATCTTGGCAGACTAGTTACTACTATGAAATTTGCCAACAGCTCTAGGGAGACGGAGTTTAAATAATATAGCCGTGCCACTATTCTGACTTGTTGGACTGTGCACGAGTGCATACTACGATATATGTTCTATCATACAATCGTGATCTTTTCAAAATTATAAATTGCCTAAAAATCGATTCTTTATTATCTCAGGTCTTGCAAATTAGATGGATTTCTGATTTATATCTATATCGCCGCCGGCTTAGCACTTTTACTTTCAGTTAAAATATTTAGGGCAAGTGATTAAGTTTATATTTATCCCACGTCTTTTTTACTTGTTTCCAGACATATTGTTCTACCCTATATTTTTAACGACAACGCCTATAGGGTCCGATAACCAGGCTCCAAGCTTTACTATATAGTAACCACTTTAGAGGTACACTATGTGACTTAGAAGGGAGCATATAATGCACTTTTGCAAGGTATGCCGGGTACCAGGTGGCACATGATTTTCGGGGTAAAAATACCCTGTTCCAACCATGTAATTTATCTCAGGATCCTGACAAACATCCATGGATGGCAACGAAAATATGAATTCATATTGTTCGCCAAGAGCGGCCCAGTGGATGATCTTACCTGGTTTGGTAATCTCTGCAGCTCGCGACGTATGAAGGGCTCTGAGGCCGGGGAATTCTTGAAGAAACGATGCTGTAAATACTAAATCTTCCATTGTACAATTGCTTGCGGCCAGGAGGTGATGAGTCGAGTTGGGTAGATCATTTGGCTTGGGGTCGATTACAACGCTATGCAATATATGAAGTATTTTAATTATAGTCTCCACTTAGATCTCTCGGGACAGTCAAGCAGAATGTCTCAGTTTCCACAGTCTCCAAAGCGGGCCTCGTGATAGTGGGGTTTTCCCGGGGTAGCTGCCTCTTTGGATCATTTTGGGGGACGGAGGACGATGAGCTGCCATTAAATGGACGTTAGAGTTCACCTAAAAACGCCTGCTGTTGGTGGCGTTCGGCTTAGCTGCTTCCCCATTAACTTGGCATTCAGCTTTCGCGGACGAAGGAGAGAGCATTGCAGATTATCTATTGAAAATTCCTCAAGTAGAACTTGGCGGACATGGGAGTTAATATGGGCCTTGGGGCCATGTCGGTACTAGGGGTTTTAATTGGGTTGGGGCGATATAATGGACACTGCTTCACTGCTTTATTCTACTACGCTATCTGTTAAATATTGTCAACTCATGATGTCATCTTGATATGAAAGCAATGTAGGATGCAAGGCAGCTTTCAGAGGCAATGCATAAATCTTGGAAGTCGAGGAAGTATAAAAACCCCTGAACAGCACCATCAAGATGAGGGTATCAACAACAACCTATCCCAACAAACTACAAACTACAGCACTTTAATCCTCAAATCTCAAATTTCACAACATAATCATGCTTTCTCTCCGTGTCACTCTTCTTTGCCTGATGGCTACCTCTGGAACCGTGTACGGCGAACGCCTGAGGGCCGTCTGGTCATCTGGTTCATTCGCATCAATCTCCGGCCCTGACGGTGGCAGTTCCGGGTCTAACTATGACTCGGGCTTCGCAATCCTCAACAAGGATGGCAACGCCATTTATGAAAACGGCTGGCCCGGCGATCATTCAGCCTGTCAACAATACGACGGCCGCGAGTGGACTATGGAGGGCGCCTGCTGGAATAAAGCACTCAAGTTCTACTGCAAGGCCGACTTCGCAGGCACCCCTGAGGAGTGCGAGGTCAAGAACGATCAAGGCATAGCCATTGGCAAAGGTGTGGGAATAAAGAACACAAAATTCATTGGCATCGCCATTGGTACAGATGCTTCCTGTGCCATCGAATTTGATTCTGACAGTGCTGGCTGCCCTGTCAGTGAGGGCGAGGGCCCCTTTAAGGTCATCTAGGGTTGAACAACATTACAAATTGCTCGATATACCCTGCAAATGTTGGAATTTTCTTTTGTATCTAGGCAGTACTCTATTGCAATTCAGATCCATGACTCCTTGCCTGTTACTACCTAGGGCTGAGTTTTGATTAAACAAAAAGTGTGGGATAATACGTGGGGGATAAACATGCATAAAACATGGGCAGAGACCTTTGACGCTAGTAGATCCACTGTGGAGGTAAGTGAATCCCACCAAGTTGGACAGTTGTAACTAACTAGTTAACGTATTTCACCACCGAGCTGGACAAACCTCGTAGCTGGACACCCCACCTACCCGATTAATTTTAAATACATATAACTCAACCAAACGTAATTAAATCAATTCAACTAGAAATTGGTCTATCTAGACATATTTCTTTTCCATGCCCATCTGCATATTCCACACCCCCGGGGCACCGGCGAAGAGTTCGTTCATTCCTCAATTCGCAATATGAAAGCCGCGACCATAGAGATACCACAACTCGGCAATTAAGCTTGAAGGGAAGATATCACAACAATATTTCTTTTCGCTTATATACGTCTGCGGGTTCTCTTAGCCTTCATCTCGGATCGTTCTTATCATGCTATACTTCTCCTTTGGACCGCTACTTTTTCTCTTGTTATACTCTGCTTCTCCTTCGAGTCACTAGGCTATAATCGGTTCTTGCTTTTATCTTATTCAAGTAATAAAATTTATCTGAAGCACCCTTTAATCTTCCTGGAATTCTATATGCTGAATGTAGTAGTTGTTATTGTAACATATAGAAAGGATGGGGAATGAGTACAATAGCTTGAAGACACGTTTAAGTCTTCAAATAGTACTGTATCCTAGCATCCCTTAGATGTCTTTCTTAGACTATCTTAGTTTTAGAGGACAGGAAGAAGGAGAGAGAGAGAGAGAGCTATCTATCTATCTGGATTCTGTCCCATCGTGGTGCCTGAGGCTGTGTATTACGCATCAGGCATCACGCAGATTCTCCGTGGGGAATTCTCGTGTATTGGAAAATTTTGCCACTTATGGAACTTTGATAATCCAATCGGATCCTTCGAATCAACCCTGCGTTATGCAGGCTGCCGATATGCTTGCATTATAAGGACGAAAGCGCTTATTGAGCTCTGATGTCAATGCATCAGTTGCTTGTAATTGCCAAGTTGATCTAAGGCTTGCCAAGACGTCCATTGTGCAAAAGATCCTAACTTGATAAATGGTAGAAGAATTGGCCCCAGTTGGTTCATATAATAAGCATATATGTAACTCTCAGATCCAAGGTTGATGGATTGACTTCTGGCCGGAGCCATATTAATTGAATATATGTACACGTACAATATGCATCGAAACTCCATAAACCGCAAATAGGTATCTCAAAATGCAAAACTCAACACCCCAATGCCATCAAAAAAACATCCCCGATAAAAGCATTGCCCCAACCAGCAAAGAAACCCATCCCACCGCCGGACCCCTTGCCCCCGAACTTTTCTCCGTTTTGGTCCCATGTACAACATCTTGAGCATTCAAGCAGTACATGACCTTTTTCGCCTCAGCCGAAGTGCGCGTATCACAAATAGCCGTACAAGGATCCGGGTCCGCAAAAGTCCACACCCCATTCGGACAACAATCCTGCAAAAGAGCCTTCATATCTCGGTGCGGATGTTGTGGCTGGTACAGCGGGACTTGGTTATAATATTGGATATTGGAGGGCAGCGGAGGCATTGCATCGCGCAAGTTGGAGCATTCGGCCGGTTGTGTGAATTGTGTGCCGTTGGAATCGCTTATAGGAGGTGTCATGGTGAATTGTGTGTTTGCCGGGATGGTCCGGTCCGAGATATTGTGACGCGACGCGAAACGCGAAACGCGAAATAGGACAGGCGTTATTTAGGGTGAGGATGTGCGGTCGATCGGTGGGATGTTTGACAGCAGGGAAATCCAGGGGTTTTATTATGAAAATCATCCCACGGCCTTAACCTCCTGAAGGTGGGAAAAGTGCCAAGCCACTATCGTTGGAGATATTGGCCTGAGAAGTGGAGTAGCTGACGGGTGTTCAGGACCTGCCATCTGCGGGAAGGGATGGCAAGGACTCATTCGTTCGTCGATCTCTTTGGCCCTTTTTCGTCCTTTTCCTTTTTGGCATTTGGTCTTTAGAGCCAAAGTGAGACAAGGGAAAGTGCAATCTCATAATTCAGTTTCTCCTTGCTTAGTTTTGTGATCTGTATATTGTCTTTCTAATACGGAGAAAATAACCCTTACGGTCAAATTTACAATCGAGCCATTTGATTGACTCGTCGCCACATTTTCTTTCGGCGTTCGTGTCCTTCGTTGAAATCCGCCAACCATTTCTGCTCGAACCTAGGTAGGCACCGTCCTGCACCACGAGGTTCCCCTGCAAGATGGCGGAGGCTCTCGAAGTAGGGCTCAAATTCCGGGTTGAGCACTGTGAATCCGGGGCCATCGCTCTTCTGTGCAATACGGTCGGTTTCCCATTTTTCCTGCTCGGCAATCGAGGGCAGATTTGCTTTGCCCGCGAGAACACGCGCGGCTGCGACGGCCTGCCATTCAAAAACTTTGAAGGTCAATCCCGCACCAACCTGGGGATACTTTGTTAGCATTCGATTCGGGGAATTGTTTTTCCGGCTCGAGAGACTCACAGCGCCTACAAAAACGAGGGATGGATCATGTCTATAAAAGACATGTTGGTAGAGATCCGGCACACGATTGTTCCGTGTGGCGACCTCAGGCAAGAACGGAAGAGTCCAGCTGAAGCCAGTTCCGAAAATCAGATGGTCGACACCGGTTTCAGAGGTATTGTCTTCGAAATGCACGGTCCGTTCGCCTTCATCATTACTCGTAATGTGTGAGATGGGCGGGCAACGCTGGATTTTAGGGTGCTGGAAAGCGAGATCTCCGAAATAGGCGTTGTAACGACCACGGACCACAGCAATGACTGGTGTCTGGGCGCTACCAACCAAACTCACCGCAGTATCAGCGGCGGAAACAGACGCGCCGACGGTGATGACTTTCTACGATGTGTAAGCGGATGGTAAAATAATATGGTTGGAGCTTCATTTACCTTTCCCTGATATTTCTCAGGCCCACGGTAATGCTTTGTATGTTGAACACTACCGGGATACCTCGCAGCAAACTCCTTCAACCCTGGAATCACAGGAATAAACGGCACCGCGTAATGCCCCGAAGCCACCACAACGGCATCATACTCCTCAGCCCACCAGTAGTCTGACTTGGCACCGTCCACAACTTCCGTTCGGCGGAATGTAAGCACCCATTTCTGACTGCTGGGGTCTTTGATTGCGCGTTCAACAGTAGTGTTATACTGGACAAGATCTTGATACCCGTTCCGGTTAAACAGGTCCTCAATATACTTGCGGATAACCGAATGGTGTCGGAAAGGCGTGTCAGAGCCATGACGCTCGATCGACCACTGGGATCGAACTTCGGGAATCTCCTCTTGAGAAAATGACATGGCTCCCGCGTTCACGTTAGTCTCCAGCGCCGGGTACACAGCGGAGTCCATGAATCGGTCCTGGGAGACTACGGGCGTCCGGCACGGGAGGTGCTCGGGGATTTTGAGAGGCGCATCGGCTGTTCGCGCAGCTAGACCGTCAAAGTCGAGCTGCTGCGGCGGCTCATCGTCTCTTGATACCCTGTTGTTTTTTGTTAGGGTTAGGAATTGGTGGAGATATTAGAGTAATATAGTAACATACCAGCATCCGCCGGCTGTCTCTTGTCTTTCAAATACACGGATGACATCAAATGCTTTCTCTTGTGCCAGTGCATCGACTGCAATAGCGCCAGCTGGGCCGGCCCCGATGACGGCTATGCTTTTGATTTGAGGCATAGTATGACACTATATATTTTTGGTGATTGGCAAGAGTTTGGGTATATAGCAGCTCTTCATCAAAGCTGTCTCGGCCGAGGTTAAAAATGAGAATATCTGGGGTGGACTTGACTCTATCACGCCATCCGACTCTATTTTAGCGCAAATTTGATATTGGCATCCAATGGAAACACCGGGTGAAAGGTATAGATAGCCGAAATCGGAGTCATACAAAATATATACAGGAGAACAGCTTTCCTTTTAATACATCAATGCAGAATTCTGCGAGACACTTAAAACTCAAAGTTTCGATCTTTCTCCCATCGGCCAAACATCTCGGCCGTTGATCTGATTGGCTGTCGGCATTGAAGTTTTACGGTCACGTGGAGATGAGCCGGGGTTCGTCAGGAACTGCATTCCGATTGGTTGATGATTTCTTCCTTGGGATTCAGGCTAACAATCCACATGGCCAGCATATTTAGTTCAGCGAAGTAACAACAGGTGATGCAATTAGTGTATGGCAAATGATGATGATACAACCCAAACCAAAGCGAAGATGCAAATACGGCTAGACTAAGTAAACACATCGGTCGCGAACCGCTCCTTTGTCCGCAAATTATCAAAGAACTTGTCAGCAGCCTGATCCTCATCGAGCTCAGCACTAGGAGGAGTCTCCCCCTTCTCCTTAAGCTCGGCGAGCACCGCACGGCGCTTCTCGAGATACATCTCTCTGCAAGCCTCGCGAATACCAGCACCAACACCAGTACTGCCGCAAACATAAATATTCGCACCTTCCTCAAACAGCTTCACCAGCTCTTCGCGGTCATCAAGCATGAGATCTTGAACATGCCGTCCCTTGCTTCCATCAGTAGGCCGACTATACGCCCAGCGGACATCGACGGCGCCCAGCGCAGCCCACTCTGCAAGTTCAGCAGAGTGGATATCATCCTGGCCCTTCGTGCGACAGCCGATATAAAGCACCGCCTTGGCAGGCTTGACAGTCGCGTTGTCATGCAATTCGTCCGAATCAGGCGAGCTGCGACGGCCACGGATCCTCTCCGCGCGGTCCATGACGAATCCACGGAACGGCGCGAGACCGCTACCCGCGCAGGCCATGATCATCGGTGTTTCAAGGTCAATTGGTGGCTTGAAGCCTGAGTGTGAGGGGCGGACGGTGATGTGGGCGCGTTCACCGGCTTGAAGCTCGGAGAGGTAGTTGGATGCGACGCCTAGGTATTGCTCGACGCTTTCGTTGCCTTCTGGGGCGGCGCTGGCGAGTGCGGGAGCGCTGAGAACGCTGAAAGTGATCGAGCACTCGGATGGGTCAACTAGCGGCGAGGAGGAGATAGAGTATTGGCGCACGCGCATCGGGGGCAGCATTGCGAGGAAATCGCCGATGGGGAGCTTGATTGTTGGATAGCGGGTTAGCAGGTCCAGTGGGCTGACGCGCTTCTTGACGATTTCTTCAGTGAAGCGGCTGGGGCTGGAGGCGATGTAGCGTAGTTCGGCTTGGATCTCCGCGTCTGAGATGGCAGCATCGGCTAGGACATTGAGATCGCGCTTCGAGGCGGGTTGGGATAGCTCGATGTAGGTGGATAGGAGCTCGAAGGCTGAGATCGGCGTGTCGATGGGGATTGAGGGGGAGGCTGTGGAGCCTGAGGGCTTCTGAACTTTCATTACGGCGTCCCAGGGGAGGTCGAAGCGGCGGATTGCGCGACGGACGATTGAGCTTGGGTTCACGGGCAGCACTGCGAGGTAATCACCGCACTGGTAGGTCATGTCCGATGGCAGCTTGAACTTGACCAATCGTTTCGCTGGGGCCCCGGGTGGTGTAAGGAGCTGGTTTTCGATGACGAAGCCTTCTTCGAGCTGAAGACCAAGGGTGGATGCGCGCATACCCGAGCTCACTTCGACCTGCAATGAAGACTTCGGCTTGATAGCTTGATCAGGGCTAGCTCCACCGAATTTGGCCATGACGGCCGGCCAGAATGAGGTCTCACCCCAGCTATCGAAGTCGGTGAACATGTCTGAGTGAGCTGCATCGGCAAGACCGATACCACAGAGCTGGGTAGCACCATTGTCCTTGGCGAGTTGATCAATGGCCTTGGGAATACGATAGAAAGTGGACGACCAATCATGATGGCCACAACCGAATGTTGCGTAGTTGACGCCTTCTAGGTCGTTGTCTTTCAGCTCACTGAGCCACTGGAAGAAGTGAGCCGCATTATCCGGAGGCTGTCCTTCGTAAGACGCCGAGATGAAGACGACAGGGTCGTTCTTCGGGATATTCTGCATGGCCGAATCCAAAGAGCTTGTCTGCGCAACGTACCCATATGCAGTGGCATCATCAGCCAACCTGCGGGCGAATGCCTCACAAGTTCCTGTGTTGCTGCCGTAGAACACGTGCATTGGCTTCAGCGTACCGTCCACTGGTGCAACCTTGGGCTTGCGATCCCGGCTGCCGGCGCCAGTCTCTGTGGGTAGAGCAGTAGAGCCACTGAGGGCAGTGGTGAGCTGCGTAGGATCGAGTCCATCTCTCAGGGTAGCCTTCATTTGGAAGTCCTTGGGCTTGATGGTAAGTGTCTGCTTAATGCGGAGGTCGTAGCTAGGGTTGTCCATCTGGAAGTTGAAGTTCTGGAGCAAGATCGCAACCACAAGGAGAGCCTCCTGCCATGCGAACGGCCGTCCAATACAGCCTCGCATGCCGTTTCCAAATGGCTTCCATGCGTTCTTGGGCAGCTTCTCGAAGTTTTCATCGAGCATTCGCTCTGGTTTGAACTCATCGGCGTCGGCGCCGTAGACCTTCGGGTCGCGCTGCATTTTTCCAAGCATGAGCGCAATCGTCTCATCCTCTTGAAGCACATATTTGCCACCTCCTAGTGTGACAGGATCTTCCTTGTTCTTGGTGGGGTGGGGGTGTAGGGCAATCATCGGGGCGGTTGGTCTCAGACGCAGCGTCTCGCGCATAACGGCGGTAATGTATGGCAGCTTGGACATGTCATCGACGGTGATCTTGCGTTTACCAATCACACGGTCGACTTCCTCTTGGGCCTTCTTGTATGCGCTCGGGCTCTTGAGAAGATAGTAGAACAGGAACGACAACATGCCGGAGGTGGTCTCGTGACCTATAAAGTTCCAAGTCAGAACGATATAATGCGCTAATTGCAGGACTTGTTCACTTACCAGCGATGAGGAATGTTATCATGTTATTTATAATGGAGTCATCTGTCATACCCTGGCCAGTCTGGGGGTCCCGACCCAGGATGAGTGCGTTGAGAAGGTCCTTCTTCTCAACGGGGTTCTCCTTCCGTGAGTCGACTAATTCCCGGGCTAGGTTCCGCAGATACTCGATATCACTCCAGTACTTGTTGTTTTCTGAAGTGGGCAAGCTGTTGAACAAAGCAGGTCGAAGCGATCGGTTTCCAGACCCGGCCAGCAAGCCAACCATTGCCTCAACGAATGGGTGCATCTCGTCATGATAGAACGAGTTAAAGCGAGTGCCCATAGCGCAAAGAGCAATCGTATCCAGCGTCAGACGTGTGAAGTCATCCGTAACCTGGATAGGAACTGTAGGGCCAATCCGAGCCCATTTCATAACCAGTTGAGTAGCAATATCATACATTTCTGCATACAAAAATTAGCCAAACTCGTTCCTTTCCTTGTCTGGCGCATGTCTCAAATCCGACAGAAAGGGGACACCTACCATCAAACATGCCGCGAATCATCAGCGGACCGAACGCAGGAACAAGAATGCGATGCGCAATAGCCCAATTCTCTTCACCGGGATAGTTTGCAGTGAAGAGACCGTCATGAACGCCATTGCGGATCTCATTCAGACCAGCAGAAACCATTTTGCTGAAGCGTTCCTCGTCGCATACTTCGTCTACTAGCTCGTGGGAGCTGACGAATACTCGTGCTCTCCCAAATGTGGTTAATCGATAGATTGGGCCTGAAAGGTGATAAACACAGAAAGAGATTAGTCTATTAATTCGCAGTCTATATCCCTGGTCGTGCAAGGCCTAGATCCATACCATAGTTATCGGCCATCAGCTCGAAGCTGTTCACGGGCACCTCGGGCTCGATGTCATAGATGTTGCCCAAGAATGGGACGCCCTTAGGACCCGGAATTGGGACCTGTTTGGTCGAAGTCATGGCGTATGATGTTCGCTTTTGTGTTGAATGAAGTGTTGAAGTTGGACAAGAATGCACGATAGTAATGGCGGGGTAATGAGTTTGTATTAAACCTCGTGATGCAGATTTGAGTAAGGTACACTGTACAGCTAAAATGTACCTTGGAGAAGCTTCAAAGTGGAAAAGAATGAGGTCGGGAGGGGTTCCAAACGTTTATATAAAAAAAAGGGTGACCTCACCCATTAACAAGCCTCGGTCCCTTTTTTTTTAGAAGTGTATAATCGCAAGTTCATAAATGAAAACTTGCACAAACTTCATTTATTCCATTTGTTTCCCATCGGAATGCGAGTGGAACCTGGCAGTAAAGTCCAATCACGATCGCCATGTATCGATCGGCCACGCCGAGATTTTTAGCCACCATTTTTAATTCCACCGCCCGTCGGAGTTGACGCGAATCCCGAAGACGCGGACTTTAGAAGGGGCATATTCAGTACAAAATCCACTATATCCACACAATAGATGCTCCGCCTCGCGGGAATATCCTTTTCGGGAAGACCCTGACTGCTGGGCGGACCATAGTGGCTCCGACTCCGATTGAACTCGGTGTCTTGACTTTTAAGTCGTGTTCATGAACTCGCTCGAGACCGTGTGCAGGTTTGTGAGGTAATTCTGCATGAGAAACTTTGTGAGACAAAATGTGACACAACACGGGCTGCACCTGCAAGATGAACTGTCATCGAGTGACTTCACCAAGGTCACAAATATTCTATTGCAGACCCTCGCAACGCCAAATATTGGATTCAGTGTGGCGTTGTCAACGGGTAAGATACGTCAGTTTCTCACTAAGATCAAGTATTAAAAGAAGGGCGTTTATATGGCAAGATATTTACAAGTGTATAGAGGAGCAGATTGTAAAGTAAAAGGTGACCTGAACAACGCCAACGAAGGGAATTGTGATCCGAGGATCAAAAGGGGGGATATCAACAGAAAAGGGGATCAGAGCGAGTGGCTCTGCGTATACGCGAGAGATATGACAGTATAAAAAAAAATAACGGCAAGCTGGAAAGCCAGGACGAAAGGAAAGTGGACATTATTCCGACTCCGTCAGCCTTCACAGACGCCCAATATCGAAGTCGTCATGGCGGCAATCTGCAAGACCAGGCACGGCGCGAAACGAAAAATAGTCACAGAACTGTTCATTATAGAGGACCAAAAAAGCGAGTTCGTGGGGTTACTGGTGTCCGTACTCGACAAGCCGGCTAGTTGTTGACCTGCTGGTAACCGCCGTTCTGCTTCCACTCGCTCTGCCTCCAGTCTTTTTGGAAATTCTGCATCTCGTCACGGTTAAGGGGAACCGGGTTGTTACCCAATGCGTTCTCGAGACGACCCTTGCGACGCTGGCGCAGGCAGAAGAATATGAAGGCTGCGATAGCCAGCACAACGGCAACAGCGGCGCCAATGTAGACTCCAATGTGGGCTCCCGATCCGAGATTATCCCATTTCTCTGACAGAGACAGAGGCTCAGGTTTGTTCAGTTCGTTTAGTGCAGTCGAATTTCCTCTGTTACGTTTTATTAGTGGTATCCTGAGTGGTTATATTGTGGGGAGCACTTACCCCGCCACATCGATGCTCTCCCATGAACCCGTGCGGTCCCCATAGCTGTACTCCTTGCCAGAGTGGAAATCTTTAACACGCAGCTTGCCAAGGGTCATAGTGAAAGGCGCGTTATCCCAGTCGACAAGTCCACCGGCCCACTCAATAGTACCCTTTCTCGCGTCGCGCGAACCAGCGGGCCAGAGACTAAATTGGACACGACAGGGGGTCTGCGGGTAGTTCTTGCCAAACAAGGCTTTCTCATCGGTGTATTTGAGTTCGCGAACCATATCGCCGTTAATCCACCATTGAAGTTTATCCTGGTCCCAGTATGTGGTGTAGTTGTGGAACTCGGTGTCTGCGTTCATCACGTCGTGGTAGCCGCCGCGATCAAAGGAGCTATCGTTACCCTTGCCAAAGAAGTTGGACTGCACTTGGGTAGTGTTGTATCCTACCCATTCCCAATCGATCTCATCGAGATCATCAGACTCCAAGACCACACTGCTGATCAGGCCTGCGCCCTTGGCCATCTTGACGTGGGCTTCGACGACACCGAAGAAGATGTAGAAGTTGGACTGTAGGAGGGTGGACTCTCCTTCCTTGGAGAGGGTAAATTTGGCTCCGTCTTCATCGTGATCGTAGGTTCCAGTGGTCATATTCCAGATCTTTTCGTCCAAGGTCGTGTTGAAGTTCCATGTGTGTTCGGTGCCCAGGGCGGGATCCGCAGGACAATCCTTCTTCGTGGGGTCACAGTCGGTCGAGGTTTGAGCGGTGGCATAGCTAGCCAAAGCCGCTAAAATGGCAATGCGTGGGAAAAACATGGCGGGTTGATGTATATAAATGATTGCTCAGGGTGCTCTTGGATCCCAAAAAAAAGGGAATGGACTCGAGACTACTCGAGATTCAATAAAGAGTGGATGTGCGAGTGCACGATAATGAGTGTGAGGCAAGTCTGCCAGCAGCAAGATCCTAAGAGTGTGGGAAGAAGAACACCAAGGGAAGGGGAAATCAGTCACGACGGACCAATTTAGGTGCAGAGTGGAGGGCATTATAGGCTAGTGATGTTTTGGGGTCTGATTATTTTTGTGTGCCACCGTTGTAGGGGCGTAAGGGGAAAAACTGCAGAGATTATGGTCGAGTTGACTAGCCAGTCTAGGTTAGGGGGTTCCATTCTGGCGCATCATACTAACCAGATCAAGCCATCCCCAGGGGCCCCGTGCCTGATGCTAAACCTGTTTGGGTTTACCCAGTGTTTTTCACCAAGAATATTTCTGGGCGGACGATCGTGATTGGTTGCTGATTACCCACCGATTGGCTGATCGCAAAGAACCCTGATAAGGATCGAACACGCCAGGTACAATATACATACTGGGGAATTTGTAACTGGTTTATAGATTCAATATGTGCTACACTAGGTATCTTTTGTTTTCTTCCCTTGACTCAAATGTAGGAATAAGACCCTGTTTACCTCTGGCCTAGGCCATTTGAGACTTCTGCAATGAAGATCAGGAACTCAATTGATAATCGCCACGGGGAAATACTTCCAAGATTAGACTTACAGATCGTCATGCACCCCCCTTGAAAGCATCATTTTGAAAATCAACATTAGGTAACATGCACATTCTCGGTAGTATTTTCAGAGTACATCCAGTTCCTCAGACCTAGCAAACTAAATTCGAGGAATGCTCCGCTCAGGAGGTCCAATCACAAAACCACCAAGAAGCTAAGTCCGCCCCCCAGTCAATGAGTGGATATGTCTAACCCAAGTTTTTCTTTTGTTCTGTTATTTTTTTATGGTTTTCCCCGGTGGGCCCTTTCCCCTGTCTTACCTGCACACCCCATTAATGCACCTTTCCTATCACCGATGCTAGCTTCATGAACCACACCCTTACGCCGTCTTATTCGTCGAAACTGCAAAATGACGGGTGCGGCTTTATCTTGCGATGATATCTGTTGATAGACTCAGCTTTCCCGGCTCGAATTTTTATCAGGGGAGACCTCGGTAATTCTGATCGATCGAACGCCACTGCTCGGCGGTGACACGCAGCCAAGTCACGCTGGACCAGATCAAGGCATACACTCCCTCAGCACTCAGGTATCCGTCAGCAAGCTGTCCGACTGGATTATTCAGCCACATGTGCCTTGTGCATGAAAAGGTGAAACAGATTGTTCTTGACCATACACCGGAATCCAAACATAGGGGGTTGGCGTCCATATTTCAAATTCAGAAACAAAGGGATCATAAAATGCACAGACCAGGTCAAAATATATTTCTCATCAAGTCGTTAAAGCTCACAGTCATATGTCATGTCTCATAATTACTTGGCTCCGTCAGGCATGTCCCGTTGCCAATTGATATGTTCAAGACCAATAGTCAAGCCAATCCACTAACGCCAGCCATTTTCACATATCTTAAGTATAATCTTCACCGGCTATTCACACTTCCGTCATGTAAACCTTAGCTGGCCGGCGCAAATCATCGCGATTACTATACCGGCGTACACTGCGTACAGTAGTCGGCTTCTCAACATAGCTGCCGTACGCAGACGGGCGACGGCGCTTTTTCCGTCCGCGGCTACTCGTGCTGCTGCGAGTAATCGGAGGCCGGTAGCCAACATCAGGTGTATCGCCACCGCTCCACGCACCGGGAAGTCGGAAGATTCGCCACAGCCAGAGGATGAGGAGAGTCCCTGCAATCGAGCCGATCACGATACCCGCAATGCCACCGCTCGAGATTGTGCTTGGGCAGCTCTCGCCGCCTGTTGACTGCCGTGGCTCGAGCATAGAATTTATAGGAGCCTGGGGAAGCGAAATTGTTAGCTTTTATAAGTTCCAGAGAGTGCGATCCGTGGTTCTCTATTCGGCCCGCGCGGGTGTTGCTTGAGTGAGCCACGGAAGAGGACTTTGGCAACGTCCATGGGATATGCACTTACCATAACTGCAATGTGTGGACTATCTATTTGGCAATTCCTTTGATCTGATATCGGAGAATTGGATTTTCAGTCCCTGGTGGCTGGCAATAGTATGCAGAATGCAAAACAGTGGGGCTCGATGCGATCTTGACTCCAGCACCCAAGAAAAAAGGGTGGGTAGAGATGATTGAGACGAAATCACCCACACAGAAGATGGAAAAGAGAAAAGAAAAATCAGAGCCAGAGCTAGAGCCTCACATCTTATTGAAACCGGACCCGAAGTTCACAATTCCCCTCTTGATTGTCCCAACCTCCTCTTATCCCGCTTCTGACGTCAAGGGGACGTCGCTCTTGGCGGCCTGAAAGAGCAGCGATCTTCCCTTTCACACAGCACAAACTTGAAATTTCGCTCAAGTAGCTCATGTCTAGTGCTATTATTGGCTGCTTACTTTGATTATCCTCGTAAAATTCCAGGTTAGATGCTTTCAATTGAGGATATTGGGCGGACTTATGCGCAATACTTAGCCTTGCAGCAAACCCATATGCACTTGCTATGCATGTCACACCATGAAAATTCTTGCTAGCCTGACGTGCAGGGAAGGAATGCAACGGACTATTATTTGGGCCATGTGGTGGAGCAATGCCCAGAAATGGCCCGAGAGACTAAATGAGTTACCATTGTAGTATATTTGAATACTATTACTATCTGTCGCTGATAATAATTTTCCGGCTCAATCAAAACAGGCTCAAGTATGAAACACTGCCCAGCCTATTCTAAAACATCCGAAGACCTAATCCCTGTTCAATCGCACGTGTCCGGGAGAAGGCGGAACATCCCCAGTCTCCCATGCCTTTGCATTCTCCCCAAGCTCGAATTCAATCGTGCCACCAGTCGTCATAATCTCGTCGTGCTTGAACCAGTTCTTTTCCCACTGTTTGCCATTTATCTTGACACTCTGCACGTAGTACCCGCTCTCTAAATCGGTTGCGGAGATGCGCAGTGTCTTATTTCCATTGATCGTCATGTTGAGATAGATCCGGGGATCACGGCGATAAGAGAAGATATACGGGCTGTGTAGCAATCGGATAGATCCCGAGCATTTGCCATAGGAGCCAGGAATTCATGGCGCCAGCGTCGCTGTTTCCGGGGATCCCGTAGGCGGTATCCTTGAAATTATTCATGCGAATGAGTTGTCAGCAAGGGTCTACATAGTAGGGGAGGCAAGTAGACTGACTATTGAGTAGCCAGGCTGCGTGACTGGTGAACACTCTTGGCTTGCTTGTTGATGTAGTTGTAAAGATAGGGCGTGGCGAAGTCAGGTTCGTTTCTACACCATAATAAATTAGTATTTTGCCTGCCAGTGGTTTCTCCAGTCTATACCCAATATTCATCAATGTGGTAATGCCGGTGCCATTTGCCCTAAGATTTTGAACAGACATGTTTGGTTTGAACTGGAGTAGAATCAGTAAGTGGTTGATCCTGTCGGAATATTGGTTTGGCTTACCATCAGGTCCAGTCGAGATTCGAAAGTCTTGGGCCTCCCATGAATTCGATGAGAGTCCTCACATCGTGAGGCATGACGAAAGAGTATTCTAATAGACCAATATTAACTATGTTTGAAAGCAGAATATGTTATTAGGACTGACCCCATGGAGTACCCTCATAGGTATAATCCTGCCACTCGCACTCATAGCAATAAAGCAGATCATACCCGCTGTTATAGAAAGACCCATTTGAGAAGCGAGGTGCCATGAATCCAGTGAAGTCTAAGCTCTTCACCTGCGAAATCCAGATATTCTGCCATCCAGCAGATCAATTAAGATACTTCTCCCGGTCACTAGGCATTTCTCCAGCGGCGACCTGGCTGACTGCAAAATCATTGAGGCTGTATTCAACTGTGCGTGAGATGGAGCGCGTGTTTTGATCTTGTGACACGTATCCGAGCTCCTTCTAGTCATCGAGTGCACCGCGGCCTTCTTTCGTGCTTGCCGTAAGGTCTGTTGGGTCAAATGTATTGTATGGCGTTACTTCTGCGTCTTTTTCATGGCTGCATACCCTTCCGTCCAGTTGATTGGGCCTCTCAGTCCTTTAACATAAGCATATGCTAGCACTTTATCTGCATCAGAGCCACCTTGAACTAGTCCGTTCCAGTTTCCCGAACGCCCTTCTGGCATGTATCCAGAGTGCCTGAAAGATCAACATTAGTGTTAGATGGTTTAATGTTATTTATATCTCCTTCCTTCCAGATATCAATCAAGGCCCGTATCATTGACTTGTAGTATTCGGGCTGGAAGATATGGTAGAAGCTAATCGTGCAGCGGAAGATGCCCCCCCCGATAATCAGTCAGTATTCGCCATTGAAATTATGATGGGCCTACTCACACATTGTATAAAAGTCATCCCAGTAAGGCTCATCCGAGTCCTACAAAGGATTCTCCCCCGTTCGGTCGGAAGGCATCAGATGGATGAAATACAAAGAGCTATACAGCAACCTGACATGAGTCATGTTGGCAGAGTCATCCAGCGACACTTGAACCTTATCGAAGATATTTTCATTCCACTCCTTGACAGCAGCAGCTACTGTGTCATTCAGTTTCCGCGAGGGAATCTCTGCTTGTATATATGAACGAGCCCGGTCAGTGGACATAGACGAGATACCGACACGCGAGGTAACGTGTGAGGCAGGGCCATCGTTCCAGCTCAACAGCAACCCAATCCGTTTGTTCATAGGTCCGGATGTGACTTTGCTCGATGTGTTTCTGAATTTTGGCTCACTCATGCCACCATTGCCTAAATTTTGATATCGTGGCATGTGATCTGTGTTCGCGCCAGAGAATGTCTGCGAACTGTCTGGGAACTTGGAAAATTCTCCATAGAAGTACACAGTGAATGGGGCACCTGTCATCTAATGAGGTACCGTTGTGTGTGCATAATCGTGGGACTCACCATTATTCCAGCCCCCAACATATGTTCCATACCCACTGTACGCCTTGCCGTCGGCTTCCATCTGAATCTCACCTCCAGCAAAAAATTGGCCATTCGCATCACCAGCGTTACTAGGGAGATACTATTAGTGTCAGCAAAGGGCCACTTCAACAGAAAATCCAAATCAACATACATGGGAAATATCTACAAGGATGTGTCTCTCCCCATCTGGGAAAGAAAACTCTATGATTCCAGCATGGCGCGACGCCGACGATTCTACCGTAATTTCATTCTCCAAATGAGTCATGAAATATCCCACTTTAGCGATATCTTTACCCACCTATCCCCAGGTCAGTCCCATTTGCCACCTTAATCAACACGAATTATGAACAAAGACCACATACTCTCGGCTGACTGTATGTCAAATTATCAAGCACGTTGACCGGCGAGCCCACATACGTCAACGGCATCTGCGAGACTAGCCCATACTTTGGCGAACCGCCGGTTCCACTCTCATACATCATACTTATACCCGTGACATTCCCATCGGGAGTCCACCCGCCATTCAGAGTAGCGGTGTTCCAGTTTGCGGCTGTCGAGCCAATCCCAACCTTGGCCACGCTGAATGGCAGTGCACCGCCCACAAATATATCGCCCCCTCCGAATGATGTTCCTGGCTCGGGGCCTTCGGAGCCGATTAGTGGATTCACATACTGTGAGAGGTCTACCTGGGTTGCTGTTGCGGAGATGGTGTAGAGAGATAACACGCCCGTGATGAATGGCGCTACAGGCCGAAGATGCATGTTGCGCTTTATATTTGCGATTGAGATCGGAGACTACGAGATAGGATCTATAGTCTCATATTCAAGAAGTGGTAAACAGGTAGAAAATTGATGTTGCGCTGCATTTGCTTTTATACATTCTGCCGCGCGATTCATGAAGAGCGATGTAACATGATGCTCGAAACCAGGGTAAGGACCTTTGGAGATTAACACGAAAAATGGGATAGCTCATGAGAGCTTCATATTCCTGTGCCAACAGCATACCCCGCATCAATTTATTGGATGAGTGTAGTCGTCTGTAGTGACAAATATCTGTGCTTTGGGGTCGATGCGCTTCATAACATGTTTGATCGGCAAGGATTCACGGAAATGTTACATTTGGCAACATACAGACCTTGTTCGGACATGGAAGTCCCGAAGTTAGCAGCACTCAGCGAATAAGTGGTGCTTTGATGACGATCTATGCGGATAAATAAAAAGAAGGGGGAAGCCCGCGTCATATTTCAAATGGCCTAAGCCTTGCATGGTTTCTGCCCCTTTCATGCATAGTTGAATTCTCGGTTCTAGACCGTGGCCCCTTGATTTGTATGTCGTGCTGGTAGAGACATAACTATATCTTAGTGCTTAGGTTGTTAAATTGGGATCTACCGTAGCATTTCCTAAAAACAAGTGGCCTATTCGTGCAGAATATGTTGACCAGTGTATTGATTTTATATATACTGCAAACTCATATAACTATGAACTAACTAGTCTCGTTGGATCTTCATCAGTATTACGTACAGGTGAGGACCCAACATGGAAATGGACAAAGGATAAGCACCATACTGCCAGTATCATCTCTGTGGAAAAATGCTTATCGATGAACTTCTACATGGTGGCTTCCATCTCGACTTTGACAATAAATATCACGAGTAACGTAAGTAGTTGATAAATATCAAATCCAACGAAAATGAGGGGAAGGAAAAGAAGGAAGGTTGATGAAGATACCTACTCGTTTCTTCGTCTAAAGTCGAAATCGAACTATGCATTACCATACCGCGCGAGACTGAACAACAGCAATTCATTAACTAGTTAAGGAGAAAAATGACCGTATCCAGCCTGCTTACAGTAGTAACACGCTTCAACTCCCCGCAACTTCATATGATCTACGTAGAATCCACTTAGTAACAAATTTGTTCTTTTGTCTTTGTTTAAAATATTGCTTGTCTGAATTATTGGCCTTTCTATTCAATTTGGCCTATTTGAATCAAAATTTCTTCAATGTATACTACTGACCCCCTCTGTTATGCCACTCTGTTCCATTCTGTAAGCCGGAATATCCTATAGTGATAGACCACCGCAGCCTTGGCCCTGCTTTTAGGCTCACAGGGCATGTACGAAGAGGGTTGGTTATTGATTTATATTGAATGAATGCCCATCCTGGTTGGTGCAGCAACCGCCATAGTGCAGTCATCAGAAGTCACAGCCGATAGCTAATAATGTCAGCAATTCCGAATTAATTTCCGGAGAAGTATTCCGACTTGAAATTCCGAAGGTGCTCCAAAAGCGATATTGGAACCCCTGTAGATATTGCGGGGTGTATCCCATGATGTAATTCATAGTCCAATGGTTCAACATGGCTGTATTTCTTCGCACGCTGAAATTGCCAAATTACTCTTTTGACAACTTTGGGAGAACAGAGCAACCAAAATGACGTTTTCACTGGGATTGGTCCCATCAGCACCTTCATCATTTGCAAACGTCAACCCATTGATTAGCTGGTTTATACTTTTGGTGCTACTTGTCAGTTATCACGGAAAACTGTGATTTCAACACACTGATATTTACAGGGCGCTTGTTATTCGACCGGATGGATCATTTACAACCTTTACTTTCACCCTCTAGCATCATTTCCTGGCCCCAAATCCAATGCAGCCACATGGCTCCCTTTCTTTCGATCTGTATTAGGCGGTAGTCTGCCGATGGACGCACAAAGGCTACACGAAAAATACGGCGATGTAGTCCGCATCGCTCCAAATGAAGTGACTTTCACAAACCCCGAAGCCTGGAAAGAAATATATGCCATTCGCCCCGGAATGCCACAGCGCCCAAAGGATCAGCGTCATGTATCCGTTGGGCCAAACCACATCCCCAGCATCCTTCGAACCGATGATCAAACCCACGCCCGATATCGACGTTCACTGTCACATGGGTTTTCAGAAGGCAGTCTTCAGCGTCAGGAAGTTATTGTCAAGGGCTATGTTGACTTGTTGGTTCAACGCCTTCATGGACTTGCCGAGTCTGGCAGTGCCACTGTCGACATGACATGCTGGTATAACTATACTACATTCGATATTATCGGCGACCTCGCATTTGGCGAATCATTCGGGTGTCTTCAGAATTCGCAATACCATTTCTGGGTTTCGGTCATCTTCAGCCATTTCCGCACGGCCGCATGGGCGAACGTTCTGCGACGTGTCCCCGCCGGGAACTTCCTCATGAAATGGATCGTTCCCAAAGAGGTTCAAGAGCAAAAGAAACATCAGAATCAGATGACAAAGGATAAAGTACAGGCACGCATGGAAAATGGAGACAACGGGCGCCCAGACTTCCTCAGTAACGTGTTGAAGCAATCGCTTGAGAAGGGAATGACTGAAGATGAGCTTGTCAGCAACTCTTACGTGCTCATTATTGCGGGCTCAGAGACTACCGCTACTTTATTGTCTGGTGTGACATATTATATCCTTACTGTTCCTGGTGTTCTCGACAAACTCAAAGCAGAGATCCGGGGTGCATTCACTTCCGAGGACAAGATAACTTGGTCTGCTGTTAATCAGCTCAAATACACCCTCGCTGTTTTGAATGAAGGTCTGCGGATGTACCCTCCTGTGCCGTACGGGTTCCCACGCATGGTAGAGGGCAAAGGGGATTTCATCTGCGGGAGATGGGTCCCTGGAGGAGTAAGTTAACCTCGAGGCAACGAAGTTATATCACAAGGCTGACAAATTTTAGACGGCTGTTGGAGTACCGATACTGGCAGCTCACCGTTCCACAGAAAACTTCAAGGACCCCGACACTTTCATTCCAGAGAGGTTCATGGGTGCCTCCGAATTTGAATCCGACAAGAGAAATGCAGTGCAAGCATTCAGCGTGGGGCCACGAAACTGCCTCGGTCGCAAGTAAGTTAAGTCCCATGAGTGCAATATGCCTAGTTACTGACCCCAGTCAGTCTTGCATACGCGGAGATGCGATTGATCCTGGCGCGGATGATCTGGAACTTTGATATGGAACTTGCTCCCGATTCTAAACAATGGATCAAGCAACCCTCATACGTGGTCTGGGAGAAAGGCAGTTTGAATGTGAAGTTGACCCCGGCACCTCATACTATTGGGACAAAGTAGGGGCTTTTATATCGGGGTAGTATTTCAATTATGGGAAGCTAGCATTGAGTAGAATAACGATCAACTCCAAAACCTCTTCATTTCCCTTTTTAGAGGCACGAATGGTCACACAATACAAGGGAGGGAGGAAACGCGATATAAAGTCGCTATTTGCTCTCGTGTTTCCGTAGGGATCGGAGTTGAAGTGTCAGCCTTAGTGAAACTACAAGCGCTCCATGTAAAATCAACTGGGCTGCTTTGTCTATGTTTTCGAAACCATTAGCAATATAATGTCACCGATTGAACCTGCCGATTATACCCACCACACATATAAGTTGCTTTATAAATCGCATAGTGGTGATTGTCGGAATTTACTATATCTCGGAATTATCAAAGCTTACCAAATCCATGGATACATGAAAGAAAACGTGGGGATGCGGGGTAATAAGATTCCTGGACTCGAACAAGGTTCACAGATCCATGGATTAATATCCATATCCCGAGCTCGCTGTTCAATAAAAGGATGACTTTGCCAGTTGGGATCAATATAACCGCTATTGAGATATTGCAAGTGACATTATATTGCCCTCTTGTGTGAACATTGCAATGGCTGATGCGAATTTTTCTCGAGGCCAAAATCATGTCAATGCATACAGTATTGTTGTCATTGGCTTCATTGCCCTCAGCTCGGCGGCTTATGGCTACACAGCTGCGAATATTGCCACAACTCTGACCCAGCCATCCTTCCAAGAAGATATGGGGCTCGTGAATAACCCGAATGCTAGTACTATTACGGGAACAATCAACGGTAAGCTAACTACCAATTATCATAGGATGGGAGGGGGTAGTTATCAGTAGTTAACATGATCTCACAGGCATATACCAAGCAGGCGCCGTCTTTGGGGCTTTCTTGGCGGGGTGGATGAGCGATAGATTTGGCCGAAAGTTCACTGCGGCAATCGGAAACGCAATTATTCTTGTCTCTGGTGCTTTGCTCACGGGTTCAGTCAATCCGGCTATGTTCATTGTCTTCCGCTTTTTCAACGGATTGGGGTATGAGCTTGAAGACCGCACATTCCACCCTTCAAAGCTGATTACTTGGGCTTAGATCTTTCCTTATCCAGAATAGCGTTCCAGTTTGGATTGCTGAGCTTGCACCTCCCGGGATCCGTGGCGCTGTCTCTGATGCGCATGCTCTTCTGATGCTATTTGGATATTGCATTGCAAGTTTTGTAGGGCTGGGATTCTATTTTGTCCCTGGAGAGAGCCAGTGGAGAGGGATCGTCGGAATTCAAATGCTACTTCCAACAATTATTTTGTGTGGGATTTACTGGATGCCCGAGTCCCCTCGCTATTTGCTTTCTCGTGATCGAACCGAGGAGGCGTGGGAAATTGTGAAGCGACTCCATGCCGATAAGAATGATCCCGGTACTCATGAATCTGCTACCAGGGAATTCTATCAGATGAGGAAGCAGATCGAGCTTGATATTCGCTTCCGGACCTCATACTGGGGTATTTTTACGAACGCGTCCCTACGCAAGCGAGCTATCATGACGGTATTTTTGGAATTTAGTATTTACAGTTGTGGAGTTCTAGTCATTTTGAGTGAGTCAAACACGCAAGTGAATTGGGGCGAGTAGCGGCCATATGCTACATTGGGACTAATGCGAAATCGCTTTATTCAGACTATGGATCCGTCGTATGGGCAAGCCTTGGCTTTGACACGGTCCAGATCCTGGGATTCCAAGTCGGATTCCAATCCATCGGTCTTGTCACCAACGCTCTTTCCATGCTATGGGTTGATCGTGTGCCCCGACATTGGTTCATTTCTTTCGGGCTTGGGGCCTGCGCAGTCCTTATGGCCATCGAAGCCGCTCTACAGAGTTTCTACCTAGAAGGCACGAATCGGGGTGGGCTCATCGCTAGCGCTACCATTATTATGCTATTCCAAGCTACCTTTTGTGCATTCTTGGATGGACCGACCTATTTCTATATCACCGAGATATGGCCGAGCTACGCCCGTTCTCAGGGTCTGGCTCTCGCCATGTGCACATTTGCCCTAACTAACCTGATGTGGCTGGAGGCGGCACCATACGCCTTCGAAGCTATTGGTTGGAAATTCTACACGATTTTTGTCGTCGTTCCGGCCATCGCCGCTGTCATAATCACCTTCACCTATCATGACACTAGACATAAGCCGCTGGAGGAGATTGCGGCCTTGTTTGGGGATGCGAACCAAGTGGCCGTGTATCAACAAGAGTTGGACAGAAAAGGGATTACTATAGATGATATGGAAATTGAGCCTCGGAAGGAGACTGCTGGGGTCCAGGAAGTAGAAAATGTGAAAGAGCAAGCGTGACAGGTTTGGTCAAGCATATCACGAGTGTGCGTCCCCAGACGTCCATAGATCAGTTTCAAATCAGTCTGGACCTATGAAAATCCTTCTTGAGGATATCTCGTACTCTGCTCTGCTTCAAAACGCATATAGACACTACAGAGTAGAAGAGTGAACGCCGAGATTAGAGCGTTGTAGTTATCTGCTCGTGGCCTGATTATCTGCTCGAGGTAATAAGCGATGTAATGACTAAGGAACATCAGGACTATCTGCGTTGAATATTAACTTTTACTGCATGGAATGGGGTTTCTTCTTTATTCTTCCGAATCAAAAAAAGGGGACTGTCGAGAGACACTGACGCTCGGGATTACCGCGCTCAGGTACATTTCGCGGAATTGGAGGAATCTCGGAATTTGACAAAGTCAGGAAAACCATTGACCGGCTGTACATAATTCAAATGAAAGAGTCATTCGGAGGTTCGGCTATTGAAAAGCTTCTTCGTACTCGGAAATGGGGATATCGCAAGTGTTGGCTATTCCGGGCTTGGGGGACACGCTTAGTGAGGTTATGATTTATGATTCAGGATTTGTGCTTTTAGGAGGTTATTTTCACATTGTTCTAGCCAAGTTAGCAAAAGAATACTCAAAGCCATGTCTCGCATCTTCCGCTCCAAAACCCGGGTACGGATCCCAACTCACCTCAGTATAACGGAAGCAACGCTGCTGGACAAGTCAGCCACCATATCTCCGAGCAAAATCATATTCGAGGAAGCTCTGAGCGGTAGAACACTTTCATACGGTGAATTCAATGGCCTGGTCAAGCGTGGGGCGGCCTGGTTACGGCAAGATCTCGCACTGAAGCCGGGGCAAGTGGTAAGCGTGATATCGTCCAGCTGCATCGACTATATCATCGCTGTACACTCTGTTTGGTGGGCTGGCGGTGTTGTATCTTTGATAAACGATTCTCTGTCCCCAACTGAGATTGCGTATGGTATCCAGCTTGTCAAACCAGACTATATCGTTGTCGGCAGCTCCGCTTCTGCCAAACTTCCTAAGAGTCTCAGTCTAAACCGACCAGCGAGCTCAACCATCAAGATTGTTGCGCTTGGGGAATCTCATCCACAGTGGCCCAGTTGGCCAAAACCGAATGTGGGTGGGAATTTGCAGGAGATTGAGGCTCACTCGTTTGCAAATGGCGATAACCGACAGGTACCTGCGGCAATCATTCTGTCCAGCGGAACCACTGGTCATCCCAAGGCAGTTGTTCTCTCTCACTACAACCTGATCGCCGTGAACTACCAATTGCGCGCGGACAACGTTGACAACTGGAGGAGTGACATGCGCGAGATTTTCTTCCCACCCTTATCCCACGTCTATGCATTATATGTCGCCATTACCGGGGCTCCTTGGCTAGGCTACTACGTCTGTCTAATGCCCCGGTTCGAATTGGAAACATATTGTCGCCTTCTGTCCGAGCGAAAAGCAACATTGGCTAGATTGGTTCCCCCTGTTGCCAAGATGCTTGCCGAAAGCCCGGTGACTCGCCAATACACATATCCGGCTTTGGAGTATTTTACGTGCTCGGCCGCTCCTTTGAGTGTAGGGCCTCTGCTGTCTTAGCCCAAGTCGAAACCGAGTAACTGACAGCCCTATAGGAGAAAACTGCTGCCGACTTGAGAACAGTATTCCCCGGTGTAAAGCTATGTCAGAGTATGTTCTTGTACAAATTTATCCCCATTTATTACCTAACAGCAAACGCTAATCGGGCTCTAGCATACGGGTGTACTGAAGCCTCCGGTGCATGCGTGCAATCGGGTACTCGAGACAAAGACATGCCGTTGAATGCGACAGGAAAGCTCATTGCCAACGCCGAGGTGAGATTTATCGATTCCACCGGCGCTGATGTGGGCGATGGTGCACCGGGCGAGATCACCTTGCGTGGCCCGCATATCATGATGTAAGAACTCTTGAACTTTCTCTAGGATTGAGTCTGACACTCACTCACCAGGGGTTATTTAGGAGACCCCAAAGCCACAAGAGAGCATATGCTTGATGGTGGCTGGTACAAGACAGGAGACATAGGATACTTGGATGCACAAGGCTTTCTCTTTGTCAATGGTCGTATAAAAGACATTATTAAGTCGAATGGGTACTGTTACCATTACCTCCTCATATCTATACGAGAATCAAGGCTAACTCTTTGACAACAGATTCCAAGTCTCGCCCTTGGAGCTTGAAGAAATACTCGTCCATCATCCACTCGTCAAGGAGGCGGCCGTACACGGTATCTGGAGCGAGTCTAACGCAACCGATCTCCTACGTGCGTATATTGTATCCGAGCAGCCGCTGGCAAAGGCTGGGCGCGATACGGAAGAAGCCGCGCGATCGGTAGCCGGGTTTGTCGCGAACCAGGTGGCTGGTTATAAACAATTGAAGGGAGGAGTGATTTTTGTCGATTCGTTGCCCAAGAGCCCGACTGGGAAGCTACTGAGACGGCTTCTCAAAGACATAGATGATACCGGGTCTAGGTCTACTCCTCTGCAGGCAAAACTATAGAGCCAATTGATCATAGGAGTCAATATATTGTTTTCTGTTGTCCTGAAAATGGCCATGGATTTGAGTTGTTATGATACTTTGCCAGATCCTGGCAGCCTCTTCTCCACAGCCTGTATGTGTAGAATCTATAGAGTAGATTTCTAACTCGGTAGCAAGCTGTCCAGGCTCTCGTAGCTCTTTTGTAGGCGATCGAAAAGATCGCTCCCGCCGGGACTGTCCTCGCCGAGAGTGGGAGTACCACTTTTCCTTCCTTGCTCACACCGTCCGTGTCCTCGGGCACCTTCCAGCCCATTTGAATGGCTAATACTTGCACGATGTACCTGTGGTATGGTTGTCATTTCAGGCCGCGCCGGGCCGTCTCCGTAGCGGAAGAATGCCTCATCAAGTGTCTCAAGTGCATTTCCTGCAGATACGCAATGGTTAGACAAATTGACCAACTCCTGGTAAGCTGACACAACAGAAGAGGAGGCTGATTCTGTTCCACTCATATTGGAGGACTCGCTGATGATGTTTATTAGGTATAGAATGCATTGGACGAGAGTCGTGCTGATAGAGTGGCCGATTGGCAATAGGCCTTCATGGCGTGAGCTGAAATTCACTATGGCTCCAATAGTTTGCGCTGAAATGGCTGCACCATCATCGTGCGGGGATTTCCTGTCTAGACAGGTACAGTTCGAAGCGGGATTTCGTCGAATGAAGAGTCGGAGGGTATTGATACGCTGATTGTTATTGCCAAAGTTAGAGCCTTGTGGATATGAGGGATATGTAAAGGCTGAGGAGACAGGAATATCTCACCATCAGAATGATAAGCTGTCTCTGCATCGCAGTTTCCTGAATATTTTCTAAATCTCTCCCCAGGTTTGAGGGGCTCCTCCAGAGGAGTTCAGCCGGGAGCTGTTGTTGAAGAATGCGAAGCTGGGCATCCAATATTTCTGTCGCTTGCCACTGACAGTCGGGCTCTGAGCTATCAGTAACTAAATCGTTCCATATGCAAGCCCAAATGCGGCCCAAATACGCTAGGACTTCCAAGTACATCGCTTCCTGATGAAGGCTTCCCTCTATCAGTCCATCTTGGTGGACGAGTTCGTTCTGGCAATTGGTGTATGTCACACTGGAGAACCTTTTGAATTTTCCATCCCGTGCTGGTCTCGGCTCGTCAATCTCCTCGTCTCTGATGAGATAAGGTATCCCACCAAGGCATGCGAGGTTACGATCCAGGGCGTAGATTGTCCACCACAGATTCTTATCATAAGAATCGCTTCCTTTTGTAAGAGACGACGATTTTCGATGAAGCTGAAGGGCCATTGCTAGTCGAGCCGTGACAGAAATAGACTGCAGGGCAAGATCCAGAAAGTCCATGTGAAGAAAGTATATCGTGATCAGAGTATGGCACCGAAGGGCTTCCAGGCTTGGAGGGAGGTTTTCAAAGGTTTGTAGCAAGCTGCGGGCATGGTTTGCGAAATGCGTAGCTCGGGTGTCAAAAGACGAGGTATTGTTCTCAGTCATTTCGGCAATGGCGATGATAATGCACAACAACGCAACAGTTGGTGCGGCAATATAGTGAACATTTATTCTGCAACCAGGTAAGGGATATCCCAAGTCCACAAGAGTCTCCTGCATGCGAGACCAGGCCCTTTCGGGTTGAATTGCGGGATAGTGTCTGCCCACGGTCTCGAAGTATATCTGTAGCGATCCTTGAATTTTAGAGAAAGCAGGCAGTTCCACAGAATACGTCTCCCTGCGACTGTACAAGTCCTTGCCTTTTTCAGATCCAGCGTCTTTGCTGGGGTTAAACAAAGCTCGTGCTTTTGAGATTTGGGATCGTAAAGAGACGAGGTTGGGGTCCGTTTCAACACACCTATACAGACTAGTCCTAGTCCGTGGTTCGGGGGATGTGTTTGCATGTACCGGTGGGTGAAATAGCGATTCCTTTTCTGGCGCATCACCAGTTTCCAGATTCTCTAGCCTAATTGAGCATTAGACGTCTTTTTGTTCGCTGCCTGAGAGGGGTGATGATTACGGTGCTATATATCCTGGTATAGAGCTAGGAGAGTCTCTTGCTCCATCTGGTGTTATCGTTCGCGGAATCCGCCGCCCTCTCAAAGTTGGCTTTCTTGGACGCCGTCTCTCGGTGTTGTAAATGCATGTGAGGTCTCGAGCTTGACAACTGAGACAAGGATCGTGACCAGAGCACTGCAATCTAAATCAGACGAATTTGTTTTGTTTATTGATTTAGATCATACCTTGCTTTTCCGGCGCTGGCACGCTTGACTACAGATGGCTATTAGTCACTGGAGAATACAAAGGGGAAATGGGAGCTTACCATGCGCGAGAGATATATTTGTCCCTCCTGGGCCTTTTCGGAGCATTAGATCGAGTGCTCATGGTGTGTGCTCAGAAGTGAATATCGGAGGAAGGCCGGACCTTCAAGATATTTCCAAGACCACCGCCCCCATTGGCCAAACAACGCGGGGATAGGATGATCCCCCGCCCCCCGGCAACGCAAATCGGTAGATCGGAATTTCGTTCTTCTTAATAACCATTGTGTTGAGAATTTTCATCTCAAGAATGTCGAGTGCCAATTGTCCCAGACGGAAACTCTCAACTGCTAGCCATGGCTCCAGTCCTTGCGGTGATCGTATCAGCAAAAGCCGTAGACACAATTCTCATGGGCTGGGCAGACATGATTCTGGTATAATGAATCTTCGCGATCGCCTACAGTTGGTCAGGCGTTCTTCCCTCGGCCTTCCTACTGAATCCTCCTATCATGTGGTTCCATCGACCCCGAAAGTATTCCATGAGGGTCAATCTCCCGCGTCAGTGGAGAGTGAGGTTGTTCTGAATCTCCATATCATGGAGAGCGAAATGGGTTTGCGACCAGCAGGGCATGTCAGAAGGCTGTCCCAGTCTAGCTCTCGCCACTCATCCACTCGCGGAACTCCATCGAATCAGCTTGAGGACCCGTTGGAAGAAACGGACAATTCTCCCCTCACAGTAGACGACAACGGTCAATTAAGATACTTCGGGTACTCTTCATACATGAGAATGGTGTCTGTTCTTCCTCAAGCAAAAGCAAAATCGCCTCAGAAACAAAGGGATCCATTTTCGCCGGGGGATAACTCTATCGATATCGATGGAGAGGCAATGGCCGATAGCCCCCAAACTCAAAGTCACTTGATTGGGTTGTTCTTCAAGTACCAGAATGCCGCAATACCAATTCTCGACGAAGAGGCTTTCCGACAAGGATATTCTTCAGGGGAAAGATCAGATTACTTCTCACGGTTTCTGCTATATTCGCTGCTTCTCAGGTCATTGAATTTCGATGATGATCTAGTCCACCGGGAAACACTGGCAACCATCTATACCCGCCGGGCAAAAGCTGAACTACTATTTGAGATGGAGAATCCCACTCTTTCCACAATCCCCGGTTTGTGTCTGTTTGGTTACTATTTGGCGGGGTTAGGAAGTGACAGGGCGTGTTGGCTTTACCCAGGTTTGTCATTCCAATGCTGATATGGCGGATATCAGCGCAAGACTTGCTAACTATTCTGCAGGCATAGCGTACCGTCTTGTCTTTGATTTTGGTTTACATGAAGACTGCAAAAACCTGGTAGCTGCTGGGCTGCTCACTGAGGTTGATCAACGGGTCCGACAGACGACACTTTACGGATGTTACGTCCTTGACAAGCAAGTTTCTTCCCCTGCTATGCCTGCCCGATGGTGCTAACAGCTTTGAAGATTGTACAGCTCGTTCCAGGGTCGACCGACCGCCATTCGTCTAGACGACCTCAATATGACCCGAATCTCCGCGAAAGGTTTGAGTACAAGCAACCAACTCGTGGCTACCTGGGTCGAGCTAGCATCTCTACTAAATGACGTACTATCCGTGATCAACGGTCCCCCGGAAAGAATATACCAAGACTCTTCTGTGAGCAAACTCTCCGATGTGAGCCGGAAGCTGCTCGCCTGGTTCTTAAATCTCGCGCCAGAGCTGCAATGGGATGCAAATCGTTCAATATCACCGAGCGTCTGCGCTCTTCACCTCCAGTTTCTATCTACAACTATCCTCCTAAACCGTCCATTTGCAACTTATATATTCAACCGCGGCCCCAAATCGGCGCCGAGGCGACGATGCCTAGAAGGGCAGACAACTAAAGTTTCACAGCAAATCTGCACGGCGAATGCGATCAGAGTGTCAAAATTACTCCTGGCCTACAGGCAACACCATGGTGCTTCTAAGATTTTCTCTACCATCAACCCTACCTGCCTTTCGGCTGCCGTGGCTCTGATATCGGATATTGTGAGTGCTGGGTCAGATGAGGATAAAGAGGCAGAAAAAACGTGGCTGTCTGCTATTATGGAGACATTGGACGCGATTATACCCTGGTATCCAGTTGCGGAACGAAGTCGCAACACGTTGGCCGCCATTATGAACACCTGTGGGCTGTCAGATATTGTCAAACAGCTTGCAACAAAGTCACGAAATGTCCCAGTTGCAATGCTGCCCAGTCATCCAACAGATCCATCGGGGACCGACTGGAACACCGATGCGGATTTTGCATTTGACCTCGAATTTCCGTTCGATTCAGTATATGACGTTCACAACATCAGCCTCACAGGTTTCTATGCGCAACCCTCACAGATGAATTTTGGGAACTGGGAGACTGAAGATCCACTCTATGGACTCAACCTATAATCCTTAGAAGAATAGATTTAGATAATATGAAGTCAGCTAAAAATTTAATAAAGTATGAAATCCCGAATATGTCACACTAGTCGAGCATTGATAGGCAAAGACACGCTGCCACCTCATCTATCTAAATCTACAGTTTCGCCAGTTTCTTCTGCTGTTTGGCAATCATGTCCATAAGGATCTCCTCGCTTCCTCCCGACACAACCAACACACGCACATCTCGACTAATCTGCTCAACCCTCCCACCAAGACCACCCCTTGAGTATCCCAATCCACCAAAGACCTGCTGTGCTTCGCGAGAGATGCTCTCAAGATTCTGTGCAGCCTGGAATTTAAGCAGCGCAGTCCACGGCGAGAAGTTGAGGGGCGCAGTGCGTGTCGACCGGTGTACAATATCCTCCATCAAACAATGAACGGGTTCAATAAGACCCGCCATCTTGCTGAACTTGAGCCGAACAGCCTGGTTCTCAAACAACTTCTTGCCAAAGGTCTCGCGTCGTAGCGCATGGCGGTAGCTGTCCTCCAGAGCGACACGACCCAGGCGGAGGGCGGTAATACCAACCCACAAGCGCTCGTGGGTGAAGGCTTTTCTTGGTCAGTAACCATCTAATTCGTCCTTGTCTAGGAACTGGAGAACATACTCGACATGATAATCTCAAACCCTTGGTTTTCCTTGCCGAGAATATTCTCTACAGGAACCACAACGTCCTGTAGGTCGATAAACGTCGAGCCACTGCTGCTGACACCTGAGTTGTACATCTTTTTTCCAGTGATTCCTGGCATCTTCATATCCAAGATAAAGACTGTGATGCCCTTGGCGCCCGGGGGACCAGTTCTAGCAGCACAGAGAGCGTGTGAAGCCAACTGGCCCTGCGTGATCCACTTCTTCTCTCCGTTGATAATCCAGTGTTTGCCGTCCTTGGACTTTTCGGCCGTGGTGGTCAGACCAGCCACATCAGAACCAGCTATGATTACACAACATTAGCGTCTCATACAGTCGAATATTCCCCGCTTGGCTTACCATCTGGCTCTGTCACCATAAGACAGTGCTTCTGCTGTCCTCGCAACAACGGTGCTAAGTACTTTCTCTTTTGCTCTGGTGTTCCATAAGAGGCGATGGGTGCTCCACCAGTGGTAGCTCCACCATTGATTCCCCAAACAACGCCCAAATATCCGCAGCGGGCGATCTCGTCGATGAGCTATCGGATTACGTTCTGGGTCAGCGCTTCGTTTCAACCTTGAAAATACGAGGCCTCCTTGGAAATCTCACAATAGCATCATGGAACTCGTCCCACTCTAGTAAATACTGTCAGTAGTGCTTGGTGAGTTAATTCGTCTCTACGTACCATCCGCCGGAATTCCCGCGGGCAATGTCAGCCCTTCAATACAATCTTTCGGCAGTGGGAACACTGCAGCGGCCAAGAAGCCCAGTTGAGCGTGACGCTGGAAGGCCTCATCAGGGACATATCCTTGTATCTCCCATTCGCCTGCATTGGGCGTGACTTCACTGTCGACGTACTCTCGGATAAAGCGCTGCAGCTTGCGGTGAGAATCCTTGTAGTATGGGTGAGCTGTATCACTGTGCCAGGATGGATCGGCAAAGGGAATGTTGGAAGTTAAAGCAGATGAAGTCATGTTGTGTAGATATCGTATTCTAACAAAATTGTCAAGGAATTAGAGAAGTCGTTATCAGTAGCGGACTGTTGTATTTAAGTCTTCAATCGATTCTGGCGAGCGAGTATCATGCCGCATCTCCCTCGCCATTTTTCCCAATATCGAAGGTCTCTTTATTTCCGAGGGGCCGAGAAAGCTGGGCTCATGAACTGCAATAGTATTCTAGATCGTTGATTCCGAAGTTAATTCCGAATTACTCGATAATTCCGCGGAATTTGATACCAGCATCGAGAGTCACAAAGTCAGGGTACAGAAAAGGCGCTCTGGAGTACTATGCCAGAGGATTAATTCTCAATTCTAAAACAGAAGCTAAAAAGAATCATCGGAATGGCTCAGCGACTGCAACAAATCTCCAACCAGTTGGCTCATAATAACCAACCACATGATCCATCTAGGTATATTCGCTTTTCTAGTCCTTCAAAAGGAGACAAATCTGATCAGTTACGTAGGATTGATGGACACGTCGTTTTTATTACAGGCGGCGCACAAGGTCTGTTAGGCTCCATGAACTACCTCGCATGCCTGACTGACATTCCACAGGAATTGGGCGGGCAGCGGCAACTCTTCTTGCATCCAAAGGAGCCAAAATCGTGCTTGCGGATGTAGACGAGACGAAAGCCAATGAGGCCGTCAAGGAGCTGCGACTCGAAGGATACGAGGCGGCTTGCGTTGTAGGAGACGCCCTGGACGAAGCGTTCCCAGCAAAAGCAGTCGCGGCAGCGTTGAAGGCGTTCGGGAAGGTCAACTGTCTAATCAACAATGCCGGTACACGACGAGCGCCATACCACAATATACAATGCTAACAATTGCAGGGTTCTGTTATGATAGCGCGATTCACAAAATGAGTGACGAAAAATGGGACACGGTCATGAAAATCCACAACTACGTTCCTTTTCGAATGATCCGCGCCTTGTCTACTCACTGGATGAACCCTCAGACGGCCGATATGCCCAAAACCGTCATCAATGTGTCCTCGACGTCCGGACTACACGGTCAAATGGGCCAGATTAACTATTCAACAGCGAAGTCGGGGATTTTGGGACTTACCAAGACCGTTGCGGCAGAGTGGGCTAGGTGTGTGCAGATAGCTTCGCCTCTGGGCTGGATTCACATCGCTAACATGGTAAAGATACAATGTCCGCTGCAATGCCGTCGCTTATGGCTGGATGGATACGCGGTTGACCAGGCCGCCCACAGAGGAAAAGGTTGTGCTTGCTGGGCAGAGTATCGTCACGGGTATCCCTGCCAACGCGCGGAAGTTTAGGGATACGTCGGATATCCCTCTTGGACGGCCGGGTACTGTCGACGATGCGGCCAATGTTATGCTGTTTTTGGCTAGTCCTATGTCATCCTACGTGACGGCGACTTGTATTGAATGTACCGGAGGTAGATATATGTAAATTGATTGTTTTATGTGAATACCAATCCAGTGCCATAACACCAATGAGGAGACATATCCATGTAAAAATGTACTCAGGTTCTCATTTCTAAAGTGCACGAGCATGATTGTAAAAAAAATGTCCAAAACTCCCCGACCCATGATATCATCAAAAGCAGCAGCATACAACCTATTCATCCAGGCAAGAGGCTGAAAGTCAAGAACCATCAGTCATTATCGACCCGTGATATAATCCCGGTTCTCAATCGTCACACTCTTGGTCATGTGGTTGACCTTGTAGACACCGACAAGTCGGGCAGCAAGCTCGAACTAGAAAACATGTTAGTTATGTCAACTTGGGAGGGAAAATTAACGACACCTACCATATTGTTTCTCAATGAAATGACAATGAATTGGGCATTCTTCGTTCGTTCCTTGATGTATGAGGCGACAATGGAAACCTTGAAAAGAAAGTTAGCACACGTGTCCATCACAATTTGTATAAGACCAACTCACGTTTCGGAAGTCCAAGGCGGCATCGATCTCGTCCATGACATAGAGCGGAGTAGGCTTGTAGTGGTGAAGAGCGAAGACCAGCGCCAAACTGGACAAAGTTTTCTCTCCACCAGACAGGTTACCAATGTTCTTCCAGCTCTTCTTGGGGGGCATGACCGAGAACAAGATGCCTTCCGAGAAGGGGTCCAACGAGTCAACGAGCTCCAACTCGGCGTTACCGCCCATGGTGATCATCTGGTACATTTCCTTAAGGCGCAATGAGATAATGCCAAATCCTTCCATGAATCCATTCAAGCGAGAAGATCGAAGCCCGTCCAGACGTGCCTTGGCACCGTCTCGTGATGTCAAAGCGGTGGTCAGATCTGCTGAGCGTGATTCATGCTCGGCGGCTCGGCGGCGATACTCCTCGATAACTGACAAATCGATAGAGGCATTCTGAACCTTCTCCTCCAAAGCAGCAATGACCGCTTTAAGAGAATCCTTGTTCATAGCCTCTAGCTCATCCTTGGTGTACATCTGAAGCTCTGTGGGCTCCTGCTCTTCGCCAATATCGCTAATGTTCTGGACAGTCAGCTTCGAAAGCTTCTCCTCCCAGTAATGACTGCGCTTTTGGTTCTCCACCAAAGCCTTCTGGTTCTCTTCCAGTTTATTGCGCATCTCGATCTCAGCAGCTCTCGTCTCATTAAGCTCAGCCACCTTTGCGTCAAGTTCGTCCTTCATGGCCTTCAGCTCGCCCTTTTTGGATTCCAAAGCCTATGAATGGTCAGCAGCAATTTCGATATACTCGTGGATCTTGGACAAGTTACCTCCTGGGCTTCATCGGCCTTCTGTCTCCAATCGGCAGATTCATTGGTCTGGTTGGCAACATCTTCTTCTAGTTTCTCCAACTCATCTGCGATCTGAGCAATCTCCTTCTCTGAAGCATCGCGAGCTTTAGAGTGCTTCTTGATGAGTTTTTCGTTCTTGGACTGTTGCCCCTCCGCGTTTGAAATCTCATCGGCAAGCATGCCGATCTGCTCTTTCAAACCATCCACCTTCGCCTTTTGGCCGCGAAGCCTAACACCACCGACCTCCATAATCGTGCTCTGCAGGGTCTGGATCTCTTCCTCGATGCCACTCTTCTCGTCATTGAGTTTAGCGATCTCCTTTTGGGCTTTGGAAATCTGTTTTTCGAGGGCAGCAATTTGGACTTCATCAGAATCAGACGGCTGATGCTGCACGCCCAGCTCCTTCACACGTCGCTGGGCATCAGCAAGACTACGCTTGGTGCTCTCAATCTCGATCATAATCTTTTGGATCTTAGTCTCCACGCGTGGGATTTCCTCTGATCTTTCCTTCATCTGAGCCTCCACGTGGCGCTGCTTCTCCTGGAAAGCCTGGAATTTCCTTTCCAGTTCCTCGAGATCTGATTCCAAGCGAGACACCTGCTCCTTTGTGGTGTCTGCGACTTGTTTTGACGACATACCACCTCGGGCGACACGGGTGCCACCACCGCTCATTGTTCCCGACACATCAATCAACTGGCCGTCTTCTGTCACCACTCGCCACCGGCGAGCACCATAGGCAATACGGTTTGCCTGGTCCAAGTCCTTAGCAACCAACGTGTTTTGCATCACGCTGTAGAAAGCTGGGGCGAACTTGGGGTCCTTCGGCTTGACAAGATCAAAGAGACGGGGAACGCTTTCGGGGGAGTAGATTGAGGCCATGTCACGGCGAGGAAGGCGGTCAAGAAGAATGAAATTCGCTCGACCAAGATTGTTCTTGCGCAAATAGTCGATGCATTGTTGGCCGACTTCAACGGTTTCAACAACCATGTTATCGAGAGCAGGACAAGCCGTAGAAATGGCAACATCATACTTCTCATCAATAGTGCCCAGGTTACCAAGTCGGCCATGGAAACCATCGATACGGCCAGACTCCTTGAGACGCATCAACCCAGTCAAGACACTTCCACGGTTTTGTGTGCTTGCAAGGCTGACTCGAGCCTCATCTGCTTTCTGACGGGCACTTGAGACGTGTGAACGAACCTCGGGTTCACGGCCGGCGTATTTCTTCAAGTCGTGTTTGAGCTTCTCCACTTCATATTCCAGTGTCTCCTTTTGGGCTTGTCGCTCTTCGAGCTCAGTTTGCTTGGTTTGTAGACTATCTTTGATTGTAACAATCTTGGCCTGTGCCTCTTCAAGGAGAACAGCGCCAGCATTACCACGCTCGCGCAGGATATCCAGCTCACTTTGAGCTACTGCGACTGCGGACTGTTTCTCGTTGATTTTCGCATTCCATGGCTCCAGAGACTTCTGCTTCTCGGCAATCTGATCAGATAGGCCTTGCGTCTTGCCTTTTAGCCCCTCACGAATCGAGTTCAGTTCCTTTTCTTCCGTAACCATCTCCTTCTCGAATTGAGTGGTTTCGGCAGTCTTCTTCTCAATGTCGGAGGTAAACTTCTCGACCAAGCTCTGGCATTCAGAAGCAGCAAGACGGCTAGTGTGCATGGCTTTCTCTAGCTTCTTTTGTTTGCCGAGTAAGAATTTCTTCTTCTCCTCAAACTTAACAGACTCCTTGTCGTACTTGGCCATCTCCTTGAGCAAAATTTGAGTCTCTTTCTCTATCGACTCGTAGTGACGAACACCCTTTTTGTAGGCCTTTTCGAGCTCTTTGATGCCGGATTCATTTCCCTCGTGTTTCTCGAGTTCCATATTGAGTAGCTCCTGCATTTGGAGAATGGCCTCTTCCGTGACACGAACATTATCAGCACACTCATCGATGTAGATCTGATAGAGCGCTGATTGTTTTTGGGCCAATTCGTTCTCCTCGCGGATGTAAGCCAGAGCCTTGTCTTTCTTGTCCTCCAAGGCCATCTTCTCCTTCTCCACATGCTGGACACGGTTATTCTTCTCCACGCATACATCGTTCAGAGCTTCGAGCTCGGTTGCGGCTTCATCGATGGGGGTCTTGTACTTGGAGGTTCCAATAATGTCTTCCAAGTATTCCAAAAGGCCTTCGTCGTGTTCGTTGGAGGCTTTCGGCTTCATCTGAGCGATCGACTCGACCTCACCCTGCAAAATCAGGAACCGCTTGTGATCGAGATCAATTCCGCGATCACGGAGGAAAGTTGTGACAGTGGTGAAGTTGGTCTCCTTTTTGTTCATGTAGTATTTACTGGTGTTATTCTTGAATGCTCGTCGCGAAACAATTAGTTGGGAATCTGGGACCACTTCCTGGCTACCGTCGGGTAAATCGAGAACTTCTGAGAAATGAACCTCGACTTCACAGAATGCAAGGTTGGGGTACTGAGCAGAGTTATGGATCAGTGCGGAGATTTTGCCCTGTCGCATCTTGCTGGCGCGGAAGCCAAATACAAATAGGAGCGAGTCAATCACATTGGACTTTCCGGAGCCGTTCGGTCCAACGACAGACGAAAAGGAGGCGTGGAAGGGACCAACAATCTGTTGGCCGGCGTAACTCTTGAAGTTTGTCAGAATAAGGTTCTCAATAATCATTCGGGGCTTGGGCGCCGCAGGCTCCTCGGGCGCTTGAGGGGCCTGCGTTCTGGACTTGGCCACAATGTCCATAGGCCTCTCCAAGACTGTCGAGTTCGGGTTTATAATGGAAATCTGCGATTTGGGCTCTTCCAATTGTTTCGATGGTGACTGATTCACGGCGGATTTGGTGATGTCAGACAAAGGTGGCACGCTTGTTCGATGCACTCTTTCTTGAGGCTCTGGCGACTGGGATGGCTCTGGAGTTGGAAGTGAGCCCTGTGCCGGTTTGGGTGTGATTGAGCCGCGACTCTTGCGGGGGTGAGCCATACTTTTTCTTTTCAACGCCGCTTTCCCGGAAGGAGATTCTGGATCAGCCTCCATTAACGCCATGCTCACGGCCTCGTTCTCCTCGTTTTCGTCATCGATGTCCATGGTATCAGTGTCCATCGCGTCGGTATCGGTGTCCATCCCATCGGAATCATCTGTTGTCGCTTCTTGGGTCTTGCTGGCAGGACGCACAGTAGAAGGTGTCACAGGGTCTAGTGTCATCCTTTTGCTCGATGCCCTCTTTGCCTTCTTAGGAACTGGGGTGTAATCCTCCTCAACTTCGTCATCGTCATCGTGCGCATCGGGTGTTGGTGTCACATTGCCGGGGTCCTCCGATTCAGATGTATCTTCAACGACATAACTCCGGCGGGCAGCAGAGCGGCGCGAAGCCCTGCCCTTTACAACTGATGCCATGTTGTGCAGATCAGTGGGATGTCTGCTGCATGGAGAGGGGCGAGAGGTTTTGTCGGAGGTTTTGTCGCTTGAAAGTGGGTTGTTTACCTCGTGCCCAAACGGGTAAAGTGGCGGTTGTTCTGCCACAACAAGCCTTTCACCGCCATGTCCCGCTGTAATTTACCGTACGGTAATTACTCCTCCGCGGAGCTTCATGGAGATCAGTTGAAGGTTGTTCACATAACTTATCACTTCTCTCATTATGCCCAGCATGGCTCCTTGGGAGAGTTTCGACCAAGTCTTCTCATTTAATAAGAAATATTCATATGAACCCAAGGTTCTTGACCAGATCCTATCCAGCCGACAGGCGTTGGACCAACTCTTTGCCGATCGACTCTTGGGACTGCTCGGCATCCAAGGAGGTATTGTGATTTGAAGCTCTGCTCTTGAAGCCTCATGCTAATCAATCACTTCTCTGTTAGTGACCAAGATCTACCCGCCAAAGTCCAATCCCGATCTCCGAACACTGTTCAACCACATCGTTTCTTCAGAACTCGATATCCATCACAAACAATCCTTGATCTATTACATCCTCAAGGACTGTCGCACTGCGCCAGAAGCCTCGTCTCAGTTTGCGCAACAATGCCACCTCCCAGAAAAGTACCGTTTCTTCATTGAAGGTCTTTGGCATTTGGATCGACTCGATTTTAGGGTGAGTTGTGAACGATCTTTCAAGACGGCCATATTCTAACAATTGCATGATATAATAGCGAGCAGTGGAATTCCTTGCTGAACCCTCACTCATTCCTACCTTCCCGGATGAGATCCTCTACGTCCTTACCCTCACAAAGCTTCCCAAGCATGATGATAGCCTCGCCATTGCATACTACCTCACCGCTGCTCCTCCTCTTGCAAGCGCAAAGATCCGCAAAGCTTTCTTAGACACACTCGCCCGATCCAACGTTACCGAGGCATTCTACTTCACGCGCAAGCATGATGACACTCTCCGTCAGAGCTTTTTCGAGCAGTTGGTGGAGTTTGTTCACAGGGCCACCCCTGGCCAAACCAGAAGCAGACGTGCGATGGAACTCGTCGGTCTTCCGCTTGACGAGGATGAGGAACAGTGGTTTGAGCATGTTTTACTGCAGGGCAATGCCAGTACCCTTCCTGGGGCTAAGGATACTGTGATGATGCGACGCCTTGCAACTGGGCGAACTGGGGAACTCGCCCCGGAGCTCGAATCCTTGGGTGGCAAAAAGGTCGATGGGTTGAATTGGGATGACCTTCGGGGGAGCATACGACACACGTAGATGATATACCCAACCAGTGATCCGTACTGGATTCAATGTTTATTGATTGCTTAAAATTGAAATAGCAATGAGAGTTAATGGCTTTAATGGTTTTAAATGGCGTTCTATAAATATTTTGTTATTCTGTCAGCGTCCGGTACCAATATATATAACGCTTTGTCGATCGAATTACATCCGGTTTGTGGGCTGGACTAAGTAAATGAACTTCTAATCCTAGATCCCTTTAATCTCATCTCAAGGCAAAGGATAAAGTGATATAAATCCAATATCGTACTCTCAAATATTAAAGCGAGCTATACAAGAGTGCTGGGATTGCCCTTTGCAGATGTTCCGATAAGATACGGACCAATTCCGAAAAGTCCCAACGACAGGAGTTTCTCTCTTCGCGACAACCAACCTTATTCTTGCTTTTCTCTCAAGTTGCTTGGTGATATATCGAAGGACACTTATTCATTTGAGAAAAGTCGAGATCTAGGCCTTCCAACGTTGCTTTGAAGGCAGTTGAGCAAACACCACCGCAAAGATGGTGGTATGCACCTTTTTTCAGCAAGGTCGCTGCAAGTTCGGAGGTATGAATATTTCGAGTATAAAGAAATCAAGTCGCTAATATATTTTCAGATCGCTGCAAGTTCGAGCACCCTGGCAAACCTACTGCTGGCCCATCGGGGAATCGATTCGGTGCTTTATCCGGAGGGTTTGGAGGTACGTCAATTGAATTGTTTTGATCTAGCGCTACTCAATCTGAAGAGTCCGTTTATTTTTATTGGAAATCTATTGTATAGTGAGATCAAATGTTCGATCTCTATGTTCACTTGTGCCCCCCCCCCCCCCCCCCCAATATCCTTCTCCTGCTTTCTACCCATCCTACTCCAACCTATCCTACTTCGAGTCTCGAGGTGTAGGAGATATTCCCTGCAAAACTATGATATACCCTGTGAATTATGCGCCCCTCCGGGCTAGCCTTTTTTCAAAGCCTAACGGCAAGTTTACGACAGGTCAAAACCAGACTCTACAAGGACCCGAGTAAGTCACATGCCTGCGCCTTAAGTTGGAACAGAACTGACAAAAAGGCAGCCCAGCAGTTAAGGCAAGCGACATCAAGTCAGACTTGACCGCAGGCCAGGGCCGCCCGGAATGGATCTTCTCCGCATATGCGCCCCACAAGGATGTTGCGCGCCAGCTGTTCGGCGGTGCTCACCGCGAGCGGAGCATGGAAGAGATGCGCCTTCGCCATTATGAATTAGCAGCAGCCGGCAACCTGAACCAGGCAGTCCAAGAAGCCTCGGCTTTATGGCAAGAGTGCGTGCAACAGATGGAGGTCTCGCTGAATGACCTGAATGGTGCCGTCAAATATGTCAATGATGGCAGGAATGAACACCCCAATCGAATCGACATCATCGAGGGGAAGACTCAGACTGGTATGAACCAAGCTCCAGCACCATTTGGCCAACCCTCTCCATTTGGTCAGCAAAATGTCGCACCGTCACCGAATACCGGTCCTGCGCCTGGAGCGTTCGGCGCTCCTTCCTCGACCTTTGGCCAGTCTTCAGGACTTGGCCAGTCAGGTGGATTCGGTAGGGCTTCAGTACCAGCGCAGCCTGCTGGCATGGGTATGGGCCAGTCTACGGCCTTCGGACAGACTTCTGCCTTGGGTTCCGCCTTCGGTCAAACCTCCACACTAGGAGGGCAGTCAGCCTTCAACAAAACACCTTTCGGCCAGCCAGCTCTTTCTCAGCCAGGAGTTAATCCGAACCCATTCGGCAAGCCGGCAGCCCCGGGCGGCGCCGCCCCGTTTGGCGCTCCATCTGTCGCCTCTCCCTTCACCCAAGTGGCACAAAGCCAGCCGGCCGCCGGTGGGTTTGGCCAGGTCGCTGGACAACCTGCCCCGTCACCTTTCGGTCAGAATGCTGGACAATCTGCCCCGTCGCCATTTGGCCAACCAGCCGTCAAACCGAGCCCATTTGGTCAGCCATCAGCACCGGTAGGCGCTTCTCCGTTCGGTCAACCATCAGCCCCGGCAGGCGCTGCTCCGTTCGGTCAACCACCAGCTCCGGCAGGCGCTGCCCCATTCGGTCAGCCCTCGGGCCCGACAGGCGCCGCCCCATTCGGTGCTCCATCTACCGCTTCCCCCTTCACCCAAGTATCTCAGAACCAGACTGCTGCCGGTGGGTTTGGCCAGAGTGCTTCACAACCTGCTCCGTCTCCCTTCGGCCAGCCCGCAGTCCAAGGCGTGCCGGTGCAGAATGCCAACGCCGGACCACGTGCGTTCTTCAAAATCGACAATCCACAAGATCTCAACCCACTTCCACAACTGGAGGGTGAAACTCGACATAACCCATCCACCAAACAACTAGTGATGTGGAAGGGCCGGCCCGTCAAGTATATCAACGATCACCCGTGCTACCTTCACCCACAAGACAACAAAACCTTTGTCCGAGTTCACTTCCCTAACGGGCCACCTGATCCAGCTAGTTTGAAAGACGCACACGCCAAGCCTGAGGAATACACACCAGAGGTCGCTGAAGCATATCAATTTTTCCTCCAGAATGGCTACTTCAAGGACGGCAACATTCCTGCAGTACCTCCTAAGCAGGAGTGGCTCAGTTTCGATTTTTAACCCCCGAAGCTAGAGCATTTATTTGTCTTTGTCTTCTGCTTTTTGTTTGTTATTTTACCGCGTCTCATGGGTTGAGATGACGTGCATTTCTTTTTCATTTTATCACAACGAGCAACATGTTCCCAGCGTGTAGAACATGGGGAATGGCGCCTAGGAGCTCAACAATACTCAATTACGAATGTAGCAATTGCAAGTGCTTTATTTTCACTGTTAATATGAACAAAATTATGGTCTGTAGACCACTACTGAGGGTGTTTTAGGTTTCAAGATGTTTCCATTTTTTATTTTAAATATTTCAGGTCCCAGCGGGATCTCCCGCAGCGCGCAACAAGACATGCGGGCCAGAACCGGCTCAAAGGTCGCGCTGTGCACTCCAAATTGGCCAATCCACGATCCCTCCCTGAGGCAAGCCCAGCCTAGCGCATTTATGCGGCAATGGTGACCTCAACCTCAACACCGGCCTCGATGTTGATGATGATCTGCTTGACGGTCTCGGTGGGGGCGAGGAGACTAAGATATCATGTCAGCAACTGCATCTTCTAGGTGCCGTAGCGATATTGCCACAACTAAATAGGGCGGGGCAAAAACTTACTCAATGAGACGCTTGTGGATGCGCATCTCGTACTTGTCCCAGGTCTTGGAACCCTCACCGTTGGGGGTCTTACGGGTGGAGATCTGGAGGGTCTTGGTGGGAAGACGGACGGGGCCCTTGACCTGGAGGGACTTGGAGCGAGCACGGTCAATCAGCTCCTGGCAGACCTTCTCGAGGGAGGCAACCTTGCGGGAGGTGAGGGTGATGCGGATCTTGTGGACCTTCTGTAGAGCAGACGAGAGACAATTAGTACTAAGCTTGTATTGGCGAAGTCCAATGACACATTGCACACAGCGACAGCGACAGCGAGGCACAGCAGCGATGTGCGACAGTGACCATTGGATCAGGGACAACGTACAGGGCCCTCGCCGAACTCCTTCTCGGGCTTCTGGAAAGACATCTTGAATTTGAATGGACTGAAACGGGTTAGTAATTCGATTCGGGAATTTCAAGAGTTAGAAAAAGGGAGCGCGCACAATTTAAAAGGCGATTGCCGTCAAGACCTGAACTACTAGGCTCGGTAAAGTGATGATGGCTGTTGAAGTGATGTGGATCGAGAATTCCATATCCAAAAAGTTCAGTGCGAAATTCTTGGCGCTTCGGTTATCAAACACTAAACCCCTTTGGGTCCCCTTTCAGTGATTGCTTATGTCATCTCTCAATAAGGACATGAGACCGCCAAGTGATGGCATTCGAGATGATAATCATGAGCTGACGGGTGGTTGCGTGTTTTTTCCTCTAGTTCTTGCTTCTTTCTCTTTTAAGATTCTTCCTATATCTCCAATCACAACCACCTTAGTTCACCCCAATGGCGGAGTTCCCGCCGCTGGCTCCAGTGCCCTCCCCCGCAGTGCGGAGGACAATCCCATCAAATGACTGGGAAGCTTGTCTAGATGCATGGATGGCCCTGTTGGGGATCCGCCTGAATGCGTCAGATCAACAATTTAAGGTTGCAGCCCCCGAAGATGTATCAATACCCCCATTCCTGGGATCTTATTATCAATACACGGCTGCGGGGGATTCTAGTCTACAAAGTGGACCTAAAGCTCGACAACTTCGGAAGCTCTGCTTCCTGGCGACAAGGAGATATATACTGGATCTCTCCAACCCCCCAGACGGAATTCTGGACTGGAGACTTCTTGGCAATCTATCGTGCTGTTACCCTTCAAGCGCGGCCTTGAAGACGTCATTATCAAGTGCCTGGGATCTACACCGTGACAAGATCACTTCCAGTATCGAGAGAGCAAAAGCTGTTGTGATCAAGAACATCTCTTCACCCAACTCATCCTCAAACCCCGAAGTCATTTCTGACATCCGCCGTCTGACCATCCTTGCTTCAGTGCTGCCAGCATGTGGCCAGGAGGTCATGGCGGGCTCCGACTTCCTGGATACGATAGCGGAAGCGTATCAGTCAAAAGGTGCCCGGGAGGAGTTCCGTAAGATTCTCGTTGCTAACATGTACGTCGGACTCGTTTCATTACTGAAGGAGCCTGTCAATTTGTCTTCGTTATTGGATCAGCTATTCAGCCTCAAAGCCACTGCTCGAGTGGGAGCACCGAAAATGAAGAAGGAACCAACTCTACTATCTGATGTCATTTGCAGCTCAGACTTGCTTATTCGGCTGGAGAAGTATCTGAGCATTCACCCCCAGAAACGGGGGCAAGACCTCCTTGCCAGCTTGCGCACGTATCAGGTGGAATCAAAGTCGCTACACCATCGGTATCAAAAGCGCAAGAAAGTGGACAAAGGAAAAGCAGTGTCCTCGGATCCGATTGTTTTAGGAGAACTTCACGCACACAAGATGTCACTAGTCACTCAAGTACAAGACCTCTTCCCCGATCTTGGTTCAGCCTTTGTTGTACGGCTACTGGACTTCTACAACGATAACCCTGAGACTATCGTCGCCCACCTTCTCGACGACTCACTTCCCATGGAACTCCAGTCTCTAGATCGATCCGAGCAACTGCCTGCCCCAGCGGAACCTCACCATAGCCATCTCGCACCACAGCCAACACCACCCGCCATACCATCACCTAAATTCGCACCACTCCCAACCCGCAAGAATATCTTCGATGAAGACGTGGACATCGCGGAACTAAGCCGCTCTGGCGAAGCGAAAGGCAAACTACACTTCGGCCGTGCCGACGCAGACCAAACAGCCGACACACTCCTCTCAGATCACAGCAAACACGCAGCAAACAAAGCAGCAATCCTCTCTGCCCTAGCAACCTTCGACTCAGACGACGACGAGCGCGACGATACCTACGACACAGCCGATGTAGGCGGCGCCATTGACGGAGCCACAGGTGGCGCAGACGGCGAAGCGGAAGCAGCTCAGCGCGAACGCCGTGCAGCTGATATGGAAACAGTCCTCTTCCGAACATACAAGTCCAATCCAGGACTCTTCGCCCGCGATTCAGCGACTCGCCGCTCACAGCCGCGCGCGTCGTTGAAGCGCGAGACCGAAATGACCGACGAGGCTATCGAGGGCTGGGCTGTCATGCTAGCGCGTGATCCGAGGCGTCTCGCTAAACTCGAAGCCCGGCTGGCTATGGACGCTGGCGGGTCGGCTGGTGCTGGGCCACTTAATCAGCCTGAGTTGCGTCCTACATCTTACAGGAGGCCGCAGCCTCGTGAAGATGGGGATGGTTCTGACGAGGGCGAGTCCTCTGGCCATGCTGGTTCACGGGGTGGCAGAGGAGGCGGTGGAAGTGGTGGACGAGGGCGGGGTGGCGGCGGTCGTGGTCGTGGAGGCCGTGGTGGTGGCCCTCCGTCTGGCGGCCAGGCGCCGGATAGTGCGGCATCGAGACAGAGGAAGGAAGAGAACAAGAGTAGTCAGGCAAATCACAACCGTCGACAACAGCGTGCGAAGAAGATGGCACGTGGCGGTGGGTTGCCTGGCTAAGCATATGAAGGGATTGAGTTGGTTATATATGGATACAATGCGGCATAAGAGCATTTATCATTTTCTTTCTATCTGGTAATGATCATGGATGTAATTTACACAAAATTTGTTTGGCTTGTACAACAAGAGCCACGACGCATCGAAAAGAAAGCATTCAGTTGATTCATTAATATACCTCGGCACATATAAAATGCGGTATAGGCAGTCGTGATAACATGTGTACACAGGGAAAGTCGTACTTGGCCAGCAAGGAACTGACAATTCGTATCAGTGGTGATCGGAGAAGACTCCGCCCTCGGAAATAGATTTGCGGCACTCCTCCATGAGGCGGACCTGCTTCGCGACTTCACCAAGGTGGCTGATAACCTCCTTGTTACCATCGTAGAAGGTGAAGATGGCATAGGGAATACCAGTATCGCGGCAGAACTCTATGACGAACTTCTGCGTACGGCGCAGGTTGTGGCGCGGGATCCGCGGGTAAAGATGGTGAATGGCCTGGAATTGCAAGCCACCGTGGAAGAAATCCAGCCATGTAGGGCAGTCGACGTCCATAGTGGTCCGAAGCATCTTCTGCGCGAAGGACTCACCAACACCTAGGTCGGCGGTCGACATAGCGAAGTGCGATAATGTGATTTGGACGTGTAGTGGGGAGGAGACAATGTGTGAGACGAGGAGGAAGATGATACGGCTGCTTGCATCAGGAATCGTCTTGTACATAACACCATAGCCAAACCAGGTCCAGAAAAAGACCTGTCCGACAAGCTCAAACCAAACATGCCACCAAGCGGGACCTCTTTTAGGAGCTTGCCCCTTTAGCAGATACTCCCAACTCAAGGCGTAGAGATTGAACCGTGCGAGCATCATAATAGGGTAGTAAGAGTAATTCTGAAATTTGAGTAAAAATCGAGCTGGGGCGTCGAAGGTCATGATTCGATCGTAATAAGTACTCCGAAGGCTCGTGAGGAAGCGATGCGAGATAGCGAAGAATGGTATATGCTCGATATCCGGATCATGCTCTGGCTCATTGGTCACAATGTGGTGAACGTTGTGGCTTCGTTTCCACCACCCGAGACTTAATCCTCCGAGATAGTCTGCGATGAGCATACCAATGACAGTATCCACATGGAAGTTGTGTGTAATGCCCATATGACCAGCATCATGGGCGGTGAAAACAAGCTGATGCCAGAAACAGCCGAGGAAGAATGCCGAGGTAGCCCACCATCCCATGCGGAGAAATATGTAGGAAAGACCTGCAAAAAGTGTATATCGGCAGCATTCGATGAAGTAACAAGAGTAGTTGCAGTCGTAAAGTCCCTCAGCTTTGATACGCTCGTGCAGTGCGCGATATTTTCGTTTGATCTCTTCCTGATTTGCGGTATCCAAGGAGGGATACTTAGCAGTGTCGAAAACGATTTCCTCCCGTGTTCTCGCATCCAAAAAGGCAGGCTTGGCCGGAGTTTGGTCGGTCACAGTGGTTCCAGTCGATTTCCGTTGACGAACTGTAGATTTCGAGTCGACGGCATCGAATATCGGCGAGGGAGGAGTTGATCCTTCTTGACTGGAGTTACCAGAGCTTTCTTGAGTTGTTGAATCCTCATCACTCAAGCACGTGTCTTCGGTATAGGCACGGAACTTGCCGCCCTGGATTGGGGGTAGGAAGTTGATCCATGTTCCTTCAATTCGTCCGATCTGGTATGAGGGCATGCGGTGGCGGGCTTCTTCGGAGTGTAAACTGCATGTGGCCGGTTTCAGTTAGACTGATCAGAGGTTGTGATATTTGCCGTTCTAAGAACATACGCGTTGATCTCATCTGTCGCATCCCTGCCCACCATATGCTTGATTGGCTTCTCCCCTCCGGGATGGTATTTAATGAATGGGTCTACCTTTAGGACACGGTCCTGGTAGATTATGATATGTTTGCCCTCCGCAATGAGGCCTTCGATATATCGTCGAGTCAAGAGGGTGTCCTTCCGGGACGGTCGGAACGCGGCGGTCTTCTCCATGGTGTGAGGTTCGGTGAGAGGGGGTGTGTAGGGGTCCAATAACAACAATGGTGGGTTTACAATGACATTGCTAGTCGAACTAAGAAACCCACAAAATGCAAAAGGCAGAATGTAAGATGCAAATAAACAAAAGAAAGAATGAGATTAAAGGCAGAAGCGTTGCAAGGGCTATGGGGCGGAAGTGGATAACAGCGGGACCGATCAGCCCATGTGATTGTCCACCTTTCACACCACATACTCGAGTACCTCCAGGCACATAAATTTAACTCGATGGCCGTGAGTCGTAACTCTATGGTATTGATTATATTGATCTAACTATGTCATAGCAATCACTTTCCTCCTTGACAGAGCAATGGCTCCAATGGGACCAGGTCAATATGATTCATGTTTCATCTCGTGGCATGACCCCGCTGATTCGGATATATAGGATCCTACGACTCGCGCAGAAATAGAAAAATTGCGGGACTCCAACGCCACTGAGGAGCTGGAAAAGCGCCTTCGGAATCGTACGTACTTTTTAATGCCTTTGTCAGTGCGTATCTAATCTGTGTATGCATTTAGGTATTGAGTTCGGAACAGCTGGTCTGCGAGGCTGCATGGCCGCAGGGTTCTCCTGCATGAATTCTTTGATAGTCATACAAGCCTCACAGGGGCTGGCCAAGTTCATTCGAGACAAACGTCCTGAGATTGCCTCGAACGGTGTGGTCATTGGACATGATGCGCGTCACAATTCTGCGAAATTCGCCGCACTCGCTGCCAACGCTTTCATCGCGCAACGTATCCCCGTTTGGTTCTTCAATGAGGAAGGACCAACACCGATGGTGGCGTTTGGTGTAATTCATTTCGGTGCTGCAGCAGGTATTATGGTGACGGCGAGCCACGTAGGTCTTCCCTGAAATTACTTTTATAGATGTATTAGCTAATTGGCTCGAAGAACCCACCCCAGGACAATGGTATGTTACTCATCTCTGACGCTGTAATATAATTGCTAAAAGTTTCATAGGCTACAAAGTGTAAGAATCGTGGATCTATATCAGGGAGACTGCTGACAAAATCATCTTGTAGCTACTCGAGCAATGGTGCCCAGATCAACCGACCCGAGGACGGACAAATAGCACAGTTGATTCAAGAGAATCTTGAGCCATGGCCGACCGCATGGTCGGAATTGAGCCCAGGCGAATTCCTGCGCGCGGACTCTTACCAGAAATTGCTACCTCACTACAGCAGCCAAGTCGCAGAATTCATGGTGTGTTGTGGTGTGTTCTTTAAGGTAGCCAATCTAACGAGCCTATCCTAGAAAACTACTGTGACAGACTGGCAACCCCCGAGACCATTCGTTTATACACCCCTGCACGGCGTGGGAGGTTTGGTTCTCCCAAATCTGTGCCGCTCACTTGGGATTAGCGACTTTGTATCTGTTGTTACCCAAGAAAAGCCCGATCCTGACTTCCCCACCGTGAAGTTCCCCAACCCGGAAGAGGCTGGGGCTTTAGATCTTGCTATTGAGACTGCAGACCAAGAAGGAAAGACCTTGATCATCGCAAACGACCCCGACGCGGACCGCTTTGCCGTAGCGGAGAAAGTGGAGTGAGTCTTACTTTGCCGAATGCCATAAATTGGGCTTAACTAATGTGCTTTCCAGTGGGAAATGGCATACTTTGACTGGAAACCACGTTGGTGTCCTTTTAGCATCCCATTTATTGGATTCCTACGATGCTAGCAAAGATTGGTCCCACGTCGCGGTATTGACTACAACGGTGTCGAGTGGGATGCTCGGAAAGATGGCAGCTGCAAAGGGAATGCACTTCGAGGAGACATTGACAGGGTTCAAGTGGATGGCTAATGTTGCCCGGGACCTAGAGAAAAAGGGAAAGACGATTCCTTTTGCATACGAGGAGGCACTGGGATACATGTTCCCAGCTGTGTGCTATGACAAAGACGGCATTACGGCAGCTGCAGTCTTCCTTGCAGCGGAGGCGAAATGGAGAGCACAGGGGTTGACCGCATATGCCAAGCTGCAGCAACTGTTCGGTGAATTCGGCCACCACGAGACCTTGAATAACTACTTCCGATCGCCTAATCCACAGCTCACCTCAACATTGTTCCAGGGCATCCGAGGCAGCGCAGGCCTTGCGAATATGCAGTTTGGTCCCTTTAAGATCTTGCGATGGAGAGATTTGACCGAAGGCTACGACTCCAGCACCCCTGATAACAAGCCAGACCTACCTGAAGATCCAACAAGCCAGATGCTTACGCTGTGGCTGGCCGGTGGGGTTCGCTTCACATTCCGAGGTTCGGGGACAGAGCCCAAGGTCAAATGTACGTTTTCCCACTCTCTTACAAACGAATCAGCCACTGACAGATTAATATAGTTTATATCGAGAGTTGTGGAGACTCTCGCGAAGACGCCGTCAAAGCAGTCTGCGATGCATTCCTCACTATTCGGGAAGAATGGGTACAGCGCTTTACGCCTTCGATGACATATAGCAAGCAGCTTTCCACGTCATCTGGTAATATTTTGAACGTTGAATGAACCCGTGTCTAAAGTAGCTGCACCTGCACTACTCGTTATTGAAATATTACAACTAGAATATGAGGACCTGTGGGATTGTCGCCGAAAATGACAGCTTTTGAGGCTAGAAACGGCTGCCTTTCCACCCGTAACTTTGGACGTCCAGCCGCCCCTTGACCGCCCACTACCCTATAACACCACTATTCTGCACCCGCCTAGCACTTTTAGTCATCCTCCGGTCCTAGTTAATATTAACGCTCGACTTACATATAGTTATTCCCCTCGTTTCCACTAGCGACTAAAACGACGCCGAAAATGGCTCCCCTTTAGCTAAATCTAAACCCCTGTAACGGGCTCTGCCCGGGCTCACTACTAAACTCAGCCAGAGTTTCTCATCGAGGCGGCTCCGCGCTCACCGCAGCCAGGGTCTCTGACCGCGGTCAGAAACTAGGAGTATCTGCCAGTGTTCACCGCCTTAGAAGAACACGACATCACTGTCGAACAACCACACAGTATAACTCCTTAAGCTTTAGTTAAACAGCATGCAGGCACCGTTCAATTGAATCAATTCGACTGTAGCCTTTTACACTACTATAGAGAATCATTAGGAGGTTCGAGATAGGTTAGCTGAATAGCCTTTAAAGTCAAGCTGCAACCTTTTAGAGCAGCTAGTACTAGTTAAATATAGTGCTCATAAGACCTTGGTTCTGTCATATCAAACATCCAGTGGTAATACCTCTCCGAATCCTCGTGGCCCTTCGTGTCACGAAACCCTAATACCAATTCTTTCAAGTTAAAGAGGAGATTAAAAGCAAGGTTTATCAAAGTTGAATCTCTTCTACTTCTATGGTCTCTTGTTGCTCAGCACATGTCCGTCGTATCGTCTTATAAACACGCGTGTATAAAGGGGGATCGCTTGAAAGATATTCCAATTTGTCCCAGTCCTCACGACCGTCCACGTCATCGTAACCTTCGCATATATCGACATAAGCATCAGGAGTGAGGATCTACGTTTTGAAAATGTTGGAACATATGCGTTGGAGCACCTGTCACTTTGGTATTGTCTTGTCACCCTGATATGCACTACTCATGCACTAGGGCTAGACCCGTATGTAGTACTGGGGTCGTTACCCATAGAACTCCAGAAGAGACATCTATCTATGAACTAATCTACTTATTCGCCTCAAGGCAAATACCCTGTTCACTTAACTGTGTACACAGTACCTAGCTGGTGAGACCAACAGAAAACATCATAATTTCGTATCTCTAGCTCAAGGTCAGTCTTTGATTCCATAGATGATTCGTCCATGGATCCTTACCAGGATTTAGCATTGGGGCGACGTATTCGAAGGAGACGATATATCGACGCAAGTTTAATTCCAGAATACTTTCCAACAAGTCAAATCCCTCATTCGAAAATTCAATGCTGATTTTGCAAAATAGGACAGGTAAGCAGACGTCCCTCATTCGCCTGCTGGTGAGTGAAAGCTGTTTGATTTCTCGATTGTCAAGACACTTCACAATGTCGAAGAGAACTTCGGTAGACAGCAGCTCCATACTATTGAATCAATGAATTTCAGCCGTACCAGAATATTTCAGGAGGGTTAGGAGGTGATGCTAGGGGATGCAAACGAAGTGGGCGGCCTGTATATAGGTAGGGCTTTAGTTCATTATTGAAAACTCCAGTTTACGTCTTTTTCTTACAATGAGTTAGTGGAAGGTTTTTGCAATGTGATGGTCAAAGAATAGAACAATCATTAATGTGTTTATCTGCGTAAAACTTGCAAAACTATTGGTCTGAGATCGAGAAATGAGTGCACTCAGCAGTCTATAAATATACAAAGTAAGCCCTCAGAAGATATGGTCCGTTCTCCTGTTTTTTCAAGGAAAAGCAGTATCCTAACTCTTCACTTTCAAAAAAATTGTCTGTTTTGTCACTGTTGTTAGTTAGAGAGTTACATATCACTGAATTTACCAAACATTGTTAAGCCGCCGGATTTTCACAACTCAATTCTCTCTTCTTTCCCGTGTGCTTCATAAACCCTAAGTAGCTCTCATCCATTTCTCTTCGAGTAACCGAACTTGTATGGCGAGTTCAATTTTATGACGGTTTGCCTGCGTGCCCAGATTAGCAAGACTTCTAGTAGTATTCTTAAATGGGATATGTACTTTGTGAGAGCGTCATCGACATTCCGAAGGAGCAAACTTGCAAAGCAGGCAAGCCCTGTTAAAAATGACATTAGTCACACGGTTCTAGACAAAGGACATACGATTCTGGTTGCGCATTACCTCCAAAGACTATACTGACGAGGTAAATCAGTCTAAATGCATCCGCATAGACAGACCTTAAGGCATCTTCTCCCGTGGCAATAATTGCTGGTGTTACGTCTTTCACAGAACTCATCGCGCCGACAGATCCAGACATCAAAGACTCTAACATTCAAGTTAGCCACTCCGCTCGTACTCAGGCGACTTTAATGTGTTACCAATGAAAGAAGGAACTGATGAATCCTTCAAGCCAGCCTCAATCACAGCTTTGGTGACTGCAGGTGTCATATTCGTCGACACTTTCGAACTGAAGATACTCCCATATATAGCGAAGGCGACGGCGCCGCCTGTAGCTCGGGACGAACCTGTTCGGCTATTTTGAACCAGTCAGAACTTCCTCCCAGAATTTAGTTTCCGCAAGGTCAAGACATACCCAGTAGCGATACCTATATGAGTGTCGGCAGCTCCGAATTGTATAACGAGCACGGTGATGATCTGAGCTGCACCGAGACAGAAAGCAGCGGCAGTCATAATTCCAATTGCATCCTGTGGTCTATGTTGATTAATGGTCGACATCGCTGCAACCAACACAGTCTGTAGCACCGTAATAGCGACGAACTGCCACTTTGTCTTGCCGATTTTAGCGAACAACGCACCGCCCACAAATGCACCAACTGAGTAGAGGTTAGTATTCCATCAGGCTTGACAACAAGCCTATATTGAACACTTACTACTTGCCGGTCCATTGTATGCGAAGCTATACCAACCGACCTTAGAAAGTGACGTCGTAAACAAGAGTTGTACCTCTAGAAGTGCATCGATTAGTGAAGAGTTTGGCATGCCGTTTGATTTTAATATTCCTACCCTGCGGCCACCAAACCTGAAGGCTGATGAGCTGGGTAAAGCATTAGTGATTGTTTAATTATTGAACTGGGACAGCATGTGGGCTACATACCAACATCCCGGAGACAAAATTAGCCATCAGGGGCATGACAAACCCTCTGACGTTCTTGAAAATGCTTGGGGGGCACAACTTGGAGATATTATCGGAACCAAATATCTCCCAAATCGGAAGAGCAATGAAAGCTGTAACTGCTAGAGCAATTTTAGTTTTCTAGTTGGTAAAAAGAATTGCAAGGGCGATTTACCTCCAAGAATCAATGGAACCAAGACTGGGACACTGAGCCAAGGGAATGGATTATTCGCGAAAGACACTCCCAAAATGAAGCTTGTTAGCCCACCGCCAAAGAGGAGCAACCCAATGAAGTCGAGCTGCTTTAATTGCTGCCATCGGGTTTTGCCTTCTGTATGCAAACCAAAGAAATTGGGAGGCCAATAGAAGAGTATAACGAGCAGTAAGGCCCATCCATTTGAGAGAATACCGATGTAGAACGTCCAACGCCAAGACAAGTGTGAGATAATGGCGTAGGCTATTGGAAGCTCATTATAAATTAGCTAGAGAATTGTAGCAACGAAGCTGAGTCAACCGACCTATGACAGATCCGAAGGCAGAGCCCGGCAGAGCTGCTAGACTGAGAAACGCCAGAGCATTGCCTCTGGATCTTTTCGGCACGATCTCGTTGGCAGCTGCAAAAGCAAGTAATTGAGGCCCGGCACCGATACCCTGAAATTCAACTTAACGTCCCATAGTTACTAGTTCGCCTAGAGGAAAAGTACTCACCATTAACGCGGTTCCTGCGATGATAGTATTTATAGACTCGGCCCTAGAAAATGCATAAGTATATGGAGGACACTTGTTATTATTCAATAACGAACCGTGAACCAATACAACTACCTATATCCAGATTAGAAGTGATGCATTTTTAACCGCTAGTTAAATTGTCAATTAACCAATCAAGCCCAACATGTTCCCTACAATCATGAAATTCCTTCGTCCAAAAATATCGCTGCACCGTCCTGCTACAGTTTGGGTTATAGCTGTTGCAAGCTGCCAAGCTGTTGCAATCCAGTTGGTATGAGGTGAAGGCCTAACTTCCTTATTGATGGTGAGAAGAATTGCAGCGGGAAGCACAAAAGAAAACAATGAAGCTTCGTAGCTAAATGCCAGTGCCTAGAAAACGGTGTGAGAAAGGGCTCCATTACAAATAGAGTATCTTGAGAGACCAACGACAATGGCTAGGATGGTTCGAAGGTTCATCGGACGATTTTCAAATTCTTCAATTTCATCTGAAATTTGAATCCCGGGCGAAGAATGTCCCTCGTGATGCACATTGTCCCGCAGGGCAATTTCTTTGGTCTCCATCCCTAAGAGTTATACTTTCATGGGTTGTATTCCAACAGTTCGTAACAGAAGAAATGACATGAAAAACTGGGAAGTTGTTTCGCAGCTGTTGCGCTCAATGAGAAATAGTTATATAATAGTAATCGGTCCCAAAGAACTAGTGATCTAGGTAATAATTGTTCTTGGTAGTAAGTTTCCTGAGATTACTCAAGTTAGTTTAAGATTTGTGTTTGGAATGATCGAGTCGAGAGAGATCGCCTCGACATTTTTCTTAAGGTTTGATCGACTCGATCACTCCAGGGCTGTATGTCACTCTTCCCCGCAAAAGCCTTGGGCAGTCTCGACAAGGTCGATGACGGCTCGAAACTATTTACACCTGACTAGGCCACTCTGCCAATGTTGTTGTTCCGTTTTGCATTTATATTTCGGAGATTAATGTCACTGTCCAAGAAGAGACAAACTTTACCATACCAGAGACACCTACCTACACATTCATTCCACTCAACGTGGAAACCTTTTACTGCCACGATTTACTACAACCTCAAGTCCGCCGGATCATTCTTAGTTCGCCATGAAAGCATATCGATTTGACAACGTTGACGCTGGCCTCCAGCTGGAAGATATTGATATGCCACAAGCTTCTCCGGGCGAGGTTCTCATCGCAGTCAAAGCTGCTGGCCTATGTCATTCTGACTGTCATATCTTGAAAGAAAATAACTGGGTCGGGAAACGTCCGATTACCCTTGGGCACGAAGTAGCCGGAAACATCATCGCACTCGGCGATGAGGCGCTCAATGTTCAAATTAGTGACAGAGTCGCCGTCGCTCTGATTAGCCACCCGATAGAAGAAATGCAATTGTCCGCATCAATTGGACTCGGATTCGATGGGGGTTTTGCCGAATATGTCGCAGCTCCTATTACACATATTGTTCCGATTCCGCATGGAGTCAGCTATGAGCAAGCTGCTGTCGCCACTGACTCAATATCGACCGCGTACCACGCTATTCTAGCCGAGGCCAAGGTGACCGCATCAACCACAGTTGCGATCGTGGGACTGGGCGGGTTGGGATTGAATGGTCTTCGCATTGCGGCGCTTCAGGGAGCCCGTGTCTATGGAATCGACATCGATCCCAAGAAATGCGCCGCAGCAAAGAAACTCGGAGCAGTTGAATGCTTTGTCAGCCTTGCCTCGATCAAGGATGTGATGATTGACGTGGTTGTGGATTTTGTTGGTTTGAGTGCCACATTATCCGAAGCGATCACCTCCGTCAAGCTAGGAGGGCGGATTGTGGCCGTAGGTTTAGGTGAAACCGAGACAAACTTACCGCTTTTCAGTCTTGTCACTCGCGGCATTGAATTGAAAGGTTCGAGCGGGGCAAGTTTGCAGGATTTCCATTCTGCCATGGCGCTCATTGCATCTGGCGATATTTGTCCTATCTTGGAAGATATACCTTTCACTCACCTGACCGAGGGTTTTAATCGCCTAGAGCGAGGTGAAGTCAACGGACGACTTTTCACGAGACCCGTTGGGAATGATAAAAATACCTCAAAACCAGCCTGATCACAGCTTTATAGCACTGTCGAGGATGAGCTCGGTGGGGTAGAAGTTCTCTCACGCACTCAATTTATGACCCATACCAAACACTTACGATGAACGGCCTCAAATGGCTAGGGATGTTAAAAAAAGAATGTTCCACAGCTACCTATTTTCCAGTTGAATAGTGATTTATACTCCACAAATTGAAGCAAGTAGATTCAAACTACACCCCCTCCCCGAGCGGAAAAAACAAGGCCCAGGTTTTATCTACTCCATTAAGTCTTCAATCGCTTTTGTGGCCACCGATATATTGACCACAAGCAGGAACACATGCATTTTATCGACCTTAAAGTTCCGTGTAAAGTTTTGTGTCACAAAAATTAGGAAAAAGTGTATCAAGTGACCTAATAACATCAAATAAAAATAAAGTGTATTTCCTGTCAAATCAATAAGGACGTATCGACGGTTGAGGCCTGGGCAATCACAAAACTGGAGGCGATTTTCCGTCAATAACTGCATACACTGCGTTGACATAGGCTTCGGTATTTGCATTTCCCAAAGTCCCGCTCCCCATCTTGTTCATAGCATATCCAATAGTCATCCACCGATCCAAATCCATGACTATCGTTGCTCCCCCCCAGCCACACCAAAAGCAAACACGACCTTCCAGAACCCACGGGACTGTCTGCGGCACGGGCAAGCCAACTCCCAAGCCGAATCGCAAGACTGACGAAAGGACGAGGTCTTGGCCGTGGATCCGTTCTTGGATCATCTCGTCGACTGTTCTGGATGAGAGATATTGTTTCCCATCGACTGTTCCTGCCAATGAGACCATAGATCCGATACGGCCATAAGCTGCAGGTCATTCCAGCATATCAGCCAATGGCTGATCGTCAATTCCCCCAAATTACTCAAGCGGACCACGACCTCAAGCAAAGCCATCAAACTGCATTCTGAGGCAAACAACTTCAAGCTCCAGACTTTAAAATTGGAACTGGTCAGTCTCCCCTAAGAGCCATAGCTGTATTTCAAGTAGCGCAGCGACATCATTCATTGGCAAAGCGGCTTTGGCTTTTTCATTATGCCACCCATGCGTGCGTTTGACCAGGCTCAAATCATGACCATGAGGCCGAGCGGAGTCAAAATCAATAATGACCGGGGTGTCACCTTGAAACATGATGTTACACGGGTTGATATCATTGTGGACAATCCCCAGCCCATGGAGATGTTTTAGGCCCCGTGCAATTCCCTCCACCCAACGGTCGACCTCGTCTCGGTCAGCCCCCTGTCTCTCGTATGCAAAGTCGGTCTTATTGCGACTGGCAGGGTTTACTCTGGTCATAAGCGTCTCATCGTACTTTGTGAAATATATGCCTCTGATTGAACCATCGTTAACGACAGCGCAACCGTGGTATTGGGCGATATTCAGATGCGGGTTTTTCTTCAGAAGTTCGCAGGTCTTCACTTCTTCGATCCAGGTTTCTCTGATCAGGGCTGGGTATTGGGGGCTGTAGGACGAAAGGCTTGGCTTTTTTAGATACCAGGTCGAACAATCCAAGGGCCGTTCTGCCTTTGTGAACTTGTCTGAGAATTCCGGGAAAATGAGAGCCCCTTTGATTTTGTTGGTGCTGAACATGTCGCTGAACTGGATCTCTTCTTTTGATGCATATCGCTTTCGAGAGTATGCTCTGTAGATTGAGCCGGACATTTCGTAGACTATGGTGGTTTTTTGGAATGCAAAGTCATCTTCGGGACCACCAAAATCTTCGGAATATTCGAGAACGTACATTTTGAATGGGACCACTCATCAAGCAAGAAGAAGAGAAAAAAGCAAGGTCGGCTCAGACAGGTCACTGGTAGGGGACTCAAGGAGTTCAAAAATCATAAGATGAAGCGGCTATCCACCTAGTCACGATTCGAAGTATTTCACAGGCTGTTTGCACTTCATCGTCACTCAAGCCTTGTGTGAGGGGAATCAGTGACCTTGGATGCTAGGAAGAATATCTAAACTTGGAGTCCGCCTTTATGGCCGAATATATCTCTCGGTCTTGGGCAGGCCAGTCTCTTTATTCACCCGTCATGCATCATCCTCATATGTATCAGCACAGCAAAGTGAGAAGGAATATTCTCCCTTCTCAATGTCATCGAACAGGGATGCGACAAAAGGGCGAAGGTTACGCTCATCATCACCTGTGTCACGTCCAGCAACTCACGCCCTACCCAAGGGACAACCGTCACCTTCATCTCAATGAGAATGGGAGTAATACTGTCGAACTTCAGCCATGTCACCTGCGACAAGCCCCAAGAGCAAAGGAGACGGTTCATTGTTATTTTTGTCCTCACTTTCAAGGTCAGAATCCCGACCTCAAAATGTAAGGGTTAACATGTACTTGATTCTATATATATTTCCTCGCCACTGAACGAATTACAGGAAAAACGTCGAATCCAACCTCCATATCCCACACCACAAGGTCTGCTGTCATAATCAACACGAAAGCCAATGTATTCAGCACAAACCCCGACTTCGATCTCCAGAGTCGAGTGAATACGAAGAGCACAACTACCACACTGGCCATTACCATACCCAAGCAATCCACTCCAACGAGCAACAACATCATGCACCAGCAGTCAAGCACTTCCACCCGAAAGGCTCAAATGACCCGTTTGACGGCATCCACCATCACGCTGCACCACCAGATCGAGGCACCGGTGCTGGTGTTACCGTGTGTAAGTCACACGAGGAGGGGTGCGGAAACAACATAAAAGTCGTTAGATTCGAAGAGGATGATAGAATGCTAGAATATGGCGAGACACACGATTTCAATCGTTCCATACATCATACCCCACCCCTTGTAGAGGACCAGTATTATTCTCATCGAGACCCCCATCATCGCCAATCCCAATCTCGGGAATCGAGAACTTACAGGTGGGTTTGGGGCCCTCCGTTGCCCGCGTTGGTCCCTCGATGTGGAAATATTCATTATGCAGAGAACTATTGAAAGTCGTTATAGAATCATCCAATGTGTATTAGGCAAATCTTCAACTTTGATCGATCAAAAGTTCGGTAAACTTTCAGCTTGCTCTATCCTTGTACCTACTTTCGTAGACCAGGCAAAAGAACCATGGATTATAACAGGCTATGAGAGAAACTATCACGCTGCCATCAGAAGCCAGGTAGGCTTTAGGTAGCCATGCCGGGTCTGCCAGCTCATTATTGCATACTAAGCTGAATGCCACCCACACTACTCATGGATCTGTTTCAAAGCACACCTAATAATCCATCATCACTCGATTAGCTATGGAACGCTACGACTTATGTGGTCGATCTTTTGGTGACCGACAGGCTTTGCAACAACATATGCGTGATGCTCTATTACATTCATTGGTATTTGGATTCTTGCACATTTTTCTGGATGGATAGATGAATAATGTTATTCAGTTACTCACGTGTATGGAGGTTCATTGATTATCTAGCCTGGCTACTCATCACGCGCAACTACAAACTGCCATTCTAACACTAGCTGTTATGTTATCTATGGCTCAGGGCCGAGGTCTAGGTGAACAACTCGACTTCTAAAGGTATTTGCAAGGCTGGATACAGTACGGATGAGTTTGAATATGGGTGTTATTGCTTTCTCTTGATTTGGGTCAGCTTTCCAGTGTATGCTCGGAATAAATCTTACAACCATGAGAGAGCGTAAAACTTCGAGTAAGGAACCGAGAATTATCGCTCTAATAGTGTAAATTTTCGGTTTATTGTTTTGAGATCGTGGCGTAGTATAAAAACGGGTACAATATAGGAAGTTGACATAAAGCACTTTAATACAAACTTTATGGTTTGTGGGACCATAAAAGTATAAAAGGTGTGGGGTGCATATTGGAGGGGCTCTCCCGAGTGGCCTGTAGGGTGCGGCTGATCAGTGGTCTATAAGGGCATTACTGTAATTGGGGGGTAAAGGGGTTTAGGTAAGACAGAAGTGATGAAGTACAAATTCTCTGGTATTACATGAAATCATGGGAGACAAATAATTTAAGGGTTTCTGCGGAGTAGACCAGGCCGTTTAACCTCTGTCATTCCATGGTGGCCTGCACGACCAGCGCTAAATTTTTTTTGGGCTGCTTAAAGGTTCATTATAGTGATCGTTTCTTTGCCTCTCATTCAATCCTGGTCTGACGTGCGATAACTATATCAGGTAGACACCATTAGCACATGATAAACATAGTCCAATGAGGTCCACGGGATATCCCTTGATTATATTAACACCAATACAATTCAGCATTGAACAACAAAATTACCTCTAGATCGCGACGGCCCGTATCGACAGTGCAAATTTCCAGCTTGACAAGTCCGACGTATAATTTTTAACCCTAAAAAGTAAAGATCTTCCTATTAATCGCACTACTCCAGACTATGTACATAGTGAGCTCCACACTCCTTAATAATCCGACCGTATAAAGGAGGACTTCATCCGAGTTGAGGGGTTCTCCGGATAGTGAATTACCAAACCAACGGTTCAATAGTAAACTGGCGTTTGTTTTTGGGGAGAATTAGGCGCTCAGGTTGAAGCCTACAAGCACTATTTCTAGCGACTCGCAGCACGGGTAAATTATTAATTTATCAGCGTACTTTTGATTCATCCTTGCCGCCCACGCTAGCAGGGTCATCGGTTTGCCTATTGGTCTTTCATGTATTTGGTTTTACAGACTTGTATGTGTGTCTCATCCGAAGCGGGTCCCTACCGCTGAATCCTTGTCGCGTGCCTCTCATTGCTTCCAAAGAACCGCCTCTGATCTAACGTGCCCCGATTTTTGATCCCGAAACACATGAGCAATATGAGTCTAGTACTAATTATCACGTGTCTCCTTACTCTCCTTGGGCACGAACGCTAATAATCCTCTATCGTAACCGAGTCTATCACAACTTAGCATTCCCAACCTTTCTCGAACTCAAAGCCTAAGTTCTGTCAGGCTTTCTTGCCTATCAACTGTTCGGAGTCATATCACGTGAGTATTTTGTTTGTTCTCTGATCTCGCTCTTCTAACTTGCCATCCTTAGAATCCATCTATCCAAAGATTGACTACTTTTCCTAATCGGCTTCCTCATATATCCCTTCACCAACAATGGTTATGGTGCATAGAAAGTCCACATTTACTCCTTATTTAAGGAAATTTACTGCAATCGTCGTTTGCCTGGTCCTTTTCCTTTGGGCTTCTAGTACCTTCAGCTTTTGTGGATCAACAGATGACTCCAAGCCGCCGCGCTATGCCTTTGCCACCGTTTTAACGGCGGGAAATGACTTGGAGTATCCGGATATAGAAGAGCCTTATCTTCAAGCAGCACGACTACTCACCTTTCAACTACTCCGAAACCCACGCACGCGAAATAGGATCGATAATGTACCATTTCTGATCCTGGTCACACCGGATATATCTCAAAAGCATCGCGATATCCTGAGCAGAGAAGGAGCTACCGTAGTTCCGGTAGAGAATCTTGACTATGATTGGGGTTCCTCGCAACACTGGGATACCGTTCTCGCCAAGTTAAATCTATGGAAGCTTGACGAATACGACAAAATCGCATTTCTGAACGTGGACTCTGTCATACTCCGTCCAATCTATGAAATCTTTGAAGATCCTGCGACAACCATGCGTGCCGCTACCAACCCTACCGGTAAAATACCAAAGTACTATATGATCGCCGCACCACAAGACACTCGGATGAAATTGAATACGCAACTCGTGTCCGGTCAGGAGTTTTACCAGAAGAGCCACATGGATAATGGGTTCTTTATTCTACATCCCTCACATGATCTCTACAACTACTACGTCAATCTGCATCACATACTGGATACAGATGGCTCGGTTCGTCATGAACAAAATCTTCTTACCTACGCTCATCGAGCAGACGGTCCCATGCCTTGGCAACCCCTCGGTTCTGGGTGGAATCTGAAAGATGCAAGCCAGTCTGATTATGAAAAAGGATTGAAATCAATCAATCATAAATGGTGGCGCCCTTTCCCAGACGATTTTATAGGGGATCGTATCGCGATGTCAATGGATGAGATGATTGCCTACTTGAATCATTGAGCACAACTTCGCGATGAGTATGCAGTTGTGTATATTACTGTAAAATAATGTTTTCACGAATTCCAAATCTACATGCCTCATATCGACAGCTTCGAATAAACCAAAGTGATGAAACAAGCGTGTTGTGTTTAAAGATGGGCTTCATCTGGTCAGCGAGAACCGACTGATTAATCTGCCTGAGACGGAATACTTCGTAATTTTAAGTCTTTTGTATATGTCTAGTATTAGTTATTTAAAGCAATATACAGATACGCACTCCGTATGCGGCTAGTAAATCGACTACGCATTGGACCCATTGTGATAGCCAACAATATTGGGGCAACAGGGTTTTTGTTTATACTACGGCTAGCTCCGTATCCCGCTTGGCATGGGGGCGCATGCTAGTTATCCGTATTCGTACCCAAAAATGGCGATCCGCTGGGGTCAATTAATACAACTGAGACGAAAATGGCTTAGGGCTGCCTCTTCGCTCGTGATAATAACTGGCAGTCATTTCTGCGGAGATAAAGGTATGAGGCTGAGTACCGTTGAAGTTCAATCCCAACAACCGTTTGGCCTATGTACCATTGCTATTAATCAAAGTGAATTTCGAGGGCGAGCAATTCCTAGAATTGAGAGTTCATTGTGGGTTATAGACGATTCATGAGGATCCTACACTACATATTAAAGGCATGAATAAATGGTCCAAGCGACGCATGGACGTACAAATTACTCGTAGGGTTCGTTACATCTGTTGCGTATATTGTATGTTGTAGTAATACCATAACAAGTCCACAGGTTGATTCGGGCCTGACACCCCTGTTGATCATACCTCTGAATTAAATTCATATGAGAGAAATAGGCTCTTCCCCCTTTACCTGAACATTCCATCCTATTCATTTCATTCTGATGGAGGTCCCTTTCGCCTAGTATCCTCTTCAACACTCAGCGAGTCCCCCCTCGGGCTTCCTTCTTGGCTAGGAGATTTATGCATATATTTTGCTCTTTTACCTCGACAGTGACGCCTTTTGTTTTCCAACTTTAGAACTGCTGTGATGTCTGGGATGGCCGGCTTTGCACTGCGCAGAAATGGCTCTTGTCTGAGTACCGAAACGAATTGCGGTGCAACGATACCTCCATTTTATGCTTGCTGTCCTGGGCATACCTTTTGCCCAGGACCTCAATACAACGTGATCTGCTGCCCATCCAATGCCGATTGCAGTGATTTACTTGGCGAAAGCTGCGCTGATAGCAAGGCAGATCTCTATTCGACTGATCCGTTCGACATACCAAATGAAGGGTTTTGCTGTGAACGAGGCAAACATGCCTTCGGAATGAGGGATAAAAATGACACGTCGGTCGGATGTGCAGACGATTTGTCTGATCTACAAGTCAGCATGCGCCAGCTGCAGGTTATCTCTTCTGCTACAGGTACAAATCGGCATATCGTTCTTCTTCTGTGTGGATGATTCGCTGATATTGTGATGATATACAGCTACACCCACGCCTAGTTCGATATCTAGCTTTACCACTGCATCTACAACGAGTACTTCTTCAAGAACCACAAGCACCATCGCATCTTCAACACCCATGAGGACTAATGAAGCAAAGCCAGCGTCGTCAACCAATACCGGGGCCATTGCAGGCGGCGCGGTCGGGGGTGTGGCTGGTGTAGCGATATTGATTGCACTTGTGTGGTTCTTTTTGCGTCGACGAAACAAACAACGAAGAAATGAGTCACAATCTATGCCTGCCCCCTCTACAAATCACCCTCAAGCACAAGAATATTTCTCGCAATCGCATAATGAGCGCCAACCTCCGTCGGAGCTCGACGCCCGGAAGCAACAACAGGTTTCCGAACTATACGCTGGGCCTGATACCTACCAATAACGCAGCCTGTGGAGAGTATGGATGCATGGTTCGAGAAGATGAAAGTTTCGAGAGTGCTAGCTAAGACCACCCTTATAGAAGCCATAATTTCCTTACTATGTCTATGCAATTGGGATCCTACGCGAATAATACACAGGATGTTGATGGTTCTTTTCTGCCTTCCGTGTATATTCTCTTTCATGTACTAATTGGTTGGGTCGACACTGTCAATTTCGTTTTAAGCCATCATCAATCACAAGTACATATATCGACTGGTCTAAAATGGGGGATTGTATAATAGTAATCAATTAGGGCAAGGTTATATAATTCGAATTCAAAGTAGAAATATGATTCACTACTCTGTAGTACTAGGACAAATAGAGCCACATGATGGATCGTGCCCTAACAAACTCTTATGCTCAAGCAAGCGTTTTTAAGAATTTCTTTTGTGCATCCTCGGTATCCCTTTTGCAATTTTCCACAATGTCTTCCAGCTCGTCACATATTTTCTTTGCCTTAGCGCCGTGAATCTTTACTTGTCCTGCTTGGAAGTTGTCAACCGTAGCAGTGCCATTTGTCAAGTCCCAGAAACCAGTCTGCATGACGGGATCAGTAAAGAAGTCCGGTGAGTCTTTTCTGAAGTGCTCTTTATAGAACAGGACAGATGAAGTCATGACTAGATAGATCAGAGGTCAGCATTACCCGACAAACGCGTGCCTATCAGTAAGGATATAGAAAATACCGTGACAGGAGGCCAATCTCTCTTGTAAATCCTTTCTCGAGATTTCCAGCTTCATTCGCTTTAAGAAGCAATCTACTTTAACGGACACCAGAACATTATCAAAGGAACTGGTAGTGACTAGAGAATCCTTGAGAAACTGAAGATTCTCAACCAGCCTAGATCATTGAAGAGGATTAATATTCATCAGAGTAAGTATAAGAAAGAGCCCAACCTACCATTCAGCTTTAGTCTCGAAGTTATCCACACCTTTTGCTACGATTGATTTCCATTCTCTGGTGACGTCTTGTAGGTGGTGATACAAACCAAGAAGCTCTATCATCCAGTTAGTAAAGCAATATACAGTAACGTATAATTATCTCACCGTTTAGAGAGCCCGGAGTTGCCGATATGGTATGTATGTCTTTACCATCCTGATTTGTGAACGCAAGCACTTCAGATCCCACTATCTGGATATCGAGTTCAAGGACTGTAAGTGTGAGATTGAATCAGCTTATGCTTGATCTTTGGAAGTCGCGTACTGTTTTCCCTGAATACGACCGCTTTCGCATTATTCGGTTTGGTCCCACACACAAGCATGAGAGATCCACCCTCTATAGGATAATCAAGGTATATATATGGATAGATGTATGACTTTTCAGTCCCATCCGCGTACCCTATTTGCACATTTTGAATCCTACCTAGGTCAGCAAAATCTGGTTACCAAGGCAGAATATTTTAGGTATACCTTTTTTGATAGGGCGAATGATGATAGAACTGGTTGGACATGGCAAATCCAAGATCCATCCGCTGAAGGTATCGGACACCATAGAGGTGGGCTAAGAATTTCTCCCTATCTAATCAGGATTAGTTCCTTTCCAGACCATCGAATTTGAGCATTCCCTCTACCTTGGACACTGTCAAAGTTTACGAGCACCTGTTGAAAGTTTGCGTTGGATTTCAATGCAAAGTCTCCAAGGGCGAGATTGAACTCGTCATTATCATCACATTTGTCAACCTCGCTCAGGGGACACACGCCACCCTTGATGTTACATTGCGCAATAATAAGACTGCATTTCCCTACTGGGACAACAAAGCGCTCGATCGGTTGTAACATCAAAGCTCCAGAATGTCAGCAGTAAACATAATAGGCAGACAAAGACTTACATTCTTCCAGTTCCATAAAATATAACTCTCTAGCTGTGGGCCCTTTAAACAAAATATGTGCTCGAAGAGGAGTGAGCATCTCGTTCGCTGGGTGTCTCTCCCAGCTACAGAGGAGGCTGATTTTCTTCTGTCCGACAGATCTGAAAAGTAACAAGTTAGGCAATAATGGATATAAGCGATGTGGCTGTCTCACATTTCACAGATACAAGCAAGTCCTGGGCTATTGAGATCAGGGGAATCTTTGCCTTCGTCCTGCTTTATTCCGAAAATCCCAGGATCAGTCCAGCCAGTGGTATTTGGCCCTGGAATGATGTATGAAACATCAGCTGTGGAGTTTTCTGCATCTGACTGCGTCTCTTCGAGATCGCCTGTTTGCAGTGGTGGATGATCTGCCCCAAAGCCCGCTAGTTTCTTTCTCCACGACAAGGGTGTCCGAGTCGTGATGGTAGCGGGGGATGTGAGGCGTAACTTCTTTTGGAGTTGAACCAGGACCTCTTCAATGTTGGTCGTTGTAGTACTTTCGAGTGTTGTTAGTAAATGTCATATCGATGATTGAGATCACATACCTCGTTTGAACAGATAATAACAAGTCTAGAGAAAGCTTATAGCTCTCGACCTTTCTCAACGAGTCCTGGATATCCTTCTCTTTGAACGTCCACTTAACTTTCTTTTTTAGCGCCTCGAGTCTCGAGCTTGACACCAGTGCTTGCAAAGATTTCTGCAGCTGTAGGTACGTATCACCACAGTCATCCAAAGTAGCGCCGAGTGCGTCAAGCCATTCTGAGTTCTTAGCGAGTTTGGTGGACTGGAATTGAACAATTTGGTGGATCTGTGATAGGATTCCCCTCACAGCGTGAATCTCTCTGGAGAGCGAGTGCAGCTCTTTGTTGTTTTTTGATTTTATGGTGTAGATGATATTGACGATCTGGGTTGATATGGTGATCAGACCAGCCAAAGAAGCGGCGACAGAAAGGGGGTCCATTGCAGGCACCGTCTGATAGAGCTGAGAGAATATTGTAATGCAGGGCAGCCGGAAGATTAATTTATTATGTTCGTGGCATGTAGCCCCGCGACGGGTCATAGCACTCGTTTAGACTCCGAGGCTGTTCTTGGCGACCTCGTATCTGCACTAACACGGAATATCTTTAGCGTCTTCCTCGCATAACCTTGCCAAGCTCACCAAGCTCCCGAGTGGGAGGTGACTGTCAGAAAAAGGAAAAGCTCAAACAGAAGAAATTGAATTGGGCCTTGTAACGGAGCTCTATACATGAAATGTCTATGCTTATATTCCTCAAGCAAGCTGGGAAATCGGAACCTTTGACCACCAAAATTCTGTCTCTTTTCTTGCCCAATCATCCGCAACGCATTTCGCAGGAGAGGCTACATCCCCTCCGATCAGTTCGTCATTCCCCTCTCCAAAGATCATAATCTTCTTATCTGCTGACTGGAAGGGCTTCCACTCTGGGAGGACATATCGACCAGTCACGGCATTAGGATCACCAGTCGTGATGAAACTAGTCAAGTAGGCATGAAGTGTGCCAGACAGCTCTTTCTGCGATTCTGAAATTCCCGTAATGGCACTGTTATAGGTCTCGTAGTACATATTATCGGCATGGTTTGCTCGACCAACGATTGTTCGAGGTAGCGCCCAGCGGTAAAGGTAAACTGGCGCACCTTGGGATGACGCAAATTGTGCTGTCTGGCGGACTGGTGCCACATACGCATAGTGTCCGTAGGCAGCTTCAATGCGCTTAAATTGAGGTCCGAGACCCTCGCCCTGTCTGTTCTCTACATAGGGCGATGTGGAATCAACGGCGGGGTTAGGATACAGACTTTCGATTGTGTCGAGATCTGACGACGAGAGTTCGGGCAGAAGACTGTGCCAGAACTCGCGAAACTGGGAGGCGTCCGACATTTTCTTGTCGACGTACATTGTTCCCTCATTGCTGTTGAACCCGGTCATAATGGGTACTTTATTCCAGACTTGTGATTTCCATGCCTCGAGGGGCTTGCGAGAAATAATATCTCCGTCAATCACGGGCTGGAATGCCCACCGAAGGGAAGGGTTGTACTTGTCAAAAACAGCCGTTTGGGCATTTGTAACAGTCAAACTGGGGAGCGAACGTAGGAATGGGAAGATTTCTGCTTCAGCTAGATCGGCTGGGCAACCGACTTCGTGGAGGAAGTCTGCAAATTGGTCCTCATGAACCTTGGCATTATATGGGCGAACAGCGCGCGAAGTAGGTGCTCCAGACTCGATAATCACACGATGGAATAACGGCGATTTGTGCTCGTCGTAATTGAGGAGGTGGTGGCCAATCTAGGTTTTGGTTAGAATGGAATATTTGAAAAAAGAAAGTCAGAAACCGGGAGACTCACTGAATGTGCCCCCGCAGAAAGACCAAACAAAGTGACATTGGCAGGATCACCGCCAAAGTTGGCGATGTTCTCTTGGACCCACTCCAACAAATGCACCTGATCACGCAATCCGAGATTTAGCACCCCCTCCTTCTGCGACAGACTCGAAGGTAAGAATCCAAGAGCTCCAATGCGATAACCGAAGCTCACGGCAACGAACGGACGTTCTGACCACGCTACCATGGATGCAGTATTGTGCATAGCTGCCGACCCCCGATTGAAAGCACCACCGTGTAGATAAACCGCGACAGGGACCTTGTCTGCCTGATTGGTGCCAGCCGGTCGAAAGATATTCGCCGTCAAGCAGTCCTCACTCTGCACGAGTTTCGGTCCTCCCGAGAGAAGTGCCTTCCCAGGAGCTGCGGGACCATATTTGGAGGCATCGATGGTATTCGTTGAGCTCGCAACCTTCGCTGCTGGTCTGAAACGTCGATCCGCCACAGGAGGAAGGGCATACGGGACTCCCAAGAATGCGTCGACAGGTTGGGGAAAAGAGTCGTTAAGCTGGGTCCCCACCACATGGCCTTGCACCAGGGTGACAGAAGGCTTGGTATCAGAAGTTATCATTATGTATGACGGTGCAATGGCAAACCAAGAGAAATCAAGAGAAATCAAGAGCGATAAGAGAAGAGTTTGGGGATCGGGAGTAAGATATAGCACCGTTGGGGGTCGGTATCTCTCCGCTATCTCTCCGGTGCTCAAAAGTGGCGCCGAAGGTATATCGTGCGGGGGAACTATGGAGGACTATCTTGGTGGAGCAAATTTGTGGATTAACTTTGTGTCGGCAAACCTCAGAGATAACGGGAAAATGGCCGGCTTGAAAGGCATTGAGGGGTATGTGAACTTTATATATGGGACAAGTCCCTATCTTTTTGTTCGTCATTACGGATTGAATTACGAACATGGAGATCGACAAGAAAGTAACCGCAGACGATACCATCAACGAGAAAGATGTGCAAATTGGCATTATAACGGACCTCGATGAAGGAGAGGTCTTCCTCCGCCAACATGGATTCAATCAAGAGGCTATCCAGACACTCCTGGATGACGAGCCACGCAACAACGCCCTGGTCCGAAAGGTAGATCTCGTGTTGCTGCCTTTACTTTCCGGGACATATATGCTCCAGTATATCGATAAATCAGCTCTCGCCTACTCTGCCGTGTTTGACCTTCTTCCTTCGACGCATATGACAAGCGACCAATACAGCTGGCTTGCCAGTATCTTCTATTTCGCATACCTCGTTGCCGAATACCCATGGGGTATTCTCGCTCAGAAAACAAAGCTTGCGAAAGTCGTGTCTGGGAATATTATTGCCTGGGGAGCGATGCTCATGATTACTGCCGCCTCTTCCTCCTTCACGGGAATGGCTATCTGTCGCTTCCTTCTGGGAGTTTTCGAGGCCCCCATCACCCCTTGTTTTATGATGATGATTGGAATGTGGTACACACGTGCTCAACAACCTTTCCGTGCCGGTGTCTTCTACAGCTGCAACGGACTGGGGGCTATGGTGGGTGGCATTCTCACATATGGAATTGGACAAATCCACACCATCGCCGTATGGAGAGCCATCTATCTGATTCTGGGCGGCATTACCCTCGTCTGGGGAGTTGTGATGCTTCTCTTCCTCCCAGATGACGTTGTCTCATCGAAGCGTTTCACTTTGGACGAAAAGGCCCTCCTCATTGGCCGCGGCCGACTCGGTCACACTGGGATCATCAATCACCAAATCAAATGGTATCAGATACGCGAAGCACTGCTAGATCCACAAGTCTGGATCTTGTTCTTGTTCACTCTTCTGAACGAGGTCGTAAATGGTGGGATCGCGGGCTTCGGAAAACTGATCATTAAGGGGTTAACCGATAATTCAGCTACTGCTGTTGCTTTGGGTATTCCCTTTGGAGGATTCCAGATCTTCTATGTCCTAGGAGGAACGTATCTTGCATCTAGAGTCAAAAACTTCCGAACTGTCGTCATGTTCGTTTACTTGATGCCGACTGTCATCGGCGCCTGTCTCCTATGGAAGTTGGACCATGAAACACACAAGGTCGGTGTGTTATTTGGTTATTATATCATTGGCGCCTATGTCTGCTCTCTGGTACTGGCTTTGCAAATGCCGGCGACAAACCTAGGTGGTTATACAAAACGTACAACCAGTGTTGCCTTGGTGTTTTTGGCATACTGTGCCGGCAATATCATTGGACCTCACGCGTTTCTCGCAGAGGAAGCGCCCACATACCAGACTGGAGTCAAGCTCATCCTAGCATGCTCGTCTGCGCAAGCAGCTTTAGCTGTTCTTCTGCGTTTTATGCTGGCTCGCAGAAACAAGCACCGAGATGCCGCATCTGCTGCTATTGGTCAGATCGAGTCATCCACCGACGAGAGCGCTGGAGCAGATCTAACCGATTTTGAGGTTAGTGACTGCATATCATTTATTTATTTCTGTGAACTCTTTACTGACCAGTTGATAGAACCCGAACTTCCGATACGTTCTTTGAAATATAGCTTTCAGACTATTATTTCTAATTATACACAGTAATCGTGTTACAAACACTTCCGCTTTAGCCATCCCCAGGCTGTGTCTATAAAGTTGTACCAGAAATGAATTGTAAAGCTGTCTGATCTCTTTATAGTCAGAATAGGAAGACACATGGACGCTTTCTCCAGCCCTGTCGGTAAATAAAAGTCCTTATCTGTTAAATTTCAATTTGTAATAAAATCAAACTGTATTGCAGACGCTAATCTTGATTCCGTAGGAATTCAAGATTCTTGGCAAGCCAGAATGAATGCCGAGTTAGGGTTAACTAATGGTGTTTCGGTCGCGATGGTGAATTTAGTTTACCTTACTCTCTCGACTTTCACATTATGAAGAACGCCCCTGCGAATATCATCTTGGGTGAACATTTTCCTCTTTGACAACAAAGCCTTCTCGCAATATCACCGTTACTTGACAGACAATGATGACTGTCAAGATGAAGGCATACCGATTGTCTTTCACGCTATCGATGCTGATAAGAGACAAAAGCGACAAAGTAAAAGAGCAAATCCGCGACCAACTTAGTCAGGAAACTATAGTTGGCGGCTTCTCTCTTGATCCGGTATATCAGGTTACTGAGGATGCCGATATTATAACAGTCAGTAATAATCCTAAGGAAAACATCTCGGATATTCAATACATTATCCATGTGCTTTTTCTCAGCTCTATCCGCGATACAGCAGGGTCCTCCCTTTTAGAAGGCACAGCGCGCCTCTTCACGGCATCAGTTGTCTCTCACCTACCGGCCAATGAAACCCTCACTCTCAAGTTCTTTATCCCAAAGTCCCCTACTTGGGCGGCCATCCGCCCCGCTCAAAGTGAAGTTATTAAAGCTCTATCCTCTCAATCAGCCAAAGAAGAGAACCGAGAAGATCACTTCCCTATCGGCGCGCTACACACCTTCTATGCAGGCGACGAACAATCCCCTGCAGAACACCACATGACGCCACAACTCAGTGACGCGTATCCCATATCGTCTGTTCACAGTTGTCCTCGATCGCGCCAAGTTTGTCTCCGAGGCTGGAGTTTATTTCTACAAGGCGTACTGGGATTCGACCGGAAATGTGAACCTCTACGCAGCGGATGCTCCCGATGATACGCAGGTTTCGCGTGGCGTGGACTTCGGTACGACTGCCGGACGGTTGGGGCTAGTGGTTCCTGACAGGTAACAAAGAGGAAGTGATTCATGAAGTCCAAGAGATTCTTGCAGCTTTTCACTTGACCTCCTCACGTGGATATTGCTTGTAATCGATCTGTATTTCGGTCCTTGGACATTTTCAATTTCTTTCTTAGGTGATTCAATGGATTAATGCTAGCTGACTATTACCAATAGCCCTAACAGCGAGGCTAGTATTCTGGCCTCATTAATTCTATTCCTTTCGATTGTGCAATTCCCACTATGCCCCGATGCTCGGTTGAAACATGGCCTCACTCAATTTACGATCTTGTAAATTAAAACAATTGATGAAGCAGGTGATACTCAAGCTCTAAGCCTCCGCCCCCTTCGACCCTGTTTGTGGCTAGAATTCCTCGCGGAAAAGTTGGTCAGTAGAACCATTTACATGGTCAATGATTTCCGAGGACACAGAGTATCCAAGGGTAATGGTGACGGAATACCGGCCAACAGTCTCGGAATGTCCCAAATTATTGACCTATCTGAGTAGGTATGAGGCGGTGTTTTCTCTCTTGCTCTCCTCATACCGCGACATTCCCCAGCACCCCGTCAATCCCGAGGCCTTACAATTGCAACAGCCCCAACCCCGCAAGAGCCACCGCCGCTGCCCCTCCACACAGTCCCCAAACCCCGAGGTCCCATCCTCTTGGCCCCTGTATCGTAACCCATGTATCCACTACACATACAGCAGTCCACGCGGTCAAAATAACTCCCATTTCCTTCCATTTTCCTTCACTCCAAAACCAAAACAGGGCACTTGCCACGGCAATGTCACGTATTCCAAGGAATATCATTCCCTTTTCAGATATGTCGCGGCCTTCTGGCGTGGTAGGAATGACTCCGAGAGACCCTGCAGCAACGGACGGAGATAGACAGGCCATGGCTCCGAGAGAAAAGACAGTCGTAGTAAGACCTAGGCCAATAAAGCGCCATGTTGAACGAGTGAAGAGGCGATTAGGGAAAGCCATTGTGCATCAGCTGCGAGAAATTGAATGTTGATTCTTTGTTTGGTAGGCTATGAAAGAAGTTTTCTTTTGGATAACAAAGCTACGCAACCAAAAAATATTGAACTTCATACAAATTAATACCTGCTTCCGAACAGCTATGTCTCGGCGGAGAGTTTAGAAATGCTCTCTAAGGGAGACCGTTCGGCTGATGAAAAATCAAAAATATCTACAGTGATGCAAACTCGCCAAGAGTTTGATAAATGTTGTGTCGACTCGTTTATGTGTACTAAGGAGCAGCATGCCGACATAAAACGGCAGTGAACTCAAATTGCATTCGAGCTTGCGTGGGGAATGTTCACTAATCATTAATTTATATCAGCATTGATCAGCATTATTCAGGGAACAGAGAAATGGTGTCCTGGTCGATGACTAAGGATATCTGCTGACATCATATGGCGTCAAGTAGGGTGGTGACGATCCACAGAGATTAAACATCGCCTTCAACCATACACGGGCCGATATATCATCCTCAAAGCAATTCAATCAAAATAGTCGCCGAAGCTTCCGGGCCTCTTCCATGGTTCGTTCACTCGGTATTTCTAGGACGTGCTCCGTCCAGCAGGAATGTCGACTATAAATGGACTCGCAGGCCGCACGTTTTTTTTCCCATGAAATCAAGGTTAAGCATCTGCTCGTAAGATATTCATCATGGAATCCAAGAAACTTATTGTTATCCTCGGAGCTACGGGAAACCAGGGTGGCTCAGTTGCAGAAGTTTTCCTCCAGGAGCCGCAATGGCGTGTCCGTGCAGTGACCAGGAACCCGGCCAGCACAAAAGCCCAATCTTTAGCTGCTCGCGGTGCGGAAGTGGTCCAGGCGGACTTGGATTCGCCATCGACTCTCTCGTCGGCCTTTGAGAACGCGAATGCTATTTTCGCTGTCAGTGACTTCTGGGGTTTATTTGGTAATCCTGCCAACGAAGCCAAGGCAAAGGGTCAGCCGCTCAATGTTTGGGCTGCCAATCATGAGACCGAGCAACTGAAGGCAGTCATCGATGTTGCCGCGAAGATTCCTACGCTAGAGCGCTTCGTGTTGTCGTCTCTTTCCGACGCGACGAAGTGGTCCCGGGGAAAATACACGCACGTCTACCACTTCGACTCGAAAGCCAAGGCAGAGGAGTACGGAAGAGAAACATACCCCGACCTGTGGAAGAAGACAAGTATTTTCCAGGCTGGGTTTTTCTTGAGCAATTTTGTCTTGAATCCAATGTTCCAGCCCGTGATGGTAGGCTTACTGATCGCCTTAACCCGCAAAATTATCTCTAACTCCCTCTAGACAGCGCATGGTACAGTCCAGTTCGTTGGCAATCTAGATCCTGACCTTAAACTACCTTTCATCGCCGCGGAAGAAGATACCGGTGCAATTGTCAAGGCCCTTGTGCAAGAGCCTGCTGGGAAGAACCTCATCGGCTATCGGGAATGGAGCTCCTTGCGCGAAATTTCGAAGGCATTTTCTCAAGCTACTGGGGTTGAAACAGAATGCATTCTTTTGCCAAAAGGGCAATCGAAAGTCCCCCTTCCGAGTGAACTCCAACTTGAATTGGACGACAATTGGGCTTATTGCAACGAGTTTGGATACGAGGGCCGAGATGATCCCTCAATCATCCACCCCAAAGACGTGAGTTCATTGGCAGTATTTTCGCTTTTTTAATTGCACATTGCTGATATTTCAATCCAGTTGGACTCGTCCCTGCAGTTGGACAGTGTGGTGGAGTACTTCAGGAAGCAGGATTGGTCCAATGTCTTCACACAAGGAAATTAGTTTCCCAGAAGCCACTGCACAGGGACGTCTCCCATTGTAGCTCTGCCCTCTGATGGACGCTTTTGCTTCGAATCATCTATTTTATCGCCCCCAAAGACACCTAAGTTTGTATGTTCGAGGAGATGTTGGGATTGAAAAGCGATGAGGTGCTGACTAGGTATCCACCTCTCTGTTATCGCATAGTATCAAATATATTTGCCCTGTCGTATTTTCGGGTCAGTAATGTTGTCCCAACAGCTCCTTGCCAATAAGTATGTTGTTCAACTTCGATAATATATCCTTATGTAAAGAGTGCACATACCCGTGGATGGCCGAGCGTTCCGCTGCAGTTCCAATAAATGTAGATGGTAGCCAAGAGGTGCTAGAAGTTTAAGTTTGGGTCTCGCCACAGCGCTTTGCTGCTCTAAACGGGCCTAACAAGCTCCAAAGGAAGTTCTATCGATCCGGGAAGTAATCGCCCTTCTGGGCCAGGTAGACTGCCTAACATCAGCGCCCTCGTCCGAAAGACGACAATCTTTGTGCCTACCTCGACCATAGAAGAATGATACTACTCCACGAGCAAAATGTTACGAAGAGCTCATCGAAACTTCCATCAGAATTCATACAGCTAGGAGTTATCAATCAAACCTGTATTCATAGTACCGGGCCATGATCCACAGAACTCCATAACAATTCATCATACACATGCCACAAGAGTAACAATATTCCTCGGAACCACGATCATTTATACCGAGCTAGGCTGATCACTCCAAAATAAATTCGACCCGAGAACGCCAAGTCTCGAGAGGTCCTATGAAAGATTTTAGTAGATTCCACGTAAGTGTCGGGGAGCCCAAGAAAGATTATTAAACCCTGCGGGTCCACTCGTAATCGCATTTAAAGTGTGGAATGTATAGTAATCACTCCGATCGGATATGTTCCATAATTCAGATAAGGACGATCTAAGAACCCATAACGCCGCAAGGAGATTTGATGTTGAATAATCCACCAATTTTATTCATGCGACCAGCAAATTCTCTTGCCTTTTTGCGCCGAATATACACATGGAATTGAGATCTGAATTGTCTCCAGAAAGCAATGTAAAAGGTGTGATACCCCTGATTTCACTTGATTTATTATCTTTATAAATTGTTGGACATTGACTTATGCTGTGCACCTTGATGCTTTCTTGAACAGTCCACACGCCCGCACCTTCACCACGTCCGCCTACCCTCAAAAATGGCCTCTGGTTCATCAACAGATGCAGATTCCACGATCGCTGACGACGGTGTAAAGACCCTGGATGTCAAGGAATATACAAACAATGCATCGATCTCACCTACTACAGCGACATGGCATATGGCACCTGAATTGCGCCAGATGCAGGAACGAGATGAAGCTGATGGAGCGAAGCCCAAAATGCTTGGCGTGGCCTGGCAGAACCTTACTGTTACAGGTGTTGGTGGTGATGTAACGTTCAATGAGAACGTTCTCTCCCAGCTTTTCCCTTTTCACCAAAGTGGGAAAGGAAGCAAAAACAAGACCATCATCAACAATTCGTTTGGATGTGTCAAACCAGGGGAGATGTTGCTCGTTCTAGGAAGGCCTGGAGCGGGTTGTACTAGCCTGCTAAACGTCCTCTCAAACAACCGCCGCGGCTACGAAGAAGTCACCGGAGATGTTAGCTACGGCAGCATGTCTGCTGTACAAGCCAAGCAATACCGTGGCCAAATTGTCATGAACACCGAGGAGGAGATCTTTTTCCCAACCCTGACCGTGGAAGATACGATCGACTTTGCCGCTCGCATGAAAGTCCCTTACCATCTACCACCGGGGGTTGCAACACACGAAGAATATGCCCAGTCCTATAAGGATTTCCTCCTACGCTCAGTTGGAATTTCTCATACGGCACAGACAAAGGTCGGCGATGCCTTCATCAGGGGTGTTTCGGGAGGAGAGAGGAAACGTGTCTCAATTCTGGAGTGTCTCACTACCCGTGCCAGTGTCTTCTGTTGGGACAACTCGACCAGAGGCCTTGATGCCAGCACAGCACTTGAATGGATCAAGGCCATCAGGGTGATGACGGATATCCTCGGGCTCAGTACGATTGTCACCCTCTATCAGGCGGGCAACGGGATCTACGACCATTTTGATAAGGTATTGGTTCTCGATGAGGGAGAACAAATCTTCTACGGACCTCAAAAGGATGCTGTTCCCTTCATGGAGAGCCTGGGCTTTATGCTGGCTCCCGGTTCCAACCGGGGAGATTTCTTAACGGGCGTGACAGTTCCTACTGAGCGCATCATTGCCCCTGGATATGAAGACAAGTTCCCACGAACCGCCAGCGAAATCCGCGCTGCGTACGAACAGTCCCAAATCAAGCCCAGGCTGCTGGTAGAGTCCCAGAGTTACCCAGCAAGCAGAGAGGCGGCTGAAAACACAACCGTGTTCAAAGAAATGGTTGCGCGTGAAAAGCACAGCGGTGTGTCCGAGAAGTCTTCTGTCACTACTGGTTTAATCACTCAAATCATTACCGCTGTAATCAGGCAATACCAGTTGATGTGGGGTGACAAGGCGACTCTGATCATGAAACAAGGCGCTACAGTGATTCAGGCACTTCTTGGTGGTTCTCTCTTCTATTCGGCCCCTAGCAATTCTATCGGTCTTTTTATCAAGGGCGGTGCCCTGTTCTTCTCCATTCTTTACAATGCCCTTATCGCCCTATCGGAGGTTACCGATTCGTTCACAGGACGACCTATTCTCGCCAAACACCGCGCGTTCGCATTGTATCATCCAGCGGCTATCTGCACTGCCCAGGTTGCTGCCGATTTCCCAATACTCTTGTTCCAGGTCACGCATTTTGGCCTAATACTATATTTCATGGTTGGCCTCAAGACTACGGCAGCGGCATTCTTCACTTATTTAGTCACCAACTTCATGACTGCCATGTCCATGACAGCTTTCTTTCGACTCATTGGTGCCGCATTCCCTACCTTCGACGCTGCAACCAAAGTCTCGGGTCTTTCGATTGTAGCGCTGTTTGTCTACATGGGATATATGATCATCAAGCCTGTCATGCATCCGTGGTTTGTATGGATCTTTTGGATCAACCCTATGGCCTATGGATTTGAAGCTCTTCTTGGAAATGAATTCCATGACCAGGTTATTCCATGTTACGGCCCCAACCTCATCCCTAGCGGCCCTGGCTATATAGGTGAAGGTGGGCAATCATGTGCGGGTGTTGTCGGTGCGATGCCTGGTGCCACGAGCCTGACTGGAGATGAATATCTCGCGGCCATGTCGTTTAGCCATAGTCACGTATGGCGTAACTTTGGAATAATCTGTGCCTGGTGGGTGCTCTTTGTTGCGCTCACCATATTTTTCACCTCGAGGTGGAAGCTACTTGGAGAAGGAGGCCGCAGCCTCCTGGTCCCGCGAGAGCTACAGCATAAATCGAAGCATCTCTTGAAAGCCAGAGATGAGGAAGGGCAACCCACGGAGAAATCTGTCATCAACGGATCTGATACATCAGGGGGCAACCTCGAATATGACCTCCTCCGCAACAAGAGCGTATTCACCTGGAAAAACCTGACTTACTCCGTCAAAACGCCTGATGGGGACCGCGTCCTACTCAACAACGTTCAAGGTTATGTCAAACCTGGTATGCTCGGAGCTTTGATGGGTTCCTCTGGTGCCGGTAAGACAACTCTGCTGGACGTTCTCGCACAACGTAAAACTTCGGGCACTATTCATGGATCTGTCTTGGTGGATGGGCGTCCCCTTCCAATTTCCTTCCAACGGTCTGCTGGTTATGTCGAACAGCTCGATATTCACGAGCCCCATGCAACTGTCCGTGAGGCTCTCGAGTTCTCAGCACTACTGCGCCAACCTCGCGAGATACCCGCCGAAGAAAAGTTGCGATACGTGGATACTATTGTTGATCTTCTCGAACTGAACGACTTGGAACACACCCTCATTGGTCGACCAGGTGCTGGACTTTCAGTGGAGCAACGTAAACGTCTTACTATTGGCGTTGAACTCGTGGCAAAGCCTAGTATCTTGATCTTCCTTGATGAACCTACGTCAGGGCTTGATGGTCAGGCTGCCTACAATACCGTTCGCTTCCTACGCAAGCTCGCAGAAGCGGGCCAAGCTATCCTCGTCACTATTCATCAACCGTCGGCACAGTTGTTTGCGCAATTCGATAAACTTTTGCTGCTGGCAGCCGGTGGAAAAACTGTGTACTTTGGGGATATTGGCCAGAATGCGAACACTGTGAAGGAATACTTTGGTCGCCACGGCGCACTTTGCCCTCCTGAAGTGAATCCTGCTGAGTACATTATTGATGTGGTGTCAGCAAAGGACACTCTTGATTGGAACCAAGTCTGGTTAGAGTCCACTGAACATGACAACGTCTCCAAGGAATTGGATGACATGGTCAGCGAAGCTGCGGCTCGATCCACAGGAGCGAACGAGGATCCGCATGAGTTTGCTACTTCGCTCTGGACCCAGTTCAAGCTCGTGACGCATCGCATGAACGTTTCTCTTTTCCGGAATACGGAATATCTCAATAACAAATTCGCCATGCATATCAGCCTAGCGCTGCTAAACGGCTTTACCTTTTGGAAAATTGGAGACTCACTTGCCGATCTGCAGCAAAACCTTTTCACTGTGTTCAACTTCATCTTTGTCGCGCCAGGTGTGATCTCTCAACTGCAGCCGCTCTTTATTGACCGCCGAGACATTTTCGAAGGACGAGAGAAGAAAAGCAAGATGTACCACTGGGCACCCTTCGTGGGTGGTCTTATAGTCTCGGAGTTTCCTTACTTGCTTGTCTGTGCGGTGTTGTATTTCGTTTGCTGGTACTTCACCAGCGGCCTCCCTACCTCCGCTGAGCACGCTGGAAGTGTCTTTTTCGTTGCAGTAAGCCCACCCATCCGTATTCTTACTTCGCTATCTTTCGCGTGCGATGGCTAACACCTTCTCAGGTAATGTACGAGTGTCTTTACACCGGCATCGGGCAGATGATTGCCGCCTACACACCGAACGCCGTGTTTGCGTCTCTAGTCAACCCTCTGGTGATCACCACTCTCGTCTCTTTCTGCGGCGTGATGATCCCATATAGCCAAATCGTAGCCTTCTGGCGATACTGGTAAGATGTCCCTGCATATTCCTCAATCATGCAGTTGAGCATACTCTAACGCCCGTTTACTTTAGGATGTACTACCTCGACCCCTTCAATTATCTCATGAGTTCTCTGCTAGTGTTTACTACTTGGGACAAGCCCGTGCACTGCAAGCCCGAGGAGCTAGCTGTGTTTGATCCCGCTACCAACCAAACCTGTGGTGAATATCTCGACGTTTACCAGCGTGGCATGGGAAAGGGTACGAACCTTCTGAACCCAAATGACACTCTAGGATGCCGTGTCTGCCAATACACTACCGGTCGAGATTACCTCCATACGCTGGAATTGAAAGAAGAATACTACGGATGGAGGAATGCGGGCATTGTCGTTGTGTTTGTGGTCGGTATCTACGGGCTCGTGTTCTTAATGATGAAGCTTCGGACCAAGGCCACCAAAAAGGCTGAGAACTAAGGGGGGAACGAGATCCGATTGGGGATGATGATCTCACTATCGTCTTAGTTGTTTAAATTGCGCTTATTTAGTTTTGGTTCAGGGAGCTGATGGTCAAGTTGTTGATTACCGTTTGGCAGTGTTTAGATCGTTATAGAAGAGAGTAATAATATAGAATTGCAGCATACAGATAGCGGGTTAATTCTGAGCCTTTTCTTTTGTCACAGCACAAATCGACCGAGAATTGTAACCTTAGTTTTCCGTTTCGTGGAAATAGTCGATGATATGGAGGATGATGACGGCCTCTAATGCACCATCTCAACCTCATTCATAACTCTCACATCCCCAGCTGGAGCTCAATAAAATCCCCACCTAAGACTCCTCCGCGCCACCTTCCGCACATAACCGGGAAGACGAAATTCTGTTTGTGGGCGGTCTTGAAACTGTGTCTATGGTTGTTAATATCAATTGCTGCGTATGTGTCCCGCGAGTGTATTTCCACTGCCAGCAGGCTCACTTTGCTTTGCCTTTCCCAGTGCGAGACGAATGGGGCGATCGTCGTGGTTATGGAGGATATGGGTGTGGACCAGTGAGTCGACCAGATGATTATGAGGATTTCGATTATTGCGGTTTGGAGGACTTTGTTGATGCGGGATTGGGTTAGGGCGTTTATTGGTACAGGCGGTGGTTTGTTGTATTGTTGGCAGTTCTGGTTTTTGGTCTTGGTGTTAGTGTGCGGGGAGGATTTTCTTTGGCGCTGGCTCCTTCGACAGACTCGCTAGAAGAGTCAATAGCGGACTCTGTAAAGCACGTATTGGCATAGGCCCCAAGGCCGGAACCAAAAGCAGGCCGAACCACCGCGAGAGCTTCTGCTCCTTCACCAAGCCTTGGTTGTCTTCTTCGCCCGACTCGTCATGCGTATCCATTGGAATGTCAACCGTCTCGCCGTGGCGTGAAATGTTCGCGCATATGGTAAACTCGACTACCTGAAGCGGTGTGATATGATCATCAACAAGGTATATATCGTCCATATTGGGGCCGAGGAAGAGAGGAGGTAGCAGCGGTGAGTTGTTTGATGGCAATGAGAAACAGAAACAGAAGCAGCAAAAGCGAGAACCAGAAAATGTGAATACAACACTTACACAGTATTTCAGGATCACAGCTCTTATAACTACACCCATGCCAGCTGTCGCCTGGTATTTTGACCCTGTTCAGCAGGAATCCACATGCAACCAAATTGGGATACAGGTGCCGGTGCCTAATAAGCTGCTTTTAAAACTACACGGACTTGGGTATTTTGTTTGAGCCGTACGATTTCTTTTCGGGTCAAGTTTGATTTCAGTCCCTGTATAATGCGCACCGCGACTCAATAGAAACTACCGAAGCCAAATACCACATGTTCACATCATCTCCACCATCTATCTGTTTTTTACTCCCTCTATAATGACACTATTTTGACTTCAGTGTTCTTAAACGAATGTGGTGATAGGCGATAGATAATCTGGATTAGTAAGCTAGCCTGAATCATGATTCATCAACAGACTCCTACAGCCTGTCAGTTTATTTGTCGGGGGGGGACCCGCTTGTGCAATATCCAGTACCAGCATTTCGGATTGTGCCGCCTTAGGTCTATATTAGACGGCGATATCGTCGGTGTCTTGAAATTTAAGGCCCATGCAGAAATTACCCCTTTAGGCTATTTATATACAGAGCTAAGCCTTGGCGTGGCCCGTTTTGCCAAGGCCCAAAGTTTAAAAAAATTTGCTTTTGCCTCGGGCTTTTCGTAGGATCACTCCATTAGCAGACGCTAAAATCAGGTCATGGAACTCCCATTAGGTATTTTCCCATCCTGGCAGCGCATTCTGTATTGACTATGAGCTTTCAACGTCAAACCCGCTTTTCAAGGGGGATTTTTGAGGAGTAGAAGACGCGGTGTGTGGGGTATGACGCAGGGTGAAGTTTTTAAAGTCAAAAAGGGGGGACCCAGGCTCTTTAATAAATTAAATATACCCCGTGTTCGGAATCGCCTCCGACTCAAAATATGTCTTGAAAGAGGCTAATGTCCGATAATTTTAGTAACAGAATTACTTCACTTCACAAACAGAAGACGGCACAGGTCACATGACAGCCACCAACCGTGCCAAGGCCCACCAATATAACACTAACTACTTACAGAGTACATGGTGACTAACTACGCAACTAGTTGACGCTTGGCACAGTTACATAGGCTAACTTCAAGGATCATCCAAACATGATATTTGCCGTCTTACATTCGGAAGAGGTAAAACCGTATCGTTCGGTTTCCATATTCAGGTAACCGGCATCAGGGGCGAGGTAATCCCTAGCTTTGACAGGCCTAAGCAAAAGGAAATTAAGTATCAAGTTACAATTACCGTAAGTGGATGTCTGATACTTCAGAGTTTTACCGGCAGAAAATAACATTGAAGCGGTCTTTGTAGAATGTTCCAAATCATGTGCCTAAAGTTTCCCATTAGGGCTTTGTTCTTCATAAGTTACTCGGGTGTTCAATCCGAAAGATGATAGATCTCGCGCGGTCTATACTGTTGCTCTGATTGTTTAACGTGTTCTTATGATAACTCTTGAGAATTTTGGAAATTTCCACGACAATGTGAGTAGATAGATCTAAATCTAACTTCAATATTTGTGTTTACCGGACGTAATTATTACTTTAAATGAAAACAGCTCTTTTTGCATGCGTCAGCGGGGAAAATGAAAGCTCCCACCCCACACGAATACTATGTAAGAGATTAACCCGACCTCATAACTTACTTCGGTAGGCATGCTTTACTAAAATTCGATCACATCACAAGGGTAAGCGTTGGTAATCTTTTAATCATTAATTTGCTCGTGAGAGGTTGGGCGCACAGGTCGCCGGGCACAGGTACAACATTGGCCAAAAACGAACCTCTGCTGTTTGTTGTTTTCCGCGGGCCTTCCATTCAAACAAGCTGAAAACATGCTGGATCTAGAACGCTATATAATCGCATAAAACGGCCCCTTCTAATTTAATAGTATTACGTATGTTCTGGACTAGCATACAAAAATGATAGCAAATCGATGAGCGATATATCTAGGTGCATATTCCGTGGGGTCATAATGCGAGGGGTGCAATGGTCTTAGAGCCGGCATGCTGAAAGACGAACAGAATATTGAAATGTTCCTGTGACCAATAGAAAGGACTTCGTGAAGAGGTTTGTAATTCAATACACATGGCCTTGGCAAGATATGTTCAAACCATGCTGGCGATCAGGTAATCGACATAGTTGTGTTTAATCAAAATCCCTCACCCTGTCACGGTTGGGCTAAAATATATATATATATATATATATATATTCAAAGCAATACAAGTCTGAATATCTGCAAGTGCTCACAATCCCGAGGATCAAGCCCAATATATTTGATCAGCGAAGTGAGCTTGCTTTCACAGCCGACATTTTTTGCCGTCTGCGATTTCTATTGTCGTGCCTCGTGACTAAAATAATTCATTGAACATAGCTCCCCCACCTCCTGGAAAACGAAGCGCAATCTTCCCATTCGACATGTCGGAGTCAGCGCCATCCTTGGAGTCAGTGCACTCACATTTGAATGATAATGTTCGGAAGAGAGTGCCCAAGGCATGTGACCAATGTCGACTGAGGAAAACCAAGGTGGGTTTCCAGATTCCTACCCTATAGCTTTACTAAGTATATTGTTAGTGTGATGGTGCTCACCCTTGTTCAAGATGTCAAGTATACAATGCGATATGCATTTTTGGTGACCGGAAGAAAGCCCAAGAAAAGATTTATCCGAAAGGGTAGGTTGTTGATTCATTGACAACCTGACATACCTGTCATTCCTGCTCATCCGGTCTCTGGTAGTTACGTCGAACTACTCGAACAGCAACAAAAGTACCTTATCCTTGGGCTCCGAGAATTCTATCGACGGACTATCAATGGCGAAGAGTGGCCTGGTGGCCGACTGAAGACTATGGCTAACGGTCTTCCACTGACTCACGATTTGCTCGCTCGCCTTGGTATTCTCAACGGAATAGAGGGCGACCGTTTGAAAGAAATTTCTCGTGAATACCAACAAGAGCCCTTCTTTTCCGATAACGGAGATGAAGGATACCCCGGTAGTATGCCCAGTAATCAGTCACCCATCGATGAATCTCAATTGTCGCCCGATGCGTTCAACGATCGCAATAGACCATCCCTTGATGCCTCCAGAAACCTCCAATCTACAATTTCCTTTTGGAACAATGATGTAAATAACGATGAGAAACCCGAGGACGCACCAATCTGGGAGGGGAATGATTCTCATACCTTGTTCAACGAGATGGATCCAACTTACCTAGTAGGGTATGCAGACGCTTTGCTGGAAGACTAGTAGAGTATGCTACTCATACCTAACGTCCGTTGCTGGTGAGCAACGTTTCGTCAGAACTAGCGACTGATTTCACCGGTCAGAAATATTGCGACCAAGACCTCGACCGAGGAACATCCAAATACATGTTGACATTGGATCGAGCGGTTAGGCTTACTAGTTAGAGTGTGTCAATTAATAGGATCAATAACGTATTTCACAAGCCAGCTGCGCACACAAGCGAGCTGCGCAGCCCAAAACACATAGTAAATACGATATATTCTGCGTTTATATCTCAACAACGATGTTTTTATTTTAGCTCCCTATTTGTCGATAGCCATCGATAAGACTCATTAGCTTCATATATTAATTTCGAAGAGAATAGAAGGCTATGTTATCATGGAAAATTACCGAAAATTACGTTGCGAAAAACTAGAAATATATATACCGGAATCATAATATTATAAAATTTCTTTAACCTCTAACAAATGGCTAGATATCATATAAAAAAGCATTAGGCTACAAAGAAAGTTTATATAAACAACCGTTGTTGAAATATCAAGTTGTAATTTATCGCTTTTACTATGTGTTTTGGGCTGCGCAACTCGCTTGTGTGCGCAGCTGGCTTGTGAAATACGTTATTAATGCTACCTAACTAAACCCCTTACTGTTGCGGCTTATGTAACACTTCTGGGTGTGGCCGGGATGAGCTGATCCAGCGACGACCTTGGTGGTAAGATATCACCTCTTCCGATGGATACACGTTCAAGGTTCCCAATTGTGTCTTTCACTTAACCAGCTAACTAATGAAGTCGAAATCTCTTCCGGCCTTTGACCCTAAAACGACGAAAAAGAAACGCCGAAGCAACATTCCACAGCCAAGACGGATGCCCATCACAACCATACACAATGAGATTGCCTTCTGCGAGTGATATCACCTTTATATTGACCAAGAATCGTGCCAAGGGCCCAACACACCCTGTGTTGATGCGCCCCAGTCAACGATAATTCCCGGTCAACAATGAATTTTGAAGTTAGGTAACTCTTGTATGGGCTTATCATACAAAAGGCATACAGGCCACAAAATTGAGAATATCCATTTTTGTTAACCCTTGGACTAGCTGAAAATTCACACAAGAGTATTATAATATAAGTATGGTTAGATCATTCTACTACTAGCGTCAATTCTAAATAATTAGTGTCAAAATGTGGAAAGCAGATTAAAAAAGTACCATATATAAAAATTGTATGTGGAACTTAAAACGGTTCCAGCATATACTTGACATTATCCATATCAAGTTAACAGCTCTTTTACAAAATATGTGTACACCTATAATTACCCTAGAAAAAAAAATATCGACTTTGTAGCCTTTTGTACCTTTTATATGATAAGCCCCTACAAATACCTAATTTCAAAATTGACTGGGAATTAACCCAGTGTGTTTTTGGCACGCTTAGCGCCAGGTACGTAACGTGCAGCGCAGTTGGCTAGTCGCCCCCAACTAGCCCCAACTAGCCCCACCCTTTTTCAGGGCTGGTCCCACCATCGGGTCAACTCCCTACCTATTCTTACTTCCAAAAAATTCCGAAAATTCTTCTGACAAAACTTCAAATGTCTGACAGGCCTACTATTGGGGAACTCGGTATTTCTCGCTAAACTCTGTCCGGGAAAATTGAATAAGTTTGATGCTCAGCATGCCAACAAAGCATAAAATCCAAATTCAGAAAAAACCTTAATAGGATCAATTCTCTTCACCGTATCTCCCCCCTGACCTATCACCGATTGAGCGTGCGGCAAGTCGAATTCTAAACCGCGCGGGTGAGTATCGGTTTGTCGGCCATTGGGTCTACTACAGACAATGGATTCTTTTCCGGTATCGAGACAGGTAGTGTATTAGAGATATGTATTACCGCTACCACTCAGCTTAGCGACCGTATCACTTGTTATGGATATTGAAATTAGACAACGGTTAGGGTCATATGTCACACGACCAGTAGTAAGGTGTTATGAATAACGGTCCATTTAAGCGTTATCACCATGACTTTGGGGATATCAATAAAGTCATATTTTTTAATCGAATAATAGAATTAACAGCAATGCAACTTTTCATTGTTGTCTCCTCGGACCCGACTGGTACGAGAAATCCCCGACAGACAAGAGTCTCTTGGATATCACATATCGTGGGTTTGAAACTTTCTGAAGTATAGTTCTCGATTATAACTATATATTTGCCTGTTGATCATTCTTAGAATCGACACCATGTTTGGTAGTCGAGCCGCTGCGCGTCCTTGTAACACTGCCACTTTCAACCATTTTTTTTTTTCGGGCTGGGCCCAGTTCGCTCGGGAATTACGGCAACTAATTATCAATTGGTCCTGAACTGACAACGGTGGGTGTCGAGTAACGGTTGCCAGATCATTTAGAATAGACCGAACTAGTCATTCCCATGGATCAACCCGAGTCAAAACAATAGGTCAAAAACTAGATCGCCAAATAATGTCTTTGGTTTTGGAACCACACGTGGAAACATATGCAGGGGAAAGTCGAGACTTAAATTTCCTTGATTCCCAGTAAGTTGGCTAGCTGCCCACTTGTGGAGCCTGTCCCGCGTCTGGTGGATATGTACGTTTCGTCAAATCACGCTAGTCTGAACAGTGGGTGTTAGCTTAATGCTCCTGAAAGATTTTACCCTTTTGGCTACAGGGCTCGGGGTGAATATCCCTGATGTTTGTGGGCGGAACGGGGCATAGGTTCCGGACAGTTCGAAATCTCCACAGGCCGGCATTTCGTTAAATTGATTGCGATGATCTCTTGTGCGGCTCCCGCAATACCGTTGACTAGGTAGCGTTGGCTTTGTTGATCCTTTCCTATCATTAGCTGGTGACAAGATTTGGTGAGTAGCCTCGGCGTACCTAAAATGCCCCTGACGGGCTTACTTTTACTTGATCTCCGCGCTGTCCACTTTTGAGATTTTCACTTTGAATCAAAATAATGCAACCGTTTTCTGTCACGTCTCATCTCGACTTTCAAAATGGTTAGCGATGAGGATTCAAGGAACATGGCCATCAAGGTCATCGCGGGGCTGTTCATGTCCATAGCAAGTGTGGCCGTGATGCTCCGATGCTATGTCCGTGGCTTTTTGGTTAAAGCGTTCGGATGGGATGACGGTGCGATGGTGATGGCTATGGTAAGTTGCCCCTGTTGGTTAATTGTTTTTTGCTGCCTACTTACCTCGAGATAGGCCTGGTATGCAATGTTCTGCGGATCCATGATTGGAGCGGGGGTACATGGCAATGGGCGACACTGGTATAACGTGGAAACAGAGGACCGAGTACTCGCCATGAAGGTAAACAGACCCCAAAATATTTCTAAGAACCCTCACTCAATCTTCTAATAGTACTGGTGGCTCTGCGAAATTGGATTCTGTTTCGCATCGATTTTCTGCAAGATCTCAATTTGTATTTTCCTGATGCGTATCTGTATCAACCGGACGCACATTCTACTTCTCTATTCCGTCATGGTCCTGACAGTTCTTGCTGGCCTGGTTTTCATGTTCCTGATGCTATTGCAATGCAAGCCATTGTCCTATTTCTGGACCCGAATGGCGCATCACCCCGTTCGCAACATCGAAGGGGAAGGCTCTTGTATCAACATGGAAATCATTATCGCCATGACATACATTTACAGTGCTTTTGCCGCGATGTGTGACTTCACTGTGGGAATTTTGCCAATCTTCGTTGTGCACAAACTGCAAATGAAGACACAGACGAAGATGGCTGTGGTCGGAATCTTGAGCATGGCATGCATGTATGTGACTGCCCATTTTTTTTTGCGAATACTCAGCTAATTCCTTTTGCAGTGCTTCTTCTGCCGTGATTGTCCGTATTCCGTTTGTGAAAACCTTTGATGATTTGAACGACTTTTTGTGTACGTTCCTTTCTCACCTTTAAATTTTCATGCTCCAACAATGCTGATCCACCAAAGATGCTACTGTCCAAATCGCCTACTGGTCGAACCTCGAGGCCGGCCTCGGTATTACTGCCGGCTGTCTCGCAACCCTTCGTCCCCTGCTTCGCCACTGGTTTGGTACGCGCGCTGATCCATCCTATTCCGCTGGGTTCCCAAAAGCGAGCTACGGGCGTCGCACTGGTCCAAGTCAGCATCACCCTGTGCCTTTGAGCTCGATTAATGGGACCGAGCGGGGTGAGCTAAGAGCTGATAGATTGGCTGTCATGGTGACAAACATCGAAAGTCAGAGAGACTTGGAAAATTCATGGCCTCAGCCATCCAGCCCCAGCAGTAGCGAGAAAAGATTGACTATGCCGCCTTCATGTCCAGGAAGAATGGAAGTGGGTATTCGCCAGACATTCGAGGTTACAAGTACGACAATGGAGACTGATTTCGGGGACGTGGCTCAGTGGACTGCGAGAGAACATGTATGAAACACTAACTAAAATTTCTTAATAAATGGTCATGTACATATAGTCCTTTGGGTTTCAGTAGGTAATCCTTTTAATACTTTTCATTCCTGACAGCTTTATGATGGACTTTTGGGAGCAGTAGGCCCTCTGGAAAAGTATTGTGTGGGTCCCACGTATACGTAAAGGTGGATAGTGTCTCGTGATAAATTATCAATATTACAAACAATTATAGTTGACTTAGGTACAAGATGTAGCGTGAGGAAGAAGAATCAAGGCGGCTTCGCGTGTCGTGGGAACTTAGATACACTACGTGGGCTCTGCATATAGATGTATCTCTCCACTTCTCATGTATGCCTCATGTATATCCTTGACACTGCCCCCCCCCCCCCCCCCCCCCCTCTAAACAAGTGAGAGCCCTTGCGACGACATCGCTCAGTAGTTAGGCAAAGAGTGATGTAAGTTCTGACTTCGGAACTCGTACAAGAGCTCACCATCCCCGGGACCAGATCTTGGGGTCGCGACGAAGAAAGGTACCCTTTCCATTCCTCGTGGTAGGGGAAATGAGAGCTTGTAATTTCACCGCCTACATTATAGCTACAACACACCAATAGAGGCCAAAGAGCGTTCCGAAAGCCCGCAGTTCAAGTCGGTTGTACCCATTGAATTTATCACAGCTTTGAGCAAAAATCGCTTCCAATGCAAAATAGATACCGTAGCAGAGTTGAAATGGGCTTTCCAATTACAACGGGTAGAATGACAACCTCGCTGCCTTTAAAGGAGACGTGATGGTATGAGATTAGGCAATGGAATAAAGAACAGTGATCTTAAGATATATGTTAAGGATTCCGTGCACCATCATTGAATTCGCAGATGAATTGTTGAACAAATTGTCAATCAAATAAACCACTTAGTATCAATAAAACACTATTATATCTTTAAGACTAAGGGCCACTATCCCAGGTTTCTGAACTATTTCCGTTATCGAGGCCTCTCATTATGCTGTCAAAAAAAGCCATATCGACACCCTGGAATGCCCAGTCGTGCACCCCGGCAGTTAGCCCAGGATCCTGATAGTTCTGCAGGAGGGTATCGGAAATGGCATCTTGATATCGCGATGTGAGCTGCGCAGGCGGACCATTAACACTATCGACAGAGTTGTAATCCGCTTCGGTCATTGATCTGGGAAATGCATTTCCATCGAAGCGACCAGAGCCAAGATCACGCATTGCAGCTTCCGAGCTCTCAGTGTGATGCATACTAATCACCGGGGTGTAGGGTTGGCCATTAGTTAAGAGAGGTTGTGCGTTACCGATTTCCTTGGAAATAACGCCCTGACGGGCAATCCTGACAATGCCAAAGTAAGGTATTTGCACCCGAACAACGCCATTGTCGTTTTCGCTTGACTGGAATACTACACTTTCTGGTGTCTGAACGCTGACGCTCTCCGTACTGACGCCATCTGCTGTTTCGGAATCAATGGCCAGCAACTTATGTAATAAGTCCGCACTTTGGGCACTTAAAGTATCTCCGTTCACACGACTGATTTCTTCCATGTTCACCTGTGCCTGCTCTATCATGGCACGGTCGCCAAGATATTGGTGCCCTAAGAGGTTGCTGACTTGTGAAAAATGGTGGCTGTTGAGATGCGCCAGAAGTAGAGTAATGGCCGCCATGAGTGCAAAAAAGTCGACTGTCCGACAGCAAAAATTATTCCTGTTGTAGCCACGAAACATGATAAATCGCAAGAGGACCTCCCTTGAGGCATTCACGCAGGTCATTCTGGAATATTCGTACTTTTGTTCAGGTGATGAACGAAGCATGTAAGGCAGATGGAGCTGATTGAGCAAGTTGTAATGATACAACTGGTTAAACAGTCGTCCCATATCTAGAAAGAGAGCCTGTGGGTCATCCGTGACACTGTCTAGGTTCGGCATAAGCCACCATTTGCTGGGCATAGTTCTGCCCGCTTTCTGTAGCTCCAAGTCGAGGTTTTGTGTCAGGGCAAAGTCATCAGCGGACGGGTCGGACAAGTCAGACTCGTTGCGCTCCAATATGCGAGACGCGAGGGTACAGTGCATCCGCTCGAGGCGGCCCATAGGAATGTCATCTCTGAATGCTGTGCCAGTGGCCATGCTCTGATCAAAGGAGCCTTGCGTAAGACCCAGCATGAGACACAAGTTACGGTCGAGGGAGACAATTCGAAACCACATGAACTGTGGATAAGCTTTCGTTTTGTGGTCAAGAACCTTGTACTTTGCTCGGCTTTGATTTTGGTGGAGATTCATCATTTGCGCAATAGCCATAGCCCTCCGGTTCGCTATCCAGCTTCGTCGTAGATTTCCACCATTATGGTAGTACATGCTTTCCATCATAACACACTCCAGTCCTTCAATGCTGCCAAAGAATTCGTCGTTTGTCGTGACCAAATTAATAGCAGTTCCTGCTAATCGTTCCATCAGGGCGGGGAGTGGTTCCAGCAAACCGTTTATCGCCCCAAGGGACTTAGGGTGAAGATGCTGGAGGAAAGTAGCAATATAAAGCATATGTCTTGCGATCAGCACTGGATGCGAACTCGGACTAGGTATTTCGAGTAAACTGTCTGGCGATTTGAGGCCGTTCTGCTCGAGGACAGCATATGGAGCGTTTAGCATCTCATAAAAAAGTATGGCTTTTCTACCGCGGGCATTGTATATCATCTCGATAACTTGTCGTGAGGGTAAGGACTCGTGCAATCTTTGAGATAGATTTTCATATCTCCCCTCAGCTTCAGCCGGGCCATGATCCTGATAAAATCAGTGACAGTTCATTATACACTGGACTTCAATAGATATATACATACATCGGAAGGTTTGCATACAGACAAGAAACGTGAAGATTCTTGGTCTATTGATGCAGCATCCGGAGTAAGGATTCCATAACTAGGAGTCGGAATTTCGCTAGTTCCGGGTACTCCTACTCCCCCATGACGGTCCACTTTCTTGATCAGTTGTTCAACCAAGGCCTCAACCCTCGCAACACGATCTTCATCGTTACCGCTCGTGCGGTGTCGTCCCTTCCTCTCGAGATGTCCTGCATTCTCTCTTCCGCCAATAAACTCAAATTCCTGGCTCACGCATTTGGACCCTCGCCGCTGGCAGCCAATACAAACGGCATTGGCATCGGCTGGAGAGGGAGGGTCCGCATACACGCATTTCATCTTGCGCTTTTTGCATTCCCAGCAACTTTTAGTCCCTTTGCGGATCTTCCTCCGCTTCGCCTCTGATTCGGCAATAATATCGTAGTCCATATCCATCTCCATACATAGATTGTCAGTCAGTCCGTCACGGTGTTTTGGCTGCGGAGGCCGTAAAAGATGATATGGAAGGTGAACAGAGCAATCGGACCGCCGGGCGGGGGGAATGCTTGGGGACAGCTGAATCAGCGGATGTCATTCGACCGCCGCGAAATGCAAATGCGGCGGACAAAAGTTTGAATTTACATGAATAATATTACATCTTACATTTAGCGTGAAATATGAAACAGATAAGAATTCCCATTTGGACATAGCTCAAAGAATGACTGGTAAGTTAGAAATAGCATCGGCGGCTCGGACAATTCGGGGCCAAGGAGGATGACCTCGGGGTATATCTCCAACAGTTAAACTACAAATAGCTGTTTAGCACGTAGCTAATGTACAACACAGTGATCTACCTATACTACTTTTTTTTCTAACAAAATCTGTTCGTTAACTTCAAAATGGGACTTGTCCATATTGTGATGATCTCGTTCAAAGAAGAGGTGACGCCGGAACAAGTGGAAGGCGTAAGTCTTGTTTCTCGCAAGTTGAGTATTTTTTTTTTTGGAAAGCAGGTGGTAAATCTTTGAAATTTAGGTAAACCGTCGCTTTCTCTCCCTCAAGGACCAATGTGTACGCGCCGAGTCCGAAACACCATATATCACCAACCAAATGGCAGGCAAAGATATCAGTGTTGAAAACAGAGCAGTAAGTAACGTATCTATAACACTTGGTGATATCAGGTTCATTTGGGAAGTTATAGGGGGGATTCACTCATGTTTATGTTACGCAATTCGACAACGAGGAGGATAGAGATTATTATCTGAGAAAGGATGCGGCACATGCGGAGTTTGGGAATATTGTGGGACCTTTGTTCGAGTCGGCGCAGGTGAATGATTTTGTTCCGGGTGCGTTCTGATACTCCATCATTGAGGAGTAATACGGGAGGAGATGTGTTCATAGTAACTACTACTAGTACTTACCTAGGTAAGTAGTAACAACTTCATACCTAGTCAGAAATTAGACACTTTAGACGCTATACGGACCTTTATCATATATCCCATATGTCCCAATTACGGAGGCCCACAGCGGCAAGTAATTCTCACTTCAATTTCAGGGATCTGCCTATGTTGTACGGAGTATATTACGGAGTATGTTGTAGTAAAATCCACAGGGATGTGAGCATTAGTACTTGCCGCTAGGGGCGTATCCCCGAGTCCCCCGTACGGCGGTCAAACCGTGCTGGGCGACTGTTTACTTACTCGTTCCTCCGACCGGACATAACAGGCTCAAATTGGGCCGGCATTTGTAAGAATGCTTTTCAAAATTATCAAGCAAGTTCTAAAGACCTTCTGGTCTCCATGTGAAACTATTCTTATTTTACTTTAAAGATATCCCGTCGTGTCAGGGACATTATTCCGCAATTATCGACCGGGAACATTCCATTACTATTCGCCGAAATGGGTTCAACCTTCGACTTGGAAAAGGAGCGCCAGACTACAGACTCGAGCCTGCAGTCATCAATAACCAACGCTCCTTCTGAAGCCGATTTAGAGAGCGAGAATCATAATGCTCCAAATGGCCAAGAGACTTCTTACCTACCGGAAAAGGTAGATTCTGAAGAACCGGACGCGGACGACGAATCACAGTATCCTCATGGTATCAAGCTACTCATCATTGTCGCGGCTCTTGGTATGAGCATCTTTTTGGTTGCTCTCGACATGGTATGTCCCCAATCCCTCAGTGAGGAGAGGAGCCTCTCTTCAAAGTGCCATCATCATCTAACGTTAATGTTAAACAAATAGACGATTGTAGCGACGGCTATTCCAAAAATTACCGATCAGTTTCACAGCCTTAATGATGCTAGTTGGTATGGCTCGGCTTTCTTTATGACTACCGGAGGCTTCCAGTCGACCTGGGGAAAGGTGTACAAATTTTTCCCTCTGAAAATCTCGTTCCTGCTTGCGGTTTTCATTTTCGAGCTTGGAAGCTTGATTTGTGGTGTGGCTCCAAATTCCGTGGCACTGATTATCGGTCGTGCAATTTCTGGAGTCGGTGCAGCTGGTATTGGGAGTGGAGCCTTCATTATCATCGCTTTCATTGCTAGTCCAAAAAGGCGGCCACTCTTCACCGGTATTATTGGCATGTCTTACGGCATAGCGTCGGTCGTTGGCCCCCTTGTTGGTGGTGCATTCGCCGATAAAATAACTTGGAGGTGGTGTGAGTACTTCTGCTATTCACTTAATCAACTAAAGTAGTTGTTCTTAACTGGACTTCGCTGACCCTTTCCAATTTTTCTTTTCATCTAGGCTTTTACATCAATTTGCCCATTGGAGGCCTCGCAGCCGCTTCCATTCTTTTCTTCTTCCATACGCCTGTCAGAGCTTCGACAACCCCGGCTACAATGAAGGAGAAGCTCCTGCAGATAGATCCTATCGGAACCATCCTTCTAATCTGTACCATCACTTCATACATATTGCCACTGCAATTTGGTGGACAGACGAGGGCATGGAACTCTAGTACTGTCATCGGTCTTCTTGTCGGCTTCCCCCTCATGATTATTACCTTTATGGTGTGGGAGTGGTTCCAAGGAGAACGGGCTGCTTTCCCGCCGCGCTTGATGTGGAACCACCTCATCCTTGTGAATGCAATCTACGCGTTTCTTTTCGCGGGTTCGTACTTTATATTCGTCTATTACCTTCCTTACTACTTCCAGAGCGTTCAAAACGTCAATCCTACCATGTCTGGTGTACGAAATCTTCCTTTGATTGTCTCGATGTCGTTGGCTATCGTTGTCTCTGGTGGCAGCATCACCAAAACTGGTCATACTGCTCCTCTTATGGTTATCGGTGGAGTCCTTGCGACGCTCGGTGCGGGGCTGTTGTACTCGCTGGACATCGGTACAAGCACAGGCAAGTGGATTGGATACCAAATCATCGGTGGAGTGGGATGGGGATTGGCTTACCAGGTTCCCATCAATGCGGTGCATGGTGCAGTGGTTCCCAGTGATATTGCAACCGTGACGGGTATCATTGTCTGTGAGTATTTCGCCTGCTACTTCTTGATTATCCGATGAAAAACCTGCTAACACACCTCATCTCTCAGTCTTCCAAACTGTCGGAGGTGCGGTTTTCGTGACTGCAGCACAATCTGCCTTCGTCAACCAAATTATCGTCCACATTGACGCAGCCGCATCTGGAATCAACTCAGCCTTGGTGGTCGCGACTGGTGCGAGCGAGCTGCGAGATGTCTTTACAACTGAGCAGATGACTGTTATTTTGCCTGCTTACATGACCGGTCTCAAGGTCTCCTATGCCATTGGGATCGCTGCGGCGGGAATCGCTCTCTGCTTCAGCTTTTTCAACAATTTCAAGAAAATTGACGCCCATGCAGCAGCCAGTGTGGCTGTGTAATCGTCGCGCCCTTGTCAAGGTCTTTCTACTTTATGTGGCATACTTAGATCTGTGGTTGAGGTGGCTCAGGTTTGTCTGTGGTGATGGGCTTAGTTGCTCTAGACTTCGCATCTTTTCTTTCTCTTTCTTTCTCTTTCTTTCTCTTTCTTTTTTTGAAGTTACCTGAGTGTAATACGTAATAGAATCCTTTCTTATGTTTTTTGTGGACACTCCTTTTTTCAATATTAGTTTCTTGACATCAACTGATTAGTATAATTTCCCCAAAGCCCTTTCGGTGGAATGAAAATATTACTAGCACAATATAGTACCCCTCTTTTGTTTAACAACGACTGAATTATGGTGGAATGCCAAACTAAGTCTTCAAGTATTTCAGGATCGCGACGAGATAAGATCACACTGTTCCAGGATATTGTACAGGTTACAGTACAGCCGCGAATCATAATAAGCGATCAATGTATGCTTATCTCAATACGTATTGACTCACTCCCGAACGTCAGATAAGTACTGCAATATATATCTGCGGAGCTCTGTATAGCAATCTCTCTCTCTAATGGGATAATCTATGATACGCAGCGCAGCACTCCATCCGAGCCCTCGAACGAAATATTCGAGTTAAGTGATTTGTGGCTACTATAACGGACAGTTGTTGCGTGCTGTAATTTAATATTGTACAAGAACAGGGATAAACCCGATTTAGTGTCATGGTACATGTAATATTGAATCTTAAAGTCATGTAGTGCATATTTGAAGGAAATACATCTGTCAAAAAGGTAGAAGGTAGTTGAAAATTGTTCTACCCTATATGTAACTAAATGGAGGTGTACATGTAGACGATGATTTGTATGTCCCCATAGCCTCTCTGTTACCCTCCTACATGACGTTGATACCTCCGCTCACCGAGATGAATTGACCGGTGATCCAACGGCTCTTCTCATTGACGAGTAGAAGGACGGCATCAGCAACGTCATCAGTCGTGCCCACACGCTCTTCAGCCCTGGTCAGATTGACAAATGGAGTGATGAATAGATCTTTGTGAATTGACGGGTCTGTCACATGTGCAACACCGTCGCCAATTATATCAGTATCAACTGGACCAGGTCCAATACTGTTGATGGTGATCCCGCGGCTGCGTCCGAGCTGTATATAATAACCCGGTTAGTGAGACCTATATAACCAACAAAAGGGAAAATTTTTCTGCTGCAATGAACTTACCTCCCAGGCCCATGATGCAGAAAGGTAATCTGTTGCTGCTTTTGTTGCGCCGTACACGCCCATACCATCTCCTACGCCCATCTTTGACGCACAAGATCCAATATTGATGATCCGACCACCACGAGGCATATTTCCCAAAGTAACAACTGCCTGGGTCATAAAGAGAGTCCCAAACACGTTAATGCCGAAATGGTTCTGGAGATGCTCTGGAGTCATCTCAGTCAGGAAATGGACGCTCCCAACCCCGGCATTGTTCACTATATACACACATATTAGCAAAAGAAATCATAGCATCTCTGCTTTGTTTTGAGCGTTACTTACCTAGGATATCGACATGGTCAACACCAAAAGCCTCCATTGTATCAGACACAATCTTGGAGGCCCCTTCCTGAGTTTCAATGCTACCTCTTATGATAGCGACCCGAGCACCTAGATCACGGATCGATTGAGCAACTTCTTCTGCACGAGAAGTTGATTTCTCAGAAACATAGTTTATGGTAACAGCAGCACCGTTGAGGGCAAGCGTCCTAGCAATCTTGCCTCCTATACCATTTTCACGACCGGAACCCGTGATAATGGCCACCTTGCCAGCAAGAGAAAGAGTGTCTGGTGCCATTGGATTGGTGGTGGTGGTGCCGCGTTGTTGGGACAGAATAAAAGATACTCCGCTGGAATCAACAAGGTTCCAAACGATGTGTTTAAACAAAATTAAAAAAATGAAGAAGTGGGATATATGTTTAAATATAAAGTGTCAGTACTACTTAATTTATTGATGGACTAAGTATCACATAATCTCTTGAAATGCCTAAGAGTCACAGCTCAAGTCATTGTACCGAAATGCCTTGATGATAGAAGCTAAGCTCATTGAACTGAATAGTCCGATATGAGTCCTTGGCGGATTGTAGAATCGGAACGGGATATTGGAGTATATATTATCGGGCAAATAGGTACGCAAATGCTAATTAAAAAATCAAAACACCGAATTTCATGTTGTTCCCATTTCATAGAATCGTAAGGTATGAAAATCACCCGAGGCATCATAGAAATGACCGAATCGGTTGTCTTCCGAAGCCCGATACCCGATATTGGCAAGTCGAACAGGTGTACGTGATTGCTAAAGATCATTCTCTACTATTTAAATATAACAATGGATGCATGCTAACTTTGTAATACCTGATTTGAATTCCAATTCGACTTCTAGACTTCAGCCTAACTTTCTGGGTAGTCCACAGAATGGGGGAAGCAACTGCACCAGCAGTGCAAAAGTTCTACACGGTGGGCGACAAAGATGAATTTGACCCCGAGAAGTGGACGTCCAGTACTCCAAATGAGCTGCCTGAGCGTGACCCAGAGACGCATGTCAAAGTGCTGATTGTTGGAGCCGGTTTCGCTGGCCTGATGACAGCGTTGGAGTGCTGGAGAAAAGGGCATAATGTCGTGGGAATTCTAGAGCGGAACGATGGCCCTAATTACAGCGGTTCGTCCTATCCCGATTTCCATGCTCCTGCCGAGGTAAATGGAATGAAGAGAACATCAGCTTCTAACGGTACCGGATTTATAGGAGATCTTATTATCATCCAGCCCTCGGCGATTGCCGTCTTCCGTCACTGGCCCGACATGCTTCGTGAGCTCGAAGAAGACAAAGTGACAGCCCCAACCTATTACTATAGGCACACCAGTGATCTCATCTACGGGCCTTCAGAACCCAGCTACAATGATCCCGAGCACCTAGCGGAGCGAGAGAACTTCCCGTATGTGGGTCCTGTACAGATCCGAAAGAAGTTCTACACAATGTTGTTGCGTCAGGCAGCCAAAATAGGCATCAAAGTTGACTATGGGCAACGTGTTGATCAATACTTCGAGGATGAACAGGCTGGTGTGGGCGGAGTCGTGATAGAAGGTGGCTCAGTTCGAGTGGCCGATATAGTCGTTGCAGCTGATGCCTTCAAGTCTCGATCCGAACTTCTAATCGCTGGAAAACACATGCCCACGCAGTCAAGCGGCATGTCCGTCTACCGTGTATCCTTCCCAGCCCACCTTGCTATGCAAGACGAAGAAGTCCGGAAGCGGTGGGAAGGTGTCACGGCAAATGAGTTCTGGCTGGGAGCTGGCATGCATATCGGACTGTACGTATCACCAGATCTAGTAGCCTTCGGGATCACTCCACGAGATGAGTTCTTGGTGGAGGGGAGTGCCAAGGCCAAGGAGTCGTGGGATCCGGACGTCGACCCTGAAGAGGTGATTGAATTACTCCGTCGCTTGCCTGGCTGGCATCCGGCAGTTGAGGCACTGATACGTGCTACCCCTAGGGGAAGGTTGATCCACTGGCCACTGCTATGGCGCAATCTGCGTCAGGAGTGGACGTCTAGAGGGGGGCGAGTCGTCCAGGTGGGAGATTGCGCACATTCCACAATTCCAGCATCAGTCAGCGGTGGAACTCTAGCTCTCGAGGATGCAATAACGCTGGCATCAAGCTTGCAATTAGCATCTCATGGGGGGCCCAGTGGTGCACCTCTTGGAGCCAAAGTTTACAATCTTTTACGATACCAGCGTGTCAGCTGCACGCAAAAGATGGCCTTTGTAAACTCACAGCTCCTGAACGCCACTAGCGACTGGGATGCCATCATGAAGGATCCGAAGACGGTGCGCCTGCGCTTTCCCAAGTGGGTATTCAACCATGACCCCGAAGCCTATGTCTATGAGAAATATGGGCAGGCTTTTGCGCATCTTGTCACTGGTGCTAAGTTTGAGAATACCAACTTCCCCCCGGACATAAGTTTGTACCCTGGACAATTGAAGACGTCTATAAGGATATTGGAGAAGGAAAGAAAATTGAGCAGTTGTTGGATGGAGATTGGTCATAAGGTTAGTGCAACAGATTGAAACATAAGTAGACCATTGACTAATTTTTCAGGTGTCACGAGGAAATTCCCACAAGGGGGATTGGTATTTCCCAACTGGAGATGCGGGCTGGGGTACTGTTGATGAGCTTGATTTCCTGTCTGGGTTTATTTGTCGGCGCAGTTACGCCGGAATACCGGAGGATTTATTATAAGTACCTATGCAGTAATATTCCGTATGTAATCGGGATAGTATAAATTGCCAAAATAGTGGATACAGAAATACAGAGAGTTGAATACCATTGATTGGATTACATTTCACAACACGGATTACTCATGGGGTGATTGTCTTGTTTTCTTCGAGTCTGCTGCTGTGGATCTTGGCCCAATCGGGACGATTGGGATTAGTATCGGAGGATGAGAGCATACCACAAATTCTGCGGTCATCTGATCCTATGTACAAGCATGTAGTCTTTTCCAGTCAGCAGGTTATGCTGTGGCCGACAGTTGAACATGGACAAATATAGACTCCAGAGGAGACTCATCAAGCCAGCGTACACGTCTAAGGAAGATATTGATTCGACGCGCGGGTCATATTGAGGACGTGCATCATATTGTCAGTGGGGACAACGAACCTCAGGACCCCGAGATCCTACTTTCTTCTAATATTTCCTTTGTTTTGTTGGTTTTGGACTGGCTTCGGCCTGGTTTGGCACCCTTTTACTGCGTCCTTTTCTGTACTACTATTCTCACTGGCGATAGGCTGGGGGTCTCGGAGGCTCGGAGGCTTGAATTTCCCGGGTGCTGAGGACCCCATAGTACCATGCAGCGATGACGAAGGATATGATGTGATATCCATATAACCAGGTAACCTCCAAGCTCCAGGGCTACCCCGCTCGCTACTAATCAATTCAGACTATCTTTCTTCTTCCTATCACCCCTGGGGCTTTTCTCTTATATATCCCACTGCCCCCGGATGACGTACCTAGTTCGCAGACAGGTTCGTCTCCTTTGACAGTATGTAAAGGTAGATTGGTGCAATTGAATACTACCACGACTACTTTATTTCAATGTAATTTAACAAAGATACCTTGTAAAATTATACAAAACTTATAACTATACTAACATAAGTGTATTAATATTTGCACTCAACAGACAAGTGTATCTAAGCTATCCTCAAGTCGACTAGCTGTAAATCGCCATTATTCCGAAATTGCGAACGACTGCCAATGTACCGAGATAACATATCAAGGCTGATATTCGGCCAATCCTATGCAACATCAATCTCACATCAAAGTTGACAGCTGTCCAGTCTCGCCCCATTTAGGAATCCCCGGCATGTATACATATTGGGGGCTTGCTAGCACCGGGACGTTATAAATTGGGGGCGGACAAATGGTAGATCCCAGCTCTCGAAGTTATACATACCAAGTTAGGGAGACATAATCCTTTCCCTACCCTGGTCTTTCCGTGCTGACCGCCGCAATGGATGAATTAACCGAACTCGAAGCGCGGAGCGACGATCTCGCCGCTGCGATCAAGAGCCATATCGAGCGTCGTCGTCGCGATGCCCAATCTTCCGGGGTCAACTCGGACGCGGAAAAGGAGCCCAGCAAAGCCAAAACGGGCATTTATGCCAGTATGGCGAAGATGAAAGCAGTACTCGATGGACCGGTCGACTTGCTGCAGGATCTTGCCCGCCAGGTTTGTAGTTGGCTCTGTTCTTCTCTACATTCGTTCCCCTCTGATGATGGTGAACTCTAGGTCGAGATCATGGCCTGCCTTAAGTGGCTTGCGGAATTCCAGATCCTGGCGTGTATCCCGCCGGATGAGAGCATGGCCATCAAGGACCTCGCGGACCTCGCCGGGGTTTCAGAAACCCAACTAGGTCGTGTCATTCGCCTCGTGGCGACATCGGGGATTCTCCAGGAGCCCATCACAAACTATGTATCTCACACCCCCTTGTCAGCACAGTTCGTCACCAACCAATCCTGGCTCGACGCCGCGGTTTTCATGGCCGATGTGGCCGCCCCGACGGCATTACAGATGCCGACAGCGACCCAGCGCTTCGGAAGCCCGCAGAACCCAACAGAGACAGCGTATAGCCTGGCGCTACGTACGATCCAGCCGTTTGGGGTCGCAATCCAGGAGCAGCCGAAGCTGGGCCGCCAATGGTCGGCGTATTTGCGCCATACGGTGGGATGGCATCAGGAGAAGGAAATCGTGGAGATGCTCTCACAGCTGAAATGGTCTAACCTTGGTAACGCATTCATCGTCGAGGTAAGAGCGGATTGAAGCAACTTGTACCTATGGATTCAATTGAATTAGACCACCCTAACATCAGCTAATAGGTTGGTGCCCAGTCGACTTTCATGGCGCAGCATCTCGCCCAAGAATTCCCAACTCTGCGCCTAATCGTGCAGATCACTCACACGCGGTCATCCTCTTCGCTACATAATCTCGAGCATTTGCGACTGATTGAGATGATGGGGGGCGTGGAATCAGATTCTAGCTCTAGCTCTAGCTCTCGACCTAGCTCGGCCGGCGGTCGTATCACTGTCACATACCGCGCGGCGGGCACGCCTCAGCCGGTGATAGATGCGGCCGTTTACATTCTTCACCTGAGCCCCTCTGCGGGGGTGGAAGGGATCAACCGGATAGATATGGTCAGAGTTGAACTGCAAGATTATCTGGGCGTCCTGCGCTCCAGCGGTGGTATCTTGCTAATCCCTACAGCAAATCTACTTCCTGAGCCTGGGAGCCTCGTCGATCCTATACTGGAGGCTGTAGCGCGGGCCCATGACCTCAGTATGCTCCAGTTGGCGAATGAGGGTGAGATCGAAATGACGGAGTTGATAAGTGTGATACAGACAATCCGGGATGGTCTTGGGAGGCTTGTTATCACGAAGCAGCTACGTTCGCCTAATAGTTTAATCATAGGTCTGACTATTAAACATGAAGCTTATTGTATTTAATGGAAGCCTCTGCATTCGTCTACATATACTCCGGGGAGTGTCTTGATAGTTATACCTAGTAGCCTATATACTGCCTTAGGTTGAATGAAATGACCACTGCAATCTGTACCTCGATCGACCACTAGCAGTCCTTGAAGCCATCGACGACCTTCCCATCTCTCACGAACTCCTCAACCCACCCTATGGTCATCCTACGTTGGATCAACAAGATGCTCATGTCGAGCAGGAAGAACATCAAATACTTACATACTCCTCTTGGTATCAGCAAACTTCTCATGATCACCAACAAGATGCTCCTTGTACCATGGGTCCTGTTTCATCCGTTTGTAGTCGTCAATGTCATTGAACACCACCTGGCTGAAGCAGTCAAAGTCGGCAACATTGGCCATCTGTGGGTCAAATAGCTGCGGCATCAAGGCCCGAGTTGAACTTGAGTTGTGAATCTAAACATAGCTTAACCGACTGGGCAAGACCAGCAAATGCCATTGACAGCTTCTTAGGAACTTACCTGAGTCCATCTTTTCACTCCATACTTAACCATTAGGCCTTTAGTCATTGGCGCCGAGATATTCACCATGTGGTTGCGGTAGTCTTCCTCACTCATACCAGGCTTGCGATACCCGCAGATGGTCAGACAGAGATACATGCCGGCTGTTGCGCCAGACGGCTGCTCCAGGATTTCGGGCTCAACGAATGTCATGATTAGTTCCTTGGGTTCGAGGGGCGCGAAAAAGTGAGACGAAGGATAGATTCTGGAAAAGAGCGTGAAAGAAAAGAGGAAGAGCCCCGGCATGATTATCTGATTCCTCCCGAGATATGCAAGCAATCGTACGACTCTTCGGACCGAGACTGGGAATCTGAAACCTATAACTCATTGCCCACGGCTACTGCTCCTAATCAAGTGTACGGAATTTGAATCAATTCATTGTTTCATTCTTGGGTCGACCGGAAACCATGGCGCCGAACCAGATTGGCGTGCAAGCGACTGCTGTAATTACTGGTTCCGCACTGTCAGGCAAGCAGCTATGATTTGAGCCTTGAAAGAAGATCCCTACTGACATATTTCATTGATTCAAACAGGCGCCATGCTGTGCCTTTCAGCCATCGCTGTCCCCGTTTTCCTCGACACTGACGACACCTCGAGCCACCTTGTCCGCCAATGGGCCCGGACCTACTACTACGGCCACATCATCCTCCCGGCGATGTGCATTGCCACCTGCGGGCTTTATGGTTATATCACCTTGAACAAACGCGCCACGAACAGGAAGCATTGGCCCACCTACGCGGCAGCGGGGGTGACCACATTAGCCATGGTGCCCTTCACCTGGTTGCTCATGACACCCACCAACAACACGTTGTTTGGGCTGGAGAAGGCGTCGTCCGAGACTGCGGAGGGATTGGGGGCCGTGCGGCAGCTCGTGGTGACATGGTCCTGGCTGCATGTTACTCGGTCGCTGTTCCCTCTTCTCGGGGCAATCGTGGGGCTCCGGGGGTTACTGCAGGACCTGGGGGTGTAGATTGGAAATCAATAACCCGATGTTCCTTGTCTTCGGGGTAATGGTATCGGGGTAATGGTATCGTGGTAATGGTATCGTGGTAATGGTATCGGGTTAATGGTATCGGGTTAATGGAAGGCCTCATCTGTCTTGGCTACATATCTAGGGAAGAGGGGAACGTACGCTGGCGGACGTGCGGGTTGATCCAGCTAGACCTCCGCAAAGCCCATAGCCACACGCAACCTAACCCACAAATGGGCTGGGCTTTGGGCCCCCATTATGGGCCTATTGGGCCGAATTGGCCCTAAACAATACACACAATTTAAAAAATTAATTGCCTTGTGTTCAGACCCCGGTTCTAGGCCTTATATCGGGGTAAAATTTTGTTATTCTAATTGATATATACTTAATGATTAGTAATATTTATGTATCACGTCTAAATACACGAGAAAACGTGTTATTCAGATAAGCTTTAAATTACAGAGGTTCATTCAGAAAGTAATGGTAGTCCTGGAAAAGTCCTAAATATACATCCAATATCAAAACTCTTTCGCGATATCTCGATCTCCACCCGTTAGGTTTTGTTCAAAATCCAAATTTATACTTATATCACTATCGTTACTCTATATTGCGAATTTGAGCTCTATAAAATCAATAGAAGGCCAGAATATAGCGTTTACAAGCCGCCAGTTTACAAGCGCCAAGACCCCATTAATGGGCTATGGTTGGCTATTATGGTCCCCTATTGATAGGCCATCATAGCCCATAGCCCACTGCTGGTTGGGTCTTAGGCCCCATTTATCGGCTCTGCGGAGGTCTAGCTCCAGTAATAACAAAACCACAGCACATCAACATCAACAGGTGGGAGCAGGAAGGGATCCCCCTAGGGAGTATGACCAGATATGTGTAGAAGGATGATATTTTTAAACTATACTACTTTCCTTAGTAAATGAATCTGAAATAACAAACCACCATGTCCTAGCTCGTTCTGTAGTCTTAATTGGTTCTAAAGTCCTCAAGCGCAAACCACTTCTTCACTCCTTTTCTCACCTCAAATGCCACAATGCCATCCTCGGCTAGTTTCCGCAGAACCTCGTCCATGAACGGCTCCAGCGCCAACTCCCTAAGCCCTGCCTCCACTCCCTCGCCATATATAGCCGCCACGAGCTGCTGGACCGTGACGCTGCCCTTGCCTCGTCCCTGTCCCTGTCCCTGACCGGTGCCTCTCTCGTCCCGCTTGGTCTGCACCAGCGCCTTCAAGACCTGTCGCTCGCGTCGCAGCTTTTGCGCTAGCTCGCCGGCGATCTTGGCCCGCAGGTCGGCAATCACAATGCCGTGTGCCGGGTAACCCTGTCTACAGTCCTGGGCCTGCATCTTGCGCAGAGTTTCCATCCACGTCCTCAGGTGCTCCACGGCAGAGGTGCCGTGGCCAAGGATGTTGTCACCCGTGAACATGGCGCTCTCCTCCTCGAGGATGAAGCACATATGATCGTCGGTGTGACCCGGGGTGTAAACCGCACGCACGGTAGCGCCCTCGACGTGGAAGATCTGGCCATCTGCGATGGGCTGCTGCGTGGTGCTCGGCGTGTGCTTGTAGATCGACGAGGCCAGATCTGGATACATGCGGATGAGGTCGGGGACCCCGCCGGTGTGGTCACCGTGCCAGTGAGTGAGAAGGACGTGTGAGAGGGAAATCCCGCTGGCCGACAGAGTGCGAGAGATCAGATCGGCCCAATCTGGGATGCCTTGGCCGGTGTCGATGAGGAGGCGTTTGGGACCCGTCCCGACTATAAATGTGTTTGTTCCTTGTAGAGTGAACTGTTCGAATAGATCAGCCTGGGTTCGTCCTAGCTAGAGTTTGAAAAGGGGGAGAGAGAGAGAGAGAGAGAGAGAGAGAGCTTGCCTTTCCTGGATTCTGACCGAGGATTCGAATGACTCGCGGGCTAAGCTCCTCCACATCGAGCAGTGTGGGCAGACATCTCTGCTGGCTCTCTAGGTAATCTTTAAAAACGCATATGTTGAGAGCCTTGTTTATCTGGCGATAACCTCCTTCCCCAGGCGGCATATTGGGAATTGCTACACTGTTGGTTGGGTTTATGGTTAGTGAGACAGGGAGGCTCGGTATGCACCATTTGAAGTATATCATATTTGCGCCGAGAAGGTCTTCGGGTCGATTTCGGTATCGGGCATCGGACCAAAGAGCCTTAGTCTTATCATGCTTATGCTATAGATCGCATACGCGGTGCAATTATTATTTGTGCACAGGGGAGATAGTGGTTTTTAATGCCCGTCAGTATCCTATTACTAAAGGACGTTAGGAGCGAGAAGAATAAAGAGTGGGCCTGGTAGTATGTAGTACCCTTTTTGTAGGAACATCCCTGCCTATGGTAGAATCAGTGCCAGTAATCGGCAACATGGTCTCTAGACATTTTACACCCTCGCTCGGGCCCCCAGAATAGTAGGCGAGTTCGTAGGTTGCATATCTGAGCCATCGTCCCAAACTATCCCAGGGTGTTTCATTTTCCAATATTTTACTCCTCCATCCCCTTTGTGAAACAGCAGCATGTAGATTAATGTTGAGTGGTGCTAGAATAGGCAGATTTATCATTATTACATGCAAATTGTCACAGCGCTACATTGTGTAATGTAGTGTTAATTCTAACGATTAAGAGTCTCAATCTCTAAAATATGCACATCTACAACTATCTCTATTATTACTATTATTACTTGATCCAAATTCTATAAATTGAAAAATTTGCCATAATCCGAAACCCTTATTCAACCATTCGCTTCCACTCTGGGGATGCAGTGGCAGACCCCAATTGGAAGGCCTAGCTAGAGGCACAGGTCTTTGGGATATCATTACTGGTGATGGACAGGAGTTACCAAAGAAAAGTACGCCTAACGCAGAGAACTATCTTCTATTACCTGCTAACAGCACCCGAAGTACTTCCACGGGATCACCATGCGGAGTATCAACTGGCTTGGACGTTCTATCGAATCAATTTAGAGGAATAAAATAAACAGAAACCGGAGTTAAATAGGATGGGAGATTTGATCCAGAAGATTATATCATCACAGGTCTATGGATTTTGCTGTATTCAATCTCAATCTTTGGAATTGTATGGGAATCTCAAAACGAATGTTGAGATTGATGAATCTATAGTCATAGAACTGGCTTAAAAGACCTATTATAAGGCCATTGAGTCTCCAAAAGTAAAGGGTATCTACATATGCATAAGCAATTCTTGATTTTGGAACCACAATTTATATCTTCAACAAGTTATCCTGGTTCGAAGGGTTTCGGATAGCATCACCAGGAGACTTTTTGTTGGCAAATTACTCAAAGGTTCCAATTCAGGGATATGGCAATGTCAGTATCCACACTCAAATCATCACCAAAGAGCAAGCAGTCATAAGATTACGCGACGTTGCCTACTGCCCGATTCCACAGAAATTCCACCAAGTAGCGACGTTCGCTTTCGGGCTGTTATTACTAAAGGTTCGATTAGAACAGCGAGGAGGATACTCTATTTGTGTATAATATAACGTTTAAGTTTTGGAAAATCACCGTGTTTACATTAAGAATAAGGAGCTCTGGCAAATTGTACTACCAATAGACCACATTCTACTCCTTCAACTGCGGCACCTTCATCCAGGCCAGATCAAACCCAGACCCCCAAACCCATTTATCACTATTATCCACACCATCCTTTGTAGTATCGTACCCCATCTGCGCAATCCTCAACCACAGCTCACCCTTGACCGGAAATGAATCCCCCCCTTCGCCCTCAAACGAGCTCGACGCCTCCTCCCCATTTTTCAATGCCCGCACAAACTTGGCAATGTGTCCGTCGTCATGCACCTCGTTAACAGCCGCATACAAATCCCGCCAGTCCATCCCCTTACTCGCCGTCGGCTCGTACCCCGCGATATCCTCCAGACGCAGCTCCGCTGCCCCATTCCCCGCGTACCACGCAAGGTCTAGTCGCGCCTTCCACTCCACCAGTCGCGCGCGGTCCTCAAGAGAAATCCAGGCCTGGCGGATCAACACGCTGAGGAAAATCGAACATGTCACGTCGTGCATGATAAAGAAGTCCACCTTGCGCACCTTGCCGGGTCTTTGCGCCGCGCCCGCGCTGTACGCAGCGCAGTTGATCATCTCCGCCGTGCGACGCTCGAGTTCTGTCTCATCCTCGGGAACGATCTGAAATTGTGCGGCGATGGCCACTATCTCGTCCATGGCGCGGGCCAGCGGGCCGTCGCGCAGTCGGAACGGCCCGTCTTGCATGCGGCCCGCAGTACGGGTCTTGTCGTTGGCCCGGACCTGCTCGTAGAGCTCGACGAGCGGTTTCGCAGGCACAGAGCCAGACTGCGCGAGCTGCTCGGCGTGGTGGAAGAAGGTGTCGATGTTGCCAGAGTCGTGGGAGGCTGCGTGGGCAAGGCCCTCAGCGATGATGCTAGGTTGCTCGAACTCGATGCCGAAGCCGAGGTGGATGATCGGGTGTAGGAGTCCCTCGTACAGCTGGGAGAACATGACTTCGGCAAGGGGCGTGCGGCTGAAGCAGTATTCCTGTAGGACGGCCTGCCAGCCCTTGGCTTCGATTTCGGTCTGGAAGAAGTGTAGGAAGTTGGTGTATTCGGCCAAATCGAACATTCGGGCGCGGAACTGCTCCTGGTCGTGGAGGGACTGGACGACGGCCGGGTCCAAGGGTGGTAGGGGACGTTGGTAGCCGTATCCATCGTCGTAGGCCCGCTGCAGCTGCTTGGGGCCGCCGCCCATGGCGAGGACCGTCAGTACCGAGTGTGCGATGTGGTTGTGGCCTCCGACATCGCGGAAATACATGTGGTATTTATCGTGGTTATGTTGCAGCAGCTCGTTAGCTGTCTCGATTACCCCGGTAGGACTGGCGGTGTCGATGCGACCAAACCCTAGGTGCTCGGGGGACAATTTCACTTGTGAGGCTTGGACGACTGTCATGATCGCTACTGATTTCGAGTGATGTACCAGATAACGGGATCAAAAGAGTTAGATGACCGCCACCTTTGCAAACGAACTCACGTTTTTTTATAGGAAAAGACGCCCTATACTCAAAGAACTCACTCGGGTTATAAGTTGTATCGACATCAGACGGGGACGTCAGGCCACCACCATCACTGGCCCGATTGGAGGACGAGGCACACAGCGACCAATAAACAGACCCGACATGCAGATTAGCCAAATACCCCGATGCACGTCATGCGGTGTGAGTCTGCGATCCCCAGCCCGTAAGCCCTAAACTCCCCGTCCATTCGCAGGTGAGACAGACAGAGAAGCTCAAGCTGTAGAATGTATTGGGGGGAGATGGGTTGAGCAGGAGACTACGCAAGCAGAGGTGCAACAATTTGTAATTATAGCTCTGATCCCATCAATCAGATACCTCTTAATTTGAATGTCTGGTTGATTTGAAAAGTCGGTGAAGTGATGAGTGATGGATGACTATATACACCGTCTACTAAGCTCTTTAACCACACTATATCAAGCACAAATAGTCCTCTAAAGCCTCGGGAAATGCATGGTCCAAAATCATTATGCCCCCTCCTTAAGAAAAAGAAAAGCCCGTTCGCATTAATTTTGTCGCAATCGGTTGATGATATCCGCGGACAACGAACTAAGGCTTTTGCGCAAGTCGCTCTCCATCTGAGCTAACGTACTAGAAGAAAAGAACGTTGCTACCGCCCTGTCATTATCTTCTGCTCCGCTGTGGCGGTCTGAACATTCTTGACCCAGGCCACGGCCATTCCCTCTAGGACCTATAAGTTTTGATGATAGCTGATTCACCAGTCGTTGCACGCGGTGCAGTTCGCTGAGTACAAGTTGGGCGGGTATGCGACCATTGGCAGCGCTGTCTTTGTTATATGTACGGCCCAGCGCCCTAATATAATGGTCCATGCTGCTGCTCGATATAATGCTGCTGGCTGACCTCAGTCCCGTGTCAGGCTCCACGCTGCCCGCTCTTGAGCCAGAACTTTGTATTCGTGCCTCACTGGCGTATCGCTCCAAAATTTTGAGCCCGATCATGGAGATGATAGCAAGTAGGAAGGCATTCTCAATGCATGAAATGCATGAAAGCATGCTGGTTACTGTCTCGATATGGTTTTTGTTCTCGGACAGTACACTCTCGACAATGCCCGAATCGTTGACGTTTGACCACGAGGACGCCAGATCCGTGCCGGCGAACTTGGAGTGAGTCGAAGAAAGCGTTTTTAAAAGATCAAGTGCCTGTGCCACGCAGCCACATGGCGAGTTGGTGGCGGTAGTGGCACGTACCGCACTCGACCTTGCAATGGACGGCGTTTGAACGCTACTAGAGGTAAGCGAGGATGCCCCTGAGGATCCCGTAAAAAATGCACTGGCGAGCTCATCGATTTCCGACGTGCCAAGGCTAAAATCCACGCTCTCGTCCGGCATGAGAAGTGAACCAATGTCATTTGGGGGTCGGGTAGCGGTTTCACCGTCTACGAGAGGACGTTCAAAATTCAAGGGATCCGCAATAACGAAATCCATGTCGTCGATGTCAGGATCAAAATCTGGTAAATTTGCGAACAGACCCGAGTCCCCAATCACGGAAAAGAGGTTTGATGAGAACGTTCCAAGAGGAGTATCTGTCATGGGAGAAATCGAAATCGTGAAGTTTGGAGGTGTATCGGGAAAGCTGATGGTCTCCGGTAAACCGATGGGGGGAGCTGCGGCAGCCCCGGGAGAACATTCTGTGATTTCGATTGTGTCCCCATCTCGGGTGCTAGGCTTGAAGTTGGATGAGGAGATGTGGAAGTTGGTGTTATCTTTGCCGGTAGAGCCGTTTGGATGACCACCGGTGCTGTTCTCGCGCCTCCGCCCCGGGCGCTTTGCAAAAAAGTATTGGCACTTGATGCCTCGTGCCTCACACTTGGAGCATGCCGGCTTCTCCTTGGGGCATTTGATCTTGGATGTGGCACACGCGTGGCAGCTATCTCGCAGCTTGGTACCCCCGGCGCTGGGGCGGGAGGGGGTCATCACGGGGGAGGGCGGCGTGGTCCGGTCCAGCACCTGGTCTCCGAGGTCTAGGGCTGACATTGTTGCTGTTTTTGTCTGCTTTAGATTGATGGGGGTTACCCTGGTGCGGCATCAGGGTAGTAGACGTTGGTCAACATAGGTCGGGATCAAGCTTGGAAACATCAAATGGGCCGCCACCAATGTAAATGTGAGCGAGGTTTGAAATTGTGGAAATATTCGCTGTCATAATTTCGAGATTTGACTATTGAGCTACTTACCAAAGTACTGGGGCTGTGAGGGTAGTGCCCAGCATCCTCACTAGTCGTAATGAATATCTAGGTAACACCCAGTAACGCCTCCCGACTCATGTCTTTTAGCTATTATTACCACGGACATATGCAGTCATATCCTTCGCCTGCCCCTCTCTTCATTCAAATTGGTCGGGCCGTAAGAGTAAGCACGGGATAACTTCACGATTTCAGTATCTCTCGGCCTCGGCCGGTCATAGGTCGAATCGACATAGAACTTGGCATTGCGATTAATTCTGAATATCGCGGTATTGCAGAGCTCCAAGTTTCTTCGAAAATGTTCATCATGATGAGCTCGTGCGAGGTATATGGATATTCCCGAGAAGAGAAAAGGTCGAACATTGAGCTGCGTTCTTCCTTATCATGTCTTTGCGGGGGGGATCTGCCACCTCCGACACATTCCATTTATCCGCTGCCCTTGTCTCAAACGGAGGAACATGCAGCTGCAGCTGTCAAAATCGCCAAATACGCCAAGAGGGGATCACTAATGGTCAATCAATTTAGTTAGATCTACTATTACTCTCGATTTGAGTCACTATATAGATTCCTGTGGGTACCAGGTATCTCTCGATCACCCCTCTCAACAGCGGCTGCAATGCTGGGCTCATCCTGAGGGAGGGGTGGACCACAGTTATCTCACATTGACGAGGCTGGATTTCGACGGTTTTTCTCAAGGCCCTGTTCGACCTTTTCAGCATAAAATACATTAAACTCTACCCATTTAGCTCGATACCTACTCATTACTGTGCCGCCCCGCAGATAGTACCCACCCGATTGCATCGGGGGCTTTCCCATTTGACACCGTCATCTTCATTCCCAGACGCCAAGCTTCCACTGAGGGTCCTATATTAGTATTGCGCCTGTGGCCGGTGCGACCTTGATGTTCATGATGTGGCTTGGGAGATCGCCGTGATCTTCCTAAGAACCACACGCAAATATAGTTCACAGCTTGGATTTTTTTTATTTCAGAGCCCATATCTATGATTTAGGCACGGGAGGCCAGGTCCTTGTTCCCTAGCGATTGTTGATACGGGATATATAAGCCGTCTGGAGGGCTGGATCTCCTCATGGGCAGGGGCTCAACGTGTAGCTTACAAATGTGTTTTCTCTATGTTCAAATGTCAGACTTTGCCAAATACTCCTATAGCGAGACATGTGCTTTGATTGTCAAATACATGTATACATAGTCCAGGATAAATTCTTCAGGGGCTTGCCAAAACCGGTTCTCCCCATGTCAGATACAACTCTACAATCTAGCGTGGTCCTCTCTCGGTTCTAGATTCTCCGGTGGCAATTTACCTAAAGTATAATCCGTGCTCCTAGATTTGGAGTAAGCCTTGCACCGCACATGCAATTCTTGCAGTTTGGGAGATATTCGCTTTTATTAGCCCCCAATGGCGCCAATGTCACTTGCAGGGAATATTATCCTCAGAATGCAACCCAAGATAAATGTATACCTACCAAGGTAGTTACGCGTACTCCGGTGCGGTATCGCGGCCCGGCGAGAATCAGATAAAGAGTGGGGATGGAAAAGACATTACCTTGCCACATAATCCCGAATTGCGTTAATTTGCAAGACTAGGTGATATATGTGCAGTGAAGGGGTCCAAGAGCGCAACGGGCCGTTCCCGTCTCTTAGCATAAGCCCCGAGGCTTTCCAAAACGATGTATCTCCACAGACTTCATTCAATGAGTCTACATTCTGCAGAGTGCGTATCGGGTTGAATGGGGTCTTTGTATGTCCAATTTTGAATTGTTTGACTTCGGACCCGTGGCATTTTTGGCTTAGGGCTTACGGGGCAAATGCCATGTGAGGTGCAGATCAATGACTACCTACATGTTCATCCAAGATTCCAAGAAACTGCGAGGACTGGAATTTGCCAAGTGCAAGGCGGAATGTGCAGTGCATCGGTTGGAGGCTACGGAGTCCGCTGTATCATGGTAAGGAAGTGAAATGGATCCACCTTCGCTAGCGTGAAGGGTTAACCAGACGAGCCAATAACCATCTTGGGGCTAGTTTTAGCCCCGTCATCCACTTGAGCACGGAACAGCTATATTCTCCAGAGTAGCCCGGTACAACTACTTGTGCCGGTGTGAAAATCCTGTAGTTTTCGAGGGCCGGGGGGCCGCGGGGCCGCGCGGGAGATGGCACACTACTTACTCCCGAGGTTCACTTCTTCTGCTTTTTTCCCATCGTAGTAATTATAACTTGATACTTCAGCAACTATGGCCCATAGAATCTTCTCCGTATAGTTTCCTGCTTTCTAGGTGATAGCTAGTCTCTTTAGGGAGTTTGAAGAAATTTCATAACTTTATGATTTCGAAATATATATTTCTAGTCTTCAACAACGTAGTTTTCGGTACCTTTTGTGAGCGGAAGAGAAAGCTACTGCAGGAAGGGAAAAGGAAGGGAATACGGTTGTATTCACTATGGACTCTGGGAGGAGGAAAAGAGAAGAGAGATCCTATGGAAACTACCTACTGGAAGTCCTGGGCTCGGAGTGGATCACGTGAAACAGCACGTGATCCCACTTTCCAACAGCTTTCAAAATGATGATAATATAGTGACAAAATCAGTCTGTATGGAAATGTATGGTATGAACTGAGTATATGGAACTCTCTGTATTTCTGTATACGCGCTCCTTACAATTTATATGGAGCATGATTATCTAATCAAAACAATAGAGGATTCATAAATCCTCTGGTATGCTTGGCGTAGCATATATTACCTGTGTATTGTACCGTGTATTCAGACTCGGTATTTGACATATAGCCTTCTGCTTCATATATAAATATCCCATTCACTATGCATTTTGAGGTGGCCGGCTCGCTTGTGAAATACGTTGGGTAGTAAAATTACTTTATATAAGTTATGTAACCTATAAATCTACATATTATAGCTGCTCCTCGAAGAAGCAGCTAGTAGTTCTTTCAATATTATAGTATATCATATCTCTATCTCCCGGTTCCACAATCATCCTAAGCATACCCTTAGATCTGATCTAGGGGTCCCATAGTAAGCCGACCCCCGGTTGGCCTGAATATTACTAATAGTACATACTGACTCCTAAACGGCACCGGATAAATGAAGGTGTAGAAGAATGAATCCTGTTGGAATTGCACCGAATCGCGCCGAATCACCCGAGGTTCGCATCGAACATCTTCAGAGTTATCCTAGGCTCCCCTTATTTATGCCCGAAATTTTATTTGCAATTATAGGCGCTTCACGGCATTACTGTCTTTGTACGTATCTCAACTCTCGGGCTAAACGGCCGAATATGTGCGGATTAAGGACCCTCTCGGACTATACGTACTTCCTGGATGCCGTCACGGTAACCATTGGCTCTCTCTTGATTGATTCTGGGCTGTTGGGTACCTTCATCGATTCTCTTCTCTGTGAGGGCACTCACTGTGTATATTCCTCCTATACTGGATATGGCGGACATCAAGGATACCAAGGTTCTTTATGAACGCCCACATGGTCGAGACTAGGGGATCCATATCAGGAAGAAGAAAATTATGTTTGTTCTGGGGTTTATTTGACACAATTAGTAACACCATGAGCGGAGGTCCTGGGTATTAGTAAGGTGTTAACGATCGGGATTTCGAGCCCTTCTCGTATTCCTCGGCACATATGAGGATGAGACCAGACGTTTACCACAGCCTTGAAATGAGTTGGGTGCGAGGAGGGTGGGATATATGAACGTATTGGAAGCCTTTGTCACGATGAGATAGGGGGAGGTTAGGAAAGAACTTCGAGCACGTAAAAATCCTCAACTACAGGCATCTTCATCTTCATATACGACTACCACCACCACCTAGTATTAATACTAACACGGGTCCTTAATTTGTGCCGTTGATATAGAAAAAAGGATGGTGAAAATATATTATCAAGGCCGAGAGACACAACACAGATAATTTCACGAGCAAAATGTCGAGACGCAGTAACTTACAATGATTTATAACACAGACAATACCAGGACAAGCAGCGTCACGTAGAGACAGTGGTGCTGACGAAGGAATATCAATAAACAGCGTGCTGAGGGAGTCTCTGCTCTGTTCTCCTGGAAGGCCACAAAGGCAACTAGGGCCAACTCTCGGATAGTAATCGATGCTCGGGATGAACCACGGGCATTTCGGGGCGGGTGAATTGGAGAGATGACAACTGGGAGCTGAGTGGCGTAGTTAGCCCCGAAGTGATCACTTGTACTTAGGTATGGCTTAATGGAAGCGCTCTAACAGTATCATAATCGGTTTGCCACCCTTTCTCTCAAAAACGTCCAGTCTTTAGAGGTCTCTCTCATTTGCATCCAGCTGGCCCAGGAGGTGATTCACCCATATTGGACACCTTAGCCTTTTCTTTCTGTTTCAACCAATTGGTAGTCAGAAAACCTCTTCATACCCTGGTATGATGCCCATCTATACCCCGACTATCAGTTCAGATTCCGACAGGGACCCTCACAGGATGAGGCTCGTCTATTTCAGCAACGAATTCCCAAGGGACGACCTGATGGACATATTCCGTCGTCTACACAACCACAGCAAATCTCATGACCAGCAGACTTTGGCCGAATTTATATCTAGGGCCACTTGGGCCATCAAAGACGAAGTTCGGCAGCTATCTACCGAGCTGAAGGGGCTGATCCCACCATTTGATACCCTCTTAAGCTGGGCAGAAGACACAGAGCTTCGGGAAGGCTTGATCTGCGGCGCCGTCGATGGGGTGCTGCTAGTTGTCGTTCAACTGGCGACTTACATTGGGTAAGTAGTATA